ATACCGAGCCTCTTGGTTTTATCCTCTGGCGTACATGCATGCACTTTCTTAGGAGGTCACTCATCCTGGTAGTGCTCTAACCTGGACTTGCTTAACTTTGGAGTTCCAAAATAAAGCTTGCCGTTACGTCAAAAGGCGCATCTGTGAGTTAATTTCAATTTTCTTTGTATATATATTTCAAAATCGCTCTCCCCCTATTCAGTCCACAGTTCGGTTCATTCCTCCCCCTTTGCGCCATCCTAAAAGCCTGCCAGGAGCTGCTTTTTGTCCAAGTCCTTTAGCCCCAACGACCACTCCGCACCCTCATCGGATCGGGTCGTTACATACTCTATTTGCTCTAAAGGATCGAAAAGATGCACTTCTATTATATGAACTGAATTCAAAAAATTCATAGATGAGGATGGCAAGAAAAAGGCTAAGTATAAGTGGTACGAACCATTTACATGGCCTAGCCATGTGACAAAAAATTTGTTGCGTCATTTAATGTGATTTGATAATATGAGTTGAGTTGAGTACGGGATTGGATTGGGTGTGAGACATTACATTTACATTGCATAAAAATAGGTCAATATTTATCGCACTATTTTCGATTCAACTTGACCTACTCATTTGACGGCCCTATTTTCGGCCCAAAATTGGGTCCAAGCATGGAAACAACCTGATGTCATAATTTTTTTCAAATCTGGCATTTCCAATTTCACCCTTTTGCATCATTAACATGGATTTGAGAATTACAAAGAAACAAGACGAGTTTGACGTAGATTCATTTTTTTGACATCATTGTTTTGTTCTTTTGGTGGTCTACTCCATTACTCTGCAAACACCCATTTGATTGTTTAGGCAAATTTTACCCTATTGATTAAGTCTCATATCACCATTTCCTAAAACAACTGCAATAGACTGAAATTACTCGACTAAGTTTGCACGGACGCATGTCATAATCAAGATAAACAGATGCAACATAGAGAAAACATCGAGACACTGGCCACATACATCCTCACTAATTATTAGATACGACTCCGACTGAGTACAAATGATCTATCATCTCATGCATTCTCTTCTTCCGAGCCGATGCCCACTTGATCAAGTTTCAGATGCTTCCAGCAATCACGGAGAGGAAAGAAAAGGAAATAATTGAGCTGGAGGTCCTTATAGGAAAAAAAAAACAGAGAGAAAAAGGAAGGAGAACTAGAGCGGATGATTAGCAGATGCAAAACGGGAAAAGTGTCAAAAAAGTTATAAACCTTTTGCATTTGTGCCAATTTAGTCGTAAACCTTTTTTGGTGCCAATTCAGTCTTAAACCTTTTGTCTTGGTGTCAATTCAGTCCTAAATCTTTTGCATTGGTGTCAATTCAGTCCTAAACATTTTGCATTGATGTCAATTGAATCCAAAATCTTTTATCTTTGTGCCAATTCAGTCCTTTCGGTCAATTTTAGCCGGATTTTGTTGACGTGAACGTCGATCCAGCCGGCAGCCGGTTACCGGCGCTGATGTGGACAACTTTTAATAATATTTTAATATTTTTCTTTTTCTTTTTCTTTTCTTTTCCCTCCCCTACCTCCTTCCTCCTGCCGGTCGCCGGAATGGCGAGGCTAGACCTCGCCAGATCGAGCCACCAGTGAGGTTGGGCCTCGCACAACCGCCGGTGAGGCGAGGCGAGGCGAGGACTCCCTCGCCAAAGGCCTTCGACCTCGCGGCCTCCGGCGAAGGCTCGAGCCTCGCCTGCGGCTAAGCGAGGCCTGACCTCGCCGGAGGTCGCGAGGTCGAAGGCCTCTGGCGAGGGCTCCAGCCTCTCCCGCGGCTGCGCGAGGCCCGACCTTGCCAGATCCGGCGAGGTCGGGCCTCGCCCAACCATGGCGAGGCTCGCCCTTGCCAGCAGCTAGGTGAGGTTTAGCCTCGCCAACCTAAACCTCGCCCAGCCTCTGGCCTTTGGCAAAAAAAAAATAAAAGAAAAGAATACAAAATATATTTTAAAATATTATTAAAGTTGTCCACGTCAGCATCGGTGACTGGCTGCTGGCCGGCAAGCGTCCACGTCAACAAAATCCGGCCAAAATTGGCCGGAATGACTAAATTGGCACAAAGACAAAAGGTTTTGGATTGAATTGGCATCAATGCAAAAGGTTTAGGACTAAATTGGCACAAATGCAAAAGGTTTAGGACTGAATTGATACCAAAAAAAGATTTATGACTAAATTGGCACCAATGTAAAAGATTTAGGACTTTTTTGACACTTTTCCCGATGCAAAACGAAGAGATAAGGTCCCTTTGTACGTACCTCTCGATGTTCTTATTCAATGTCGTGATGTGGACGAGACAACATAGGAGTCGTGTGCATTTAGTGCCGGTCTAACATTCTTTGACAAAAAAAAACCCGTGCATTCGTATGTCCACAAAATAAAAAAATAAGCCCATGCATTCTATTGGGCCACTTTGGTTCCCACTTGCACGGACAATTATTCTGCACTCCTTATCCCCCACTATTCAAAGGCCGTCCCTTTCTTAGGGTGCATTTGGCAAGTTGCCAAATAGTAACTATTTCTATTTTTTTATTCCTAAAATCAGTTTTGGAACAGAAATCTATTTGGTAATTTTTTTGTTCCTGGGCACAAATTTGCAAAAATTTGTTCCGAAAACAGTTTTGGAACAGAATCAAGAAGCAAGGGAACAAGAATCAGAAATGGAAAAGAATTTTTTTTTTCTATTCTTCTTCTTCTTTTTCTTGCCCTATGGCCGCTCGCCGGCTGCCGGCCACTGGCAACCAGCTACAGGCCAGGGCCGGCGAGGGTGAGGGCTGCCCTTTCCGGATCTGGTGTGGGCGACCCTCGCCGCCGCGCTTGCCAAATCTGGCAAGGGTGGCTCGTGGCCTGGACGAGGGCGACCCTCACCCAGGCCACCAAGGGCGGCCCTTGCCCAGCTGGCGAGGGTGGCCCTGGCCTGTGGCCAGTCGCCGGTGCCGGCGACCTGGCCATGGCCAAGGAAGGGGAAGGGTAAAAAAAGAAGAAGAAAGAAATATTAAAAAATTCAAAATATTATTAATAAAAAGAAATTTTGTGTAGTTACCAAACACATTTCCGTTCTTTTTCTATTCCAAGAATAGAAATTTTGGACAATTACCAAACGTCTTTAAATGCTTAGAAATTATTCCCGGGCACGAAATAAAAAAGAATCATTTCTGAGCAGAATCAGTTTTCAGAAACAGAATAGTTGCCAAACGCACCCTTACTCAACTTGTGTGTCCCAAGTCTTTTTCTGGGCATACTTCGACTGGACTCGTTCATGACCACTGATTGCTTGGATCAAGCATGCGTTTATGTAGTATAATACATGTAATGTCTACTTGTTCTAAAATATATTACATTTGTAAAACTCTTTAGAGGGAAAATTGTCTAAAAAGTCATAAATCTATTGCACTTTGGCCAATTCAGTCATAAATTTTCCAGTTTTGTTAATTGAGTCATAAACATTTTCAAATTTTGCCAATTGAGTCCAGCTAGTCAATTTTAACCGGAAATCGCTGATGTGGACGCTGGTAGTGCCACGTAGGACGGTCGGCACCGACGTGGACAAATTTCTTTTTATTTTTTGTTTTCTTTTTCCTTTTTCCTTCTTTCTTTTCCTTTTTTTTTACCAAATCCGGCGAGGGTCACCGGCCAATCCTCGTTGGCTATTGGGCAAGGGCTGCAAAGCCCTTGCCGATCGCGGGCAAGGGTTGACCGGCAGTCATTGGGCTTGGGAAAAAAAAGAAAGAAAGAGAAAAAGGAAAAGAAAAAATAAGAAAAATATAATAAATTTTTTTTAGAAAGTTCTAAAAAAATTATAAAAATTGTACACGTTAGCACTGGCCGTGCCACGTAGGATGGCTGGCGTCCACGTCAGCAATTTTCGGCTAAAATTCACTAATGGACTCAATTGGCAAAAGTGAAAGGTTTATAACTGAATTGGCCAAAGTACAATATGTTTATGACTTTTTGGACAATTTTCCGGCTCTTTAGAGGCTCAACTCCTAAACTTCTCCTACCATGATAGTCCTTTGACTACCGTTGATTAGTACAACAGAGTAGAACATTTTCTTATGACTCGTTTTCATTCTTGCTTTCTCACAAACGATCTTGTGAACTGTGCGTGCGTCTTAACATCGGAGCATTGCGCACTTGAGTTAACTGGCATACTACCCGTGATCGAGGATCATTTGTGCTGCACGGTCCTCTGAATTGGATCAACGGTCCCGAACCGCGATATTTGATGACATAGCCTAAGTTATATCGACAGACTTCGAAATCATGGCCAACAATCTAATGACCGAAGGTCAGAAACAAATTGAGGATTTGGAGATTATGGGAAATGCCCTAACTGGCCTAGGGTCATCATTCACAGAACTTGATGTGCAGATGGGGTTCGTTGGGGGATCGCATCGTGCTGTGAGCGATCTAATGGGTATTCTCAAGGACGACGTCCGAGCAAAATTGTGTGTACCACGCAAGGAGGTAGCGCAACTAACAATGTATGAAGTGGTAGTACTGACTCGAGCTACAAGTAGTGCACCCGACTTTGAGATGAATATTGAATAGCACGAAGGTGCCAAAACCAAGGGCCTTTTCTTGTGCCCAGGATCCTAAACAGCTCGATAATTCTCCTTGTTCTATGATGAACGTTAGTGTAATTCATCCTCTTTGGATGGTTTTCTAATATCCCAATTGAATATGCTTTAAATTTTGATGGGCGAAACGTACCAATATTTTTTTAAAACAAGAATGTCCGGTTGCTCCCTTGTTCTTTGGAGGACAAATAGAAGAATTAATTCACTAATATACAATACAAATCTATTTTTCCCATCTCTGAGAGGAGGAAATCTCCTCACATCAAAGGTTATAATTGGCGGGTTACAATATATCCTACCCACATTAAAACTTAACAAAATATTAATAATAAATGTATCTAATGCCCATATTTGTAACATACCGATTAACGGAGAAAAAGTTGACACAATCATGTGTATCTTAAGTACTTACAAAATAACGTCACAAAGCTAAAGAGAACGTTCAAAGAAATGATAGCATTCGCCAAATTATGTAGGAGAAATTCAAACCACTTGTGCAAATCGCCAGAATGTGAAATTATATTGCTTTGGATGTATTTACGGGCCATGCGACTCCAGGAAATGTGGAATCAAACTGCATGCCCTACCTTCATGTCTTCACGTTCACATGCTACTACTGAAACAATCTTTACTGTTGCCATTTGTTTCTTAAACGGAAATTTTCAGAACCATGAATAAGATGCCCCACGTTCTTCTGATTAAGCACCTTTTGCCTTCAATTCGACGTAGTTCCTGGTGTAGAAGTCAATGAAGAGAACCAAAAGCGAAGCGCAGAACATGATGTTGAAGCACCAACCCAGGATCCCAGAGCAGCCTAGCCCAGTGAAATGGCAATACAGAACCAAACCGAAAGCCAAGAAACTGAACCAGAACTGCACAATCTGACAGTTGGTCACGAACTTCTTCCACTTTGGACGCACCCCCACTGAGCACAAGAAATAGTAGGCGTACATCAATACGTGCACCGACGAGTTGACGGTCAGAGCCGCGGGAAAGAAAGACTGCGAAGTGCTCAACCACACGTAGCACATGATCACCACCGTCGCATGGTGGTATACGTGGAGGAACGAGAGCCGCCTGACGGACCCGCTGAGTATGATCAAGAGGGTGTCCACGAACTCGAGAATCTTGGATAAATAGAAGACGTAGGCCCAGAAGAAGATCGGGCCGGAGGGAGGCGTGTTCTTGGGGAAGCACGCGATCCAGTGGAGGCTGGGAGCGTGGGAGATGATGGAGAGGACGCATCCGACGGCCATGGCGATGGACAGGGTGAAGAGGACGAGGTTGTGGACGGCTGTGATGGTTCTGAGGAGCTGCGGCTTGACTGAGAGCTGGGCGTAGTAGAGAAGCGAAGTGAAGGCGAGGTAGGAGAGGACGGTGAGGGCGAGGAAGAGATGGGAGGAGCCAAAGGTGTGGTCTTGTTTCCAAGAGAAGTTGATGATGTTGGGGTGGTTCACGAGCCAGTATTGGGTGTTGCTGAAGATGGTGCTCATGTAACGCGCAAGGCTCACAGCGCCGCCATAGCCGGCGACCGTGGCGTTGGTTGCTTGCGGAGGAAACGACATCCGGGGATCTTGGGACGTCAAGAAGAGGGAGGGGGAGTGCTGGTTTTTCAGGCATTCCAGGCGGGTTTTATGATAGCGTGTGAGCGCGAGAAAATAGCAATAATTGTTCGTAAAAAACATGTTTGATATTACACTGTTCACAAGAGATGCCCAAAGGATGTCTACCCCTCGATTTCCTCCATTTGCATTTGCAGGGTCAAAGTCAGCACCTCGTGAATTTATGAAAAAAAAAGAAAAGAAAAACCAAAAATTGTGCTATTGGCTAAAGCAGCACGGCATCGGCGACTCAAAGAGCCTCTGCCCAGTCCCCGCAGTGGAAGCTTCCGATGGCAACGCCCGCCCATAAAAGGCCCGCCCAACGCTGTCTTTCTCCAAACCCGGGCCTCTGACGTGCCATGCTGACCGATTCTTTCCGCCGATCAACTGTGAAAAAAACGAGAAAATATTCGGTGGTGCCAAAGGAAAGGCAAGTGTCGTCACGTTAATTGCGGACGTGACGTGCGTTTTATACTTAAGTCACGTGTCCGCTGAGCGGAAAAATAAAATAGGAAAAATACCATAAAAAATCCTCAACTTTGCCCATTATGACGCATTTACCTTAATTTTTTTTTTGTGACACCAAAAACCCCAAACTATGTCCGCTGTGACACATTTACCATAAACTTTTTTTTGTGACACCAAAAATCCCAAACTATGCTCACTGTGACACATTTACCCTCAGTTAGGGTTCGATTAAAAATCAACGTTAAAATCTGACGTGTCTCCGATGTGCACGGATGAGTGCTCGAAGACGATGAACAGTAAATGTGGCACAACGGGCATAGTTTGGGGTTTTTGGTGTCACAAAAAAAAGTTTAGGGTAAATGTGTTACAATGGGCAAAGTTGAGGGTTTTTGGTGGTATTTTCCCAATAAAATAAAAATCTTAACTTTTCTTGTCTTTCTTCTCCGCCCATTTTCGTTCGGGACCTCCCCACCATCGTCGGGAAGGGCCGGTGAGGGTGGGGGGACGGCAGGTGAGGGCTTGCGGGCCCTCCCCCAGATCAGGCGAGGGTCGCCGGCCCTCGCCCAGACTTGACCGAGAGCCATCAGTGGTGGGGCCAAGGCCTGGCGACCCCCACCTACCGTCCCCCCACCCTCGCCGGCTCCTCCTGGCGATGGTGGCGTGGCGGGGGCGGGGAGGGCAAGCCCTCCCTCCCCGCCTATCCTTCTCCCCCTTTTTTTTGTTTCTTTTTTAAATTTTAAATTTTGCTTATTTTTTATATTTAATATAAACAAAATTTTGTATTAAAAATTAAATTTAAATCAAAACGACGTCGTTTTAACAATGTAAGAGAGAGAAAATATTAAAATAAATCATGTCAGTGCCACGTTAGCATTTTCCGTTAGTAAATTTGACGATCTTAACTTTAAGACTCGTTTGAATAATTTTGACAAATTTCAAGATTTAATTACACTTTTATAACAAATTTTAGAACTTCTAGTAAACATACCACGTTTTCCTTCCATATATGGCCATTGTCTATGGCTCTTCAATTTAGCCCGTCCATGGCCGCCGGCGCCGAACGAGCCATCATTGCTCGTGGCCATGGCTCTAGATCTGGAAGTTCGGCCCAGTTCTTCAATTCTTCCCGTTCATGGCCGCCGGTGCCGAACGAGCCATCGTCGCTTGCGGCCATGGCTCCAGGTCTGGAAGCTTGGCCGGCTCTGTCAAATGGTTGCGATGAACCGACGATGCAGAGGATTGTGGGGAGTGACGAAGTGAAGAAGGTAATGTTAATCAGAGAGATGGTGATGGTGGTAGAGTGAAATTATAGGGGAAAAAGGTGAAAAGGGAAAGGCCGTGTTCGTGTTTTTGTGTGTGAGGACCACGAGACGGTTTTTGTTTTTGAGCAGAAGCTTGTGAGGACCACAAGCTCCATTTACCCGACCAAACTTGTTTTTGGGACGAACCTCCATCGCCATAGCTGCAAATCTGGAGATGGACCAGCAGCGAATTCATCGAGATTTGAAGATGGAGCTCTTCATGGCAATGGAGCTCTTCGTTGGGAAGACCGAGCCCAGCGACCGTGAGTTCCACGAGGCCAGATATGGCGAGCAAAGCCATGGACGGACACAGAAGACGGAGCCACCGACGGTACTCTTAGATGAAGGATGAAGAAGCGAAAATTTGGAAGCTATGGCCGTGAGTGACGACAGCTCGTCCGAAACCAATGGCCATGGACAGGCAGAATTGAAGAGCTGAGCTGAACTTCTAAATCTGGACCCATGGCCGCTAGCGATGACGGCTCGTTTGGGGCCGGCGACCATGGAGAGGCAAAATTGAAGAGCCATGGATGACAGCCAGATATGGAAGGAAAATGAGTGGAGAAGAAAAGTAAAAATTTATTTTTTTATTCTAACTCAACGGATAAATGTCAATCTATCATTGAACTCAAATAATATTAACGGGACGCTTTGCAATACCGAGTATTTTCCCGTAAGAAAATAATCGGCCACCAAGTTTGAATAGAAATATGTGAACCCGATTGGTTATTTTAAAATGAGGCTGAGTAGTTGAAAAACTTCTTAGCAGATTTCCTTTGGAAATGAAACGACACCTTTTATGTCTAGACATTGTGATTGCCAAGAGGCAATATCCATTACAAAGAATGAAACTTTTAATGGTAAAAAGAGACACGTCCGGTTGAGACGTAATGTGGTACTACAACTGATTAAAGATGGACTTATGTCCATCGATTATGTTAAGTCAGAAGTGATTTTGGCCAATCCTCTTATTATACACCGAGGGGAATGGGACAAGCCAGTTGAAGAAAATCAACAGTGATGGTAACCCAACTTATGTTATTGGCGATCCCATGAATTAGGTTCATATGGGTAATAACAAGTCACTTGTTGATCTATGATGCACTATTAAATTTTCTTTTTGTCTCTCCTAAGGTGAAAATAGTGCAAGACTGCAAGGAAAAAGAGGGTGAACTGAGCTCTTAATGAAATTCCATAGCCGTTGTTGGTGGTGTATTAAATTGCAGAATACACTTGATGGAATCACCTATATAAGTGTGGAGTGGGGCCGCTCCTATGAGAATTATTAGCAATAATCTCTAGATCACTTATGAATAAACCAAGCATGCGCATGGCCTATTAGCGCAAAACCGCGTTGAACAACAAACTTTGTGAGAAGTGTAATGTGATTGGTGAAAATCATAATTCACAAAAGGAATTATTGGTTCATAGAAGTTTCAAACTTCACCAATGATTTCGTGAATTATATTCATTCTTTCTAGGGATGGTTCACAGCCTAACAAGTACCAGTTCCGGTGCATTATGCTCCAATAACCCAGCATTATTCTATTTTTTCTTTTCAAAACTTTTTGAAATATGTGGGGAATTGTGGGATATTTCAACAGTTTTGAAAGATTTGTTAGAATTAATGACGGCCATAAAGTTATCATTTTGTAACGGTTTTGCAACGGCAATATAACGGCTTTGTAACGTTTGATTTAATTCTTCATAAATCCTCCATTATTTTATAATGGCCATATAACGGTTACTTTTTTAATAATTACCAACTGTTTTATAACGGTTCTTAACGGCTACCTATAAATTATTACTTTGAGCATAACTGGAAAGTGTTATACATACACACACACATATCAAATAAAGAATGTTCTTTGTTCTTTCTTTTATCGGGAGAAGAACAGCAGAAGTGCCAAAACTTGTGTACGACGCTCACTTTAGTGCCAAAAGTTTCTTTTGGATCACTTTAGTGCCAAAATTTTTTAAAAACGATCACTTAAGTGTCAACTCCGGTCAGTTTGGCCGGAAATCCGACGTGGCATTTTTTTTATTAATTTTTGAAGTCGATGTGGCTCGCCGGAGGTTGAGTCAGCATGCTTAGTCAGCATGTACACATTAAAACGACGTAGTTTAGCATATACACTTGGATTTTTTAAATTTTTTTTTTGAATTTTTTTCTTTCTTTTCTTTTTTCTTTTTCTTTCGTTTTCTTCTTCGGTCACCGCCGGTGACCGGAGTCCGGCCACCAGCCACGGCCGGCCGCTCAGCCTCGCGACGGCGAGGCCGACCTCGCCGTCGCCGGGTTTGGCGACGGTGAGGCCGACCTCGCCGTCGCCGGGTTTAGCGACGGCGAGGTCGGCCTCGCCATGGCCGGCGAGGCTCGACCTCGCCGCAGATCCGGCGAGGTCGAGCCTCGCCCGGCCATGGCGGCCTCGCCGTCGCCGGGTTTGGCGATGGCAAGGCCGGCCTCGCCGTCGCCGGGTTTGGCGACGGCGAGGTTGGCCTCGCCGTCGCCGGGTTTGGCGACGGCGAGGTTGGCCTCGCCGGCCATGGCGAGGCCGGCCTCGCCGTCGCCGGGTTTGGCGACGGCGAGGCCGGCCTCGCCATGGTCGGGCGAGGCTCGACCTCGCCGGATCCGGGCGAGGTCGAGCCTCGCCCGGCCATGGCGAGGCCGGCCTCGCCGTCGCTAGGTTTGGCGACGGCGAGGTCGGCCTCGCCCGGCCATGGCCGGGCCGGGCGAGGCTCGACCTCGCCGGATCCGGGCGAGGTCGAGCCTTGCCCGGCCATGGCGAGCCGGCCTCGCCGTCGCCGGGTTTGGCGACGGTGAGGCCGGCCTCGCCATGGCCGGCAAGGCTCGACCTCGCCTAGATCTGGCGAGGTCGAGCCTCGCCATGGCTGGGTTTGGCGACAGCGAGGCCGGCCTCCGGTCACCGACGGTGACCCAAGGTAGAAGAAGAAAGAAAAAGAAAAAAGAAAAGAAGGAAAAAAATTTCAGAAAAAATATTTTAAAAATCGAATTATACACGTGGAAATGCCACGTAGACTCATTTTTTTAAAAAAAATTCCAACTCGGTTTAAAATTTTAATTATAAAAGCCACGTATTAATTTGGCCGGAATTTCTCGCCGTTGACACTTAAGTGATCGTTTTTCCTCAGATTTGGCACTTAAGTGAGCCGGCGAAAACTTTTGGTACTAAAGTGAGCGCCGTACACAAGTTTTGGCACTTCTAGTGTTCTTCTCCCTTCTTTTATTTATCATTTTTTTCCTTGTTGGGTTATACACATAACGTTATTTCCGTTTCCTTCTAATATTCAGTGCGGAATATAAAAGAAGGTTTGTTGTATTTTGGGAGGACCTTATGCACTAAGTTTTGTACTCCTAGGGGCGGAATTATCCTTAAGGACATTGACTAGCACACCTCAGACATTGATATTATTTTCTTATCTTTTTCAATAGATTTCCAACAATTATTCTTATTTTTTCATGTTATCTAACACAATTTTCCAACACTATTCACATACCTTTCAAACTTTCAAACGCCAATAGGCATGCCGCATGCGACCCTGCTGGTAAAGAGATTTGGGGGGTGGGGATGCTAGTATGATATGTGCGGGATTTGACTCTCGTCCTCTACAAGAAACAGAGCAAAAGTCAGAGAATAAGGTGAGTTAGAGATAGGATAGATCAACAAAAAAAAAACTTCCAAACACCGATTACATACTTTAAAGAAAGTTAATACCTAGAAAATTGCCATGGACTCTCATTTGGTCCCTTAGAAAGCTTCCCATGTATTGCAATGTGAGGCTTGTTGCGATAGAATCCACCCACTTGGGAGTTGATGATGGAAAACATTACTGAAAATAAAAATTGTCTAAAAAGGAACTCTTGATAACAAAATCTACATTTTAAGGGCTATGTCTTCCCATCGTTGGTTGGAGAAAATCAAACCTCTGATTGGTAGGTTGGTAAACATGGACATTACCCATATTTATTTTTAGTTAACTTAAAAGGTGATATCTCTATATTTTTAACTCACAAAAACTAGACAAGAAGGAAAACATGGCCTACATATAAAGGGCCAAACTCACTACAACTCTATCTTTGATTGGTGGACTACTAGTATGGGCATTATCCACATTCATTTAGAACTTTTTTATAAAAAACAAGGGCAAAGAAGAGCGACAAGTGCCAGTTATCCATTCTCGGCGTTACGATAAAGGTTTCACCTGTTATAGAAGGTATGGTTTAAGGCATAACTACTCCTCGTTACCCGATCAGAAGGTCTAAGGTCGGCGAGCCTGTAAACTGTAGTGCCACGAAGATGCTAGCAACCACAAAGTTTCTGCTCATGAGATATGTTAGAGCCAGACAATGCAACACAAGCCGTTTGAAGTTCTGCTTATGACGTGAATCAAACTCACGATCTCATGAAAGACACGTGACTCCTTTATCACCAGGCCAATCGACTCGTAGTTTGTCCATGCTCGGTCTGACTAGGAAAAGAAAGTGCAAACTGTGTTTTGCGGCCATTGTAATGTTTAATTCGGCAACCTTCCCAGCTGAGGATTATTGAAATCGGAAAGCTGTAGGTAATATGTGTGGGAGAGGAGGTTGGCTCCGTTGGTTCGACTTCTGTTGCTCCGCATTTTCATAGGGCAAAGAGGTTCTCCTATCTGAAGTCGACCCGTTAAAGATACCTCCACGTACCGTGAAACTGGTATAATATGATCCCATCGACACATCCCTATCCTCTGATGCTCCAACAGGATTTGGATTTGATAGTGTTTTGTTTGTTTGGGTAAAATACGCACGTTTAGAAACGATGTTTCATACCTTCAATAGGTAGAAAAGGAGAAATGCCTCATATATATCAAATGAAAACTCCAAGTGATATCACGGTACCGTGAGGGAAAAATACCAAAAAAAAGTCCTAAGCCAATTCAGTCAAAATTAAGAGACTCGTGAAGAATCATTGTATCTCTCTCTAATTCTATGAGATCGCGATGATTGAGATGTGAACATGATTAAACCTTGGGTCCTCGAGATGCCAAATCTCAATTAGCTTATAACTCACCAAACTGTTTCTATTTCTATTTCGAGGTCTCAAAGAGAAGATGAAAGGAGTTCCAAGTAGAGAGAAAAGAGCCGGCAGGGACGATAGGAATAAAAAGAGGCGGGAAAGAGATGATTAATGCCCGTAAAAAAAGAGAGAGAATTAAATTACGTAAAAGCGGTAGCTTGTAAGTAACTATGGATGGGACATAACGTACATTTATTTTTGGATAGATTAGAGTTTGAGTTAATGTCATGTTAGTAGTCGATCGAATAGAGGCCTGATTAGAAGAGGGAATAAGGGAAAACACAATTATGAGAGGACTATAGGAGGAAAAAGAGAGGGGAAAGAAATGATTTTTCTTTTTAGATCAAACGAAAGAGATGATTATCACTTAGAAAATTCGGTTTTAAACTTTTTAATTTGGTCAATTTAGTCCTAAATATTTTAACGATTTGAGGCCGGCGCTAATGTGGACAATTTTCTCATTTTTTTTAAAAAAAAATTTTGTTAAAAAAGAAAAACATTAATTTTTTTTTTCTAAATTTAGACACGGCTATGACTGATAATTTAATGGGCCAAGTTTCTCTTTTGGGCCAGTAATGGACCAAGTTACAAGATGGAGAATATGCAATTAGATGGATGTTCACGGATTCAACCCACCCCAAATGAAAAAAGAAGGGATAAGTGCACTAAAAGTCCTAAAACTTATTACGAAAGTGTAATTGAGTCTTAAAACTTTCATAATATGCAATTAAGTCTTAAAACTTGTTAGGAAAGTGCACTTGAGTCCTAAAACCTTCAAAAAGTGCAAACAAGTCCTAAAACTTGTCACGAAAGTGCAAACAAGTCCTAAAACTTATCACAAATGTGCAATCAAATCCTAAAACTTTCAAAAAGTACAATTAATGGAAGGACTTGATTGAATCAATTTGATAAATTTTAGGATTTGTTTGCACTTTCGTGATAAGTTTTAGGACTTGTTTGTACTTTTTGAAAGTTTTAGGACTCAAGTGCATTTTCTTAACAAGTTTTAAGATTTAATTACACATTATAAAAGTTTTAGGATTCAACTGCATTTTCGTGATAAGTTTTAGGATTTTGAAGGTACTTATCCCAAGAAAGAAAAAGAAAGAAAGTTAACCAATCCACGAAAATAGCGATAAGAAGACCAACAAGATCAATAACCGCTAAACCGGTTTAGCATGTAAGAGGAAATCCTCGTTATACTGGTTCCTCTCCTCCACTCACTCAAAGAATTCCCACCACCGTAACCATGTCCATGGCCTTATCTTATCAGCCTCCTCCTCCTCCTCCTCCGACGACCCTCAACTGCAAAACTTCCTCTTCAACCTCCATAGCTCCCGCACTCATTCGCTCTCAGTTCCCCGCCAAATCCAATGCTCTCTTTTTGCAGAACAACCATGGTAACCTCTTATCCCTGAACTCCTCGTCTCCTGAGAAATGGAGAGCCCAAGTGTCCTTTTTTCCTGCCTTCTTGGGCAAACGCAAAGACGTCACGACCCTCAAGGAGGAGCTTCTTGAAGCAATCGCCCCCCTCGATCGCGGCGCTGAGGCCACCCCTGAGGATCAGCAAAGAGTCGATCAGGTTGGGTTTGACGTTACCCCTTTTGGCGTTCATTTGCTTTTTTTTTTTTTTTTGGTTGCTAAATTCTCGTTGTTCCAGATATATATATTTTTATATAGATTCATTGTATACTATAACTTCTGAACCAGAAACTGTGCTTGGGTTTAATGAGGTAGTCGTGGTGTCATGTTGATTTGTGACTTTTGCATTCAGTATTATGCTTTCAACTTTCTCTTGCTGATCAGATTGCTCGGAAGCTCGAAGCCGTTAATCCAACCAAGGAACCTCTGAAATCTACTTTACTTAATGGCAAGTGGGAGCTCATATATACCACTTCAAAATCAATTCTACAAACTCAGGTAACCATGTTTGTTGAATTCATGAGTATTTGTCATTACCATTGTTATTACCTCCGTTTTGTTGGTATCTGTTTCGGGAATTTGTTCCAAATGCAAGATGTGATTGTAATGATTGTCTGAGTTTAAGTCAGATGTAAGTGGACTTAGCGCACGGCCCTAAGTTTCCAAACTAAGCATGAGAAAAAGTATCATCTAAAGGGGGTCAGACAACCCGTATCCATTTATATTGTCAGGGGAAAGATATCTGCTATTGTTTCTTAGACTTCTCAAGGACTACCTTTCATAGTGAACATTTTGTTCATCATTCATTTCCTTGCTATAATTTTAGGTCGAACCCCAGTAATATATTTCCTTGGTCTAACCTGTCTGGAGCACATTTTAAGTCGAACCAGAAGTAATATCTGTCTTTGACATAAAGGTTTGAAAAGCACAAAGAATGACAATGGTAATGTCAATGGTAAGGTTAAGGTATCTCTCAGTTTGTAATTGTCACTTCTCTTCTTCTTTAGCTTGTTGTTCTCTTTCTTTGATGCCTCTTGACATACCACAGGGAAACATACAAAGCTTATTTGGCTATGCTTTCTTAGAAAGATATGGATGAGAAGATCTTAGAGATCAGGTCGTTTTATTATGAGGCAAAAAGAGCAAAATTCCGACTTCACCGTTTCTCTCTGCTGAGGCTGTTTTAATATTGCCGTTGGGTATGTCTTTGTGGCCCTGTCAGCATAGAACATGTCTGTTTTTATATCTAATGAGATTTCATGGTGTTAATCATTCATTGAAGTGCAAACTTTGAATGTTCTTGCATTTATCTTGCTAGGTTGCTATATGTCCTTCCCTAAGTATCCTTCTTTGTTGCCCTATAGGGAAACATTGCTCGATTCATTACTGCCTCTTTTACATTTTTCTTCTTGTATTAGTAATGACACACTTATTGTCTTTCTCTATTTACTCTTTTGATTGAAATTGTATGTAAGTAAATTTGTGACAGAGACCCAAATTCTTGAGATCAATCACAAACTACCAAGGAATCAACGTCGATACACTCAGGGCACAGAACATGGAAACATGGCCTTTTTTCAATCAGGTTATGAAATTAACTACATAGCTATTGAACTTTCAATTTCTTGTTTTCTTCATCACTTTAGAATTATGGCGCTGAAAAATTACTTGAATTGCAGAATCTTCTCATCTTTGTCTTTATCTATATCTATGTCAGCTCCCGAACAGTGTCCAGTACCATGGCTTGTTCCATCTTAAGGAATAACGATGACATACTGTAGGCTAGTGTATAGGATTTGTCAGATGAAGAGATAGAACTGACACGGGGGAAAGCTTGTACATAGGGCTGAAGACTATCTGAGTGGCGGACCACTTTGATAATGCAATGAGACGTAGTCAAGTCCAAACGACAAGATATCTTTTCAGTTCCACTGTTAGAGCCACTATGTTGTTTTGGGGAATGACAAGATCCATTTTCTTGGTTCAGGGTACTTGGCACTATTATCACGCTTTTAGACTTAGCATGATTTTAAAAGTTGAAGTATGCTACCTGTTTATATACAGACTATCGTTAGTAGGAGAGGAGCAGGAAGGAGAACATCCACTGCGGGTTGCTCCACTAGGTTACCAGTGAAAAGCAAGCTCTTCACTAGGCAGCTCCATATTCCATGTGAAGGAGGGGGGAGGGAGGGAATTTTGAGTACTTGGAACAAAGTAAATGGGGAAAAAGTAGGAAATGAACACGGTGGCCTTTAAATGCAATCAATATAATACTCTAGAGAGGCCTCAAGATGTTGATCCTTCTTTTTCCATTATTGATAACTTGTTGGTGTTATTGCTATTTTGGATGTCAGATGATCTTTAACTGCCTGAAGAAACACACTGCTTCATGTGTGCGCAACCGCTGGAGTGAACTTGAGTACACTCCTGTATTTTAGAACTGACAGTCGGTTTCATCCTGGCTACAAGTAACTAGGTTGGCCTAGAAGTGAGGTTTAAAATAGCTGTTACCCTTCTCACTGTCAAGTTAGAATCGGGCATCATAAATTTCCTTTGTTTTGGCCTAAATGATTCATTCTTCAACTGAAATCCATTAATTAGTAGTTGGCTCATTTATATCCTTTGTTTTGCATTGTTTGATGCATCGTGAGCAGAAAAAAATTAGAAAGTTCTGGCACTGAGATTGCCGAAAATTTCTATCTGCAGGTTACAGCGGACCTAACTCCTCTGAATACAAGAAAAGTTGCAGTCAAATTTGACTTTTTCAAGATTGCTGGTTTGGTAAGTTTATCAAATCAGAATTTGCAGTTCTAGTTCCTAGAATTTATTAAACTCATCTGCACAACCAAAATTCTGATTGTTGCTGATATCTGATGGATAGCCATGTCTGTCCTCCTCATGAAATGAGGTGTTGACATCAAGCACAGGTCATTCAAAGATTTGGTCCTGAGGCTCTCTTCAATATTTCTGAATTCCTGTAGTTCCTTGGATCAATGGTTATTTCTCAATAGTTCTGCTGGAATGCATCTTCAGACAGATATAGATGGATCCGATAAATAAATTAGAGAAATAGGTTTCCCATTCTTACATTTCTCTGATGGGACCCTGCATCATATGACGTGTTCCCTTCAGATTAATAAAGAGACCAAGAGGGAAAAAATTTGAAACATGAAAAAAAGAATTGTCTAGATTACTATCTATTGCTATTTGTTTTCCGTATTAAGTTGCTTCAGTAAAATATAGGGATAAATTGCAGAAAGTTCCTGAAGTTCTCAACTTTTATACCTTTTATGCCTCACAATTGAAAACTTGTAGCTTGCATTATTATGATAAACCTTAAAAGCACCTTGCAGTTGACCTTTCAGGATGCAGTGGAACCCCATTTTTTCCCCATCGCCCCCAAATTAACTAGAAAATCTAACAAATAAACATTTATAATCTCTAATTTGCTACATCAATAAAAGTTCCTCAATTCTTTTATTGCTTCAATGCAGAGATGACTTTCATCCTACTTTTTCCTAACTCAGCCTTCAAGTGTTTAAATGTCTGTATTTTCTTCTTGCCTTAATCAAGCTACTTGAAGATGATTTTGTCTCCCATATAGGGTGCTCTTTTTTGGAGGTTTTGGTGTAGTTCCATCTGGATGGACTGTCCCATTCTAATGATTTTGTTAGTTATCTATCGATTCTTTTACCTTTTGTCCCTGTAGTTTCCGGGTTACTACACACTGAGAGTTCTGTCTCACCCCAAACACCAGCTCCCATTCGAAACTCTGTTCATCCAGTTTTCACTATATTCTGATGCTGAATAGCCTGACAATAATTGTGGTCGGTCTATCTTAGATTTCCTTGTCAATCTTTCCCAGTGCCAGAGGACTGTATCCTTACTCCTAAGTCTTCTATCTCTTTTTATAGCATGAATATTGTTTGTCAAAAAGTTTTCTGGTCCGAAATTTGAAAAGCAACGTGAAAGACGAAGATGTGGTAGTTCTAAATTTTAATGCTGTTATGACCCTAATTAGATCATCTCATGGAAGTATAACTGCAAGTTCTGGTTATTATGTGGCTTATGGGTGCAATGGTTTCGTTACAGATTCCTATTAAGGCCCCTGGAAGAGCCCGTGGTGAACTAGAAATAACATATTTGGATGAAGAATTGCGGTGAGTGCGACTTCACATCACTGGCAAAGTGGCAATTTAGTTTAGGTTTGCATGATACGCCATTATGCCTGCGTACATGATGTCGAATTCACGGGGCGAATGTCTTCTTGTTGCAGAATATCCAGAGGCGACAAGGGGAATCTCTTCGTATTGAAAATGGTCGATCCATCTTACAGGGTGCCTGTTTAACAAGAAGCCAAGTGCAGAGGACAGGATCTCATGGAATCGGGTCATCTGGTGATGAAAAGAATTGGCTCCTGTAAGTTGTACAGATCATACATACCCAAGGGGACTTCCCTCCGGTTTCGGTGCAACCATGACACGGCAAGATAAAGAACATCTACCCGTGACTGTCGAGACAAATTAAGGCAGCAGAAAATAACACCTCTCGAAGTGCATTTAGCAATGTGCAGAATCCCTTCTTTTACATAACTATACGGTGCTTGATGAGTCAATTACAGTGCCAAGCAGTTGCCCCTGGATTAATGTACTTTGATTAAAGCAATTCAAATTCTGACTTTCCAAATACAATGGCTGCATGCAGTAGCTACATGATGTAGCCTACATCTTGAATTCTAAAATGGGTCGATTTACCTTGAGATTCATGATCAAGTAGTTTGTTTTTTTCACAGAACAAAAGACGCTCCATCTCTACGTTCCTAGATAAAGAGATAACGTCACTTGTGATCATTCTACTTTTACTCGAAAATTTAAAACCATTCCCGTATCTTTGCATGAAATCTTTTTCTTTTGCTGACATGGATCACGGATTGCTAATATGGATATGGGGGTACCTGGCCATGTACCTTTTAAAAGTATCACTAGTCGTCCCTCGTTCGTTCAGCCGACAATGAATTTTACCGACATGGCGACTGCAAGCTTTGAGCTTAAGCTTGAATGACAATGGCCACGATATGGCCTGTGACATGGAGTTGTCTACTTGTAGGGAGATCAGTGAGATGCATGTCCGTGCATAGGAAATGTCAATGGTAAGTTCAGTTTGAATTTTCTCGATATCCGAACCGCTCCGAACACGAATAATATATAATTAGACCTGTCAAATGGGTGGGTCGGATCGGTTTGGGTCGGGTCATAAATGGTCCGACCCAAATTAACCCATTAACCTGTTTATGACCCATTTATGCGCAATGCAATTTTCTTGACCCATATCCAATCCATACCCGATCAGATCCATATTGCTAAAATACTTTCATATTTAATTAAATATAGGAAAATTCATACCCAAGCTGAAATGAGAATGTGGAGTGAGTGAGTGCAAGATTGAGTGAGGGCGAGAGAGATGCGTTGAGTTTAAATCAGTTGTAAACTCATTTATGATCCATTTACGACCCATTTAACACCAATATAAGACTTCTATCCATTTATGATCCATTTACTAAATATAACTAATTTATTTATGACCAATTGACTAATATACGGGTTAAGAAATGGGTTTATGACCCATTTTGACAAGTTTATATAAAATTTTTATGACCCGAACTGTACAAGACTCGAACCGAAATGAGGGTTCAGGTCGGGTCGGGCTTCCGATCCGTGCATCCTCGATCTCAGCATCGCATGCGACCTAATGGTCAGGGTGGTGCCCGGATGGGAGCAGCAGCATGAATCCACCGTTTGCGCATTCATTTCATTTTAACCATATAAGATCACGTGAGTTGATATATGCAAGAATTTTTCGTGGTGACGAAAAAAAGAGAAAGAAAGAGGAGAGACAACATTACGATATTTCGTGCCACGTTCGACGGAAATTGTACGGACGGCAACACGCCTGCAGAAGAAGGAGGAACGCCTAGAAAGAATGCAATCAGCTCACCCAGTCACCACCGCTCAATGAGCGTAGATGGCGCTTTCTTCTTACCATGCTTCGTCCTGCTGCGGCTGCGCTACTCAGTTCCGGTCTCTTCGCCCTCCTCCTCCGGCGCCGCCCATCCTCGTGTCGCCCTTTTCGCTTCCACCGACTCCCGCCGCCCCCGACGCCCTCGCGATCTCGCTCCACGCGCGCAAGCTCTTTGCCGGCGCTCGCGCCGCCTCGTTCCCGTCGAGAAGAGGCGTCTCCTTCTTCTCGGGGCTCGCGACGAGAGGCGGGGAGGACGTCCGGAGGTTGAAGGAGGAGCTGCTCGGCGCCATCGCTCCCCTCGACCGCGGCGCCGAAGCCACTCCCGATGACCAGCTGCGCGTTGATCAGGTGAGGCCTTTGAATTCAGGTACGCCTCGTTTCGTTCGATCTTTGTCAAGTGATGAATCTCGGGGAAGCGGAACGATGCATTGGAGATGAGCTGTGGAGTCGTGTCACCCATGGACTAGCGGTTGAAATATGAATGTCGTTTCGCTATATCGCTGTTTGGCATCTGCTCCGATGGAAAATTTGCTGAAGTAAACTACCTTGGCGTCTTTCAGTGAGAACATCCATTCTTTCTACATGGGAATTGATCTCAAACGGAGAACGAAACGACGTTTCTATTTCGCCTTTCTGCGCTTTCGGATAGTTTCGAGTTGGTCAAATTTGGAAGACTTGAGGGGATATCGCGATCCACGTTCCGATGGAAAAGGGTTCCCAGCAAAAACCCATCAGAAACGCCTCCCAAGTGTTTCGATGATGGTCGCTAATTATTCTGAGAGGACAAAATCAATGTTGACCATTTGTTTTGTGTTGATTCATTATGCATGCTTTTAATTGAGGAGATCATTGATGACTGTTTAAATGCTTAGAAGTTGCCGCCGAGTCCTTGAGTGCCAAGCGAAATTATTCATGTGCAGAGTGCTTTCATACGTCCATAACAAACAGAAATAACTGTCAGGATCCAGCCAATTAAATGCTTATAATCCAAAAGCTAGACAGTGGAGATGGAAATAGGGGCCTACTTTTTTTCATCCATCTTGGATTTTGATGTATTAAAATAATCATCCCTTGATGGGAATTATTTACTTGATCAGATTGCGCGTAAGCTTGAGGCAATTAACACAGTGAAGGAGCCTCTCCAATCTGATATGCTTAATGGCAAATGGGAGCTTATCTATACAACATCCAAATCAGTCCTGCAGACCCAGGTATGAAAGTTTTCCCACTTTTATGCACTTTATCTTTTGGCTGGTGGGACCTGGCACAGACTCGTTGAAACAGTTTGATGAGTGACATGCTCATTTTTCTTAGGTTAATCTAGAGCATTAACTACTCTCCATGTTTCAAACTCGATTGGTTCTTAAACATCCTAATTCTACTTTCTAGTGTGAAGTCCATTGACCAGATTGGCAAGATGACTATCTCTGATTGGAATGTCTACAGATTCTGTGACAACAGCTCTCCTCATACTAACACTCTGCATTCCAAAGTCTCTACTTTTTCGGTGGACACCACAAGAACTTCAGTGAATTAAAGATCTACTCTTTGTAATCATTATGATCTGAAGGGCCTCTGTGCTGCTACCTTCCTCTCTCAATTCAATTATCCAGTCAAGCTTCTTAGAATTCTCTTCATTTGATATGACGGACTCTTAGATAGTTATCTATCTAGGATGAAGGATCTACAGGGAAAAGGATATTGGGGTTCTGTCTATCTTAGTGCTCATTTTCTTTGTGTATCTTCCTAAGGGTTTGGCAGAATTAAAATTCAGCACAGGATAGTTTCCACTCTGCATTTTCCCCATGTGCTTCTTTGTCATTGTCTCACACGCGAAATGTTTGATCTAGCTCTTTATCTAATTCTTCTTTCTTTTTTTTTTTGTCCATTTGATCAAATATATCGCTGTAATTTTTGCATCTTGTAATCTGCATAATCAAGCATTTCAAATGCCCATGGCAGAGACCGAAGTTCTTAAGGCCAAATGGCAAAATCTACCAGGCGATCAATGTCGATACTTTAAGGGCTCAAAACATGGAAACTTGGCCATTCTTTAATCAGGTCATTTTAAGACTATCGCTCTTCCTGTTCTCACTTATCTCTTTATTAACTATGTAATTCCCCAATGATCTTGTACCACTTATATTTCTGTGTTCTTTAAGAAGAGAGAGAATAGAGGTATTACCTTAATAATTGTAAGTCTGTCTGTACTGCAATTTGCAACTGTTATAACATGTAATATAGAAAGATTACTGGAGAAGTGAACAGTGTTCTGAAGCCTGCGATTCATTATGGTGAAGACTCAAAACACTGGTATGGTACTTTAGGATTCAGTGTCAAAGTCTGTTTCCTCTATTATCGGTTAAGAAAGGATTCAGTGGTAAATTATACCAATATTCCACTGCTTTCTAGCTTAGATTTGTTATGGTTTACATTTATAATTGCGCTGCAGAAATGCTGAAGAAAAATTCAACTAGTTTGATGATTCTGCTTAACTAGGGAGATGATGCCTGATTTTAGCTCAGTTCTATAAATTAGTTTCTATCTTCAGGTGCAAGCAATCGAATGTAATTCCAGGCTTACCTAGTATGCTCTATTTTTGGCCAGATCTGCTCTTAACTAGAGGAAAATTCATCACGACGAGAAATTTGGTCATGGAAATTTCACTTATTCCAAATTAATATCATTGCCAGCGATATCATTTTGTGACATAACTGTGTGATGATCGAGAATTCACTTTTTCGGGACCAATTTTCGCAGGTGACAGCTAATTTGGTGCCTCTAAATGCAAGAAGAGTGGCTGTTAAATTTGACTTTTTCAGAATTGCTGGTTTGGTGAGTCTTATTTTTATTACTGACCTATCTTCGCCCTAGGACTCCATATTTCTCCTCTTGCGGAGTAATTGCTCAAGATGTTAATTGTTTTTCCATCATTTGCATAGATTGAAAAGCATACTTATTAGTTGACCCCCACATTGTTTCCCTGGCATTCTCTCTATCATGATTTTAGTTACTTCAGTTATAATGAAAATTGGAGAGAATTGATCAAAACATGATATGAGAGGTAACATAGTGATGACTTTCAACAGATAAGAGAACAATTTGCAACTGTGGTTCGGATGCTCTTAGTGAATGTGCTAAGCTCTTACCCAATTGGGCAAGCACCTTCTTTGATATTAATGAGGTAAACCGATTATAAACTAAAATAACTGAACCGCTTCAAGAAAAAAACTAATTTGCACTCATGGAGATTGGAAGCCATACCTTCATGAATTACAACCCATACCCACCATCTGATCTAGATGGGGATGGCCCAATGGGAATTCACGTCAAAAGTTTCATTATTATATATAGAAAAGCACTCAGTTTAACTAAACCTGATGTTTCAAATCAAAAGGTTCAGCCAGTTGAATTGCGAACCATCAGTCTCTCCGGTTTAATTGGAAGGAATAGTTCATTACTGTCCCTTATATAGTTTTTATGGCATTCTGCCTCATGATATCGGTTATGCCTTTTCAACCGTTTAATGTCTATCTTACCATTATTTTTTAAAACTTTCTCAGATTTCTATAAGAAATCCAGGAAGTGGTCGTGGTCAGTTGGAGATAACTTACTTAGATGAAGAGTTAAGGTGAGCAGTTTGATTCCCTTAGTTCTTACTTCATTGATTCAGTAATTGTTGTATCTGGCAAGATAATTTCTTGTTAACAGTAATCTAAACTATTTGTATGGTTAGTTCAGCTCTATCAATATTTTATATTACATCCCCTTTTTCTAGAATCCTAGCCTGATAGCTGGGCCCAAACTTGGCAGAAAGTGAAATATGCAATATAGTTAACTTTTTTTTTGGTCGAACAATAGAGTTAATTGATTAATTTATAATTATGACTTAATATGACGTAAGGAGGAAATTGTTAAGTCATAATCTCCTCCTTACCGCAGCAGTTTTACGGGTTGTGCTCGGTGTTGCAAGATGTAATGATTTTCAAATATTTTGGTCCATTTTTTGTTGATTTTGGGATTATCTACAATTCAAAGCTTGAAATTAAGCACTGAAAGCTACAGGCAAGGGAACTCCATTCTCAGAAATAATTTGTGACATTTGCTTGAATCTCATGTATTTATGGTATAATGATAGAGAAAGGCAGTCCACTGATATGGGATCTGATCTATGCGTTTGCAGGATATCAAGGGGTGATAAGGGGAATTTGTTCATCTTGAAAATGGTGGATCCGTCCTACAGAGTCCCCCTCTGAATTTGATGTAGTTGTACACAAGAATATATGTTGCATCAGAGATTCGTATACCGCAGCAGAACCACGATCCTAAGAGGAATTGCCCCCTCCATTTTCATGAATTTGGGGCGTGACGCCGGTTGAGCTTTCGACTGAGTCCTCCGTGCAAAACTTGGTGAGGAGGCATTGCAATATATTGATATTAGGCACCGCCGGGTGTACGGAGGCTCCTCATTTTCCGAGCAAGATAAGGGGATTCTAAGGGATATGCTTCTTAATTCGAATTAAAAGAGTTGTTATAACTCAGTCTCTGGGATTGCACTATTTATGTGTAAAATCGGACTCCCCTCTTGCTTGCCATGTGTCGTTATTCCATGCCGCAAGAGATAAAATATTGATCGGCCTAACTCCAGTGTTTGCTCGTTTCTGGTGTCAAGAGGATGTGTTTGTAACATCGATCGTCTATGTAATTTGGTCAGGACGGTGATTTTGGTTCTCTTTAAGAATCATCACGTGGTCAGAATTTACGGTCTCGTACTTTCAAGGCTATCGATGGCGACAGGCTATGCCTAACTTACCAATTGAGGTTTCCGAGGAAAAGTCGCTGTCCTGTTCTTCTGCATGGATTTATTCTCGCCATCTCCTTATCGGAGATTTTTCCTTTTTGCTAGGAGCATATTGTTGACTGCACAATGCTTTTTCACCTACCAACGGTTGAACAAGCGCCATCGAGAATGTTGCTTTGAATTGTGAAGCAATCGACCAAACAAAAAAAAATTGTGAAGCAAGAAGCATGCACGAACTTTCTAGGCACAGCTGTTGTATCCTTTATGGGCGATAAAATTAATACACTTGATATGGTACACTCGAGTACGATATAAGGGACAAAAGAAAGTTATAAGATAAGCTCATTCTATACTTGATATGGTATATAAGAGCTAAAATTACTCATAGAGTAAAACTTGTATCCTAGCTATGTCATGGGATATAATGTGCATCATACCTATGCTAACTATAAATGGAAAAATTCAAAGAGTTGTGTCGCACGAAATTGACCATTTTACCCTTTTCTATAACTTCTTTAGATTCCCTTCCATTCTCAACTTCTCCAATTTATTTTGTGCATTTGTTTTTTGTTTTGCTTTTGCTTTCTAATATATTTCTATGAGAGCCACCAAATGTACGCGCATTAGCTAAATGTGACCAGATTTTCGAGTCTTACTGTTTTATAAATCATAAAAGGGGGCGATGTTAGTTAGCCAATTTGTTTTGCTTATCTCAAATAAAATAAAGAAAGAATTCTTATGGAATTTATAGAGTCAATTTTGTTTTTAATTGATGAATTTTTTTGGTCGAAAATTAATGAATTGACTAAGCGGTTACGCACTTAATTTAGGTCTAATATAGATTATATTATCTAATCACAGTCTTTTATCCAGAGTAATATTGAAAGAAGGCCATCATGTGTGTGTGGATAGAGCCTTACTCGATGTATGTGGACGACGGCAAAATTGTTTTCCAACATTCACCGGATTAATTGAGTCGAAAGAGTTGAATATCGAAAAATAGGATGAAAGAATTAAGGAAAAATGACACAAAACTTTTAATTTGTTTAATGTGATCCTCGAACTTTAACCCATCATGCAATGTTGTCCCTGAACTTTTAATTTGTTCAATGTGGTCCTTATACTTTGGTCCATATACTATATGAAAATGTTTAATGTTGTCCCTGAACTTGAATTAATAGAAAGATAACGTCGAACAATAATTCAAGGATTATATTGAATATGGATCAAATGTCCAGAGATTACATATTATACATTAGGTCAAACTTCATTGACAATTTGTGTCATTATCCCAAGAATTAAGGAGGGACCAGATGACAAATGGAGGCAGGTAATTACACCATGAGAGAACACAAGGGAAAATTACCAAGAAAGTTCTAAACCTATTGTAACTGTGCCAATTTAGTCATAAACATTTTTTTTAGCTAATTCAGTCTTAAACCTTTTGCATTTGTGCCAATTTAATCCATCCAGCCAATTTTGACCGATCAATGCTGACGTTGTAATTTTTAATTTTTTCTTTTCTTTCTCTTTCTCTTTTTTTTTTCCTTCCTTCTTCATCTGGCCGACAAGGTCGACCTTGCCGACCACTAGCAAGGCGAGCCCTTGTTAGATCCAGTGAGGGCACGCCTCACCATCGCTGGGCGAGGCTCGCCCTTACCGGATTTGGTAGGGGCTTGCATCACTAGGGGCGAGCGAGGTCGAGCTCACCTAGCCACTAGTGAGGGCCGGCAATCAGAGGAAGAAAGAAGGAAAAAATTCGAAAAAAATATTATTAAAAATTGTCAACGGTATTGTTGATCATGTCATGTTATTGCCAGCCGGCCAAATTAGCCGAATAGATTGAATTGACACATATGCAAAAGGTTCAAGACTCAATTTGTACAAAAAAAATATTTAGAACTAAATTGATATTATTGCAATAGATTGAGGACTTTTTTGATAATTTTTTCGAGAATAGAGAATGCCCACCTAACTTTTTTTCACGTCAAAACGCCATGCAATTTGCAGGTGCCCGATACAATATTCATTTGCATAAAGCCAAGTCAAATCCCATGCATTGATTACAGCGCCGGACATCGACTCTTGACATTATAAAAATAAATAATCAGTCAAACTCCTCGATCTTTGATTTCTCATTCGTTGCTTCCATCGAGAAAAGAGGGACTTGATCAAATCTGATCACCCTACTTTTCCAAATGCAGCCGAACAAGAACGGACGAGGTCCCTCGTCGTCCCTATCACCTCTCTCTCGCTGGCAATGGCTATGACGGCCTTCAATATGGAATATTAGACCTCATGCGCTGCCGGGGAAAACAGCGATTCTCTCTCTCTCTCGCTTGAACTCTTGCGCCTATAAAATCTCACTCGCACCACTCTCTCTCCAACAATCATCTCCATCTTCTACACACACCAAGCTCTACTGGTGCTCCCTGCTCACCATAATATAGCAAAGAGAATAATCAGTATTTGCATGCACAATGGCTTCAACTTCTTGCTTCGCGATAGTCTCTTCAATGCTAGTGCTTCTGTGCATGTCCTGCCATGCGCAACTTTCTTCCACGTTTTACGACGAGTCCTGCCCGGATGGGCTCGCCGCGATACGGACTTCCATCAGAACCGCGGTGTCGAGGGAGCGCCGGATGGCCGCTTCTCTCATTCGACTCCATTTCCACGATTGCTTTGTTCAGGGTTGCGACGCATCGATATTGCTGGAGAATAGCCCCACCATCTCTAGCGAGAGAGACGCCCCGCCTAACAAAGGCTCCGTGAGGGGTTACGAGGTGATCGACGATGCCAAGTCGCAAGTAGAAAAGATCTGTCCAGGAGTCGTGTCTTGCGCGGATATTGTTGCCGTTGCAGCTCGAGATGCTTCTGTTGCCGTAGGTCTTCCCATAATTCTCTAGATATGCATCTTGTGGTTGACATTAGGCAATAACATACGAATCATCTTATGACCGCTTGCTTACTTTCAAATATCTACTGTGAGTTTGAATCATTTTACTGATATAACTGATGCTGCTCTGGAAAAATATAGGTTGGTGGTCCTTCTTGGACGGTGAAGCTCGGAAGAAGAGACTCGACCACCGCAAGTCCATCGCTCGCGTTGAGCGATCTTCCATCGTTTTTAGCTGACCTCGAGACACTCATATCTAGATTTGCAAGCAAAGGCCTCAGTGCTAAGGACATGGTTGCCCTCTCAGGTATATACGAAATGCTTCCTCCTACTCATGTTGTTGTTTGCTGCATATCATGGTTGAAATTCAACCCTGACGGTGGACCTTGGCCTATGCAAGAATTTCTCATTCTTGCTTGCTCACAAGCTATTGATTTCATTACACGAATATAGCCCGGATGATATAAATAAAAGGAGAAATATTGTTGATATGCCCTTTCTGCCAACGTTATGCAGGTGCTCACACTCTAGGGCAAGCTCAGTGCTTCACATTCAGTGGCAGAATCTACAGCAACGGCAGCGACATCGATGCCGGATTCGCGAGCACTCGTAAGCGCCGGTGCCCGGCAAGCAGCAACGACACAACTCTAGCCCCGCTCGACTTGGTGACTCCCAATTCATTCGACAACAACTACTTCAAAAATCTGATGCAGAAGAAAGGCCTTCTCGAGTCGGATCAAGTCCTTTTCAGCGGAGGGTCCACCGACAGCATCGTCTCTGAGTACAGCAAGACGCCTGCGAGTTTCAAGTCGGATTTCGCGGCCGCCATGATTAAAATGGGCAACATAAGTCCGCTCACCGGTTCACGCGGCCAGATTAGAAGGATTTGCAGTGCTCTAAATTAGCAAGTCCGACATTCATCAAGATTTCATCTGTTTGAGTGCAAGTGTTAATGTGATTTTTTGCTTTAATCTTTATCTTGTCAAGAATCCGTCATATGTCTAACTGTTCAAAGTAAACTGTTCTATTGGTAATTCATTGACCAATTCTCGAACCCCCTTGCTATATTAGAGTTGACGAAATTAGTAATATTATCCGTGAACATATTGAGCAATTAATTGAGAAGTAAAGATTGTAAATATCGGTACCGTACTGCAAGTAGGCGACGCCATTGCTTGTATTTACTGTCGTGATGAAATAATGGCGGGCAAATTAATAGAATTTGGCACATTGTCACGTTCCCGTCCAATTACTTTTGAAATATTTCTTGCCTAAAAAAGCTAATGATACTAAGATGTTATTGAAATGTTTTTTGATACTTTAAGAACCACATACAGTTGCACGAAAAACTTGAGACGAACAAGAACAACGTTTAACCTATGAAAAAGTTTATAAAAAATGACGTGGCCAATTTATATATCGTGTTCCCTTATTCCAAACCTAATTTTTGTATCGTGGGCCTAGATTAGGCCCAGCTCAGGCCCAGGACCAGGCCCAGGATCAGGCCCAATAATGCTTATGAATGGCGAGGCGCGGCTGCTCTCGAAAGAATCGGCTTGCTTCTTCCGCTGATTCCGGCGGCGTTCTCATTCTGATTCCGTCTCAACGCGCAGAGAGAATGGCTCGATCAATGGTTACGACGACCGCCGCCGCCGCTGCCGCCGCATCTTCGAGCGTCACGACCACCGTCACCATCGGCGGTCAGGCTCCGCCACCCCCGTCTTCTTCCTCCTCGTCCTCCCAAGGCAACACCGCCCTGGTCCTGCGGCTGAAGAGGGTGAACGATAAGAAGAAGAAGGTGACCTGGAAGGAAGGCACCGTCGACAACGAGTTCATGAAGAAGAAGAGCTCCAAGAAGTGCTGCATCTTCCACAAGGAGAAGCCCTTCGATGAAGACTGTAGCAGCGATGAAGATGGCGATGCCCCGGATCACCGGCACCACCCCCATCGCGGCGATCATCGCTGCGATGGAGACGCTTCTTGCTCTAACGATGGTGGCAATTGAAGCGGGTTCGCTTGGATTGGTCTCGCGCTTTTTGAGATTCAGCCGGTGTTTCTGTGCTGCGTATCCCCTCCTTATGTAGCCGAAATTATTCTAGGGTTTTTCTTTTGGTTTGCTTGTTTTGGAGGGAGTTGCGTTTACATTTCTGCGAATTTCTCTGGTTTCAATGTAATTGACTGGATCGCAGGATGTTAAATTGAAATGCATACAGGAGTTTTAGATGAAACATGTCTTTTATATTTTCCGTCCGTTTCCGAGTGGGGGCATAATTTTTTTCATGAGTTCGTGTGCGACCTAAAGCAATTATTCAATCATGTTGATGCTTCACATGTTTTTGTTTGGTTTATTGGGATGAGGAACTTCAATTTGGAACGATGCTTGTTTGTCTTGATCAAAAGTTCATCTCATTCAATTCTTAGATGCCTTGATCTGCTATTTTGCATTTCCTGCCTCAATAATCTATCCCTAGTAACCCAACATTCCCGTTGACAAGGGTGTTTCCGGTTTAGTGCTTGGCAAATTTGACGCTCAACCCACTAGTATTCTGCTTGCTTTCTGATGACATATTCACCTGGAAGTCGTGCCTTCACTGTTCCACTGAGGAGTCTAAAAAATGAATGTTGCTTATATATTTGCTCTTGATTCTGTAGATCTTCAATTTAACTGATAAATACTTGAACTATTGTTGTGTGAGTTAATCATTTCTGATTATTTTGCATCGCACATGATGCAGTTTATGTTGGATCGAGCAACTAAGCTTGTGATGTTTCTCTTATGGATGAAATATATTGAATTCCATACTTGAAACACAATGAAATTTGTTGAATCAAGTTTGGACTGAGTTGCAATTAAAGCATGTATTGCATTTTTTTATGTTCGTCAATTGATTGGTATTGGACAGCTATAGTAATGGAGTCATACATTCTTCTCTTGGAAATATCGAATCCTTTGATGTCAATCAATCCATTAATAGTAAATTAATACTTAGTCAAATTGTTTCATACTATCCATATTACGTGTAATGAAACTATGAGAGTCACGGCAAGGTTGAAGAATGGAGACTGGAGGCTACAAAAACGCTTTGTCCTTAACGGTTTGCCTAAGAGGGAGGTATAGGATCTTAAGGAAAAAACCTTCAGGCGAAGAATATTTTTGGTCCATAAATTGGTGGAGCAGCAGAGATATAGATTCGGTTTTGGATTTCATTGCTATCAATGAATATTTTTTGTTGGCGGTACTGTTTAAAAATGATTAAGTCTCCCATTTGTATGATTTAAGTTTTTTGCTGAGATTTTTTCCTAATAATTTTGGTTTATGAGCAGTACGACTAGACTCTTTCCACTTTTTGGTGATTGTTTCGTCACTAAGGGTTGAATAGGTGTTTGAATTTGGATGATTTGGTGCCAAAGTGGTGACTGTCAGGTCTGTTATAAGCGTAATGGCTTTTCTTTAGCCAATGTTTTGTTTTGTTTTATTTGGTGAGGGATGTTTTCTCTTTGTAGGGATGTTTGTGCTTTGTGTAGCATGATATTATTTGGATTTCTGCATGCAATAGGCTAGTTGGATGAAGGACTTTTTGGAAATAAATTGTTTGTGAGAAAGACTTTCAGATGGTAAACGAAAATGATTGGTTTTCCTAGATTGCAAAGGATAGTTACCCCAGGTTTTCCTAACACATCAACTAGGGAATACAGGTGTCGTGAATATGAATCAACATCCCTATTAGCATACTGATGTGGTCTTTGCTTTAGACTTCTCCTCTAGGAATATGTTGAATGATTAAGAATCTTGATCATTATATTAAGGAAAGTCAGAGAGGCAGAATGCAGTTTTATTTTGATCAACGTAGTAAGCAATATATAGGTTTTCTCGGATGTCCCAAGACCAACTAATCTTCTGTCTGGCTGAATCATTAACCTCTGCACATCTAGGAAATGATTCTTTGTGTATGAAAGCTAGCGATCTGCTTTATTCCTATTTCTCGTCCTCAGACTTCCCTTAGATGGTAATTGAAAGCTTGTCAAACTTCGTGACTAAACTTTTAAAATAGCTTAAATGGTTATAAAGTTCTTACCAAAGAAGTGAACTTGTTATCCAACCAATTGAGTGTTTGCTATACATGGTAATCCTGCTTTGCTAAAACGTGTTGTTCTTTCCCTTGCCAAAAGAGGTGCAAGGAAACATTATGTGGATCCTCTTCTTGAATGGTAAGTAATTGAAGCCATCAAAGGTTGAATTGGCTTTTCCTTACAAACTCATTTTATAGAGGAGAAATTAGCCAAAACTCATTGAGAGTTTTGAGAGCTCTTTAAGAACCTTTAATGTTCTTTGTTTTGTTTATCGAGGCTATCTAAATGTATCATATAAGTCGAGTATGACAGAATCTTGGCATATCCAGGATATAAATTCTGACGCAGATTTTCACTTTAACACTATTATTTAAATCCTTCCTAGCTGCAATCACAGATCTGTCACTTCAACACCAGTAAGAGAGTATATGAAGTGTTAATGATTTATCCACTGATGAATTTCAAAATTTCTGCCAGTTTTGGGAGGGAAAAGAATTGTCTTACTGAAGAATCGTCCTAGCGTGAAAAGCATGAATTGGAGGGGGTTACGCTCGTTTTAGTTGAAGGCACATGTCATATATGCAGCCAAGACCTTTCCATTGCCATAAATGCAAGTTGTCTTTTGTGGAAAAACCATTATTTCTCATTAGCAGTTTAGCATTCAGCTATTCCATTCACCACCATAGTCAAGTGCATATCTTTTCTTGAGTTGTCTGTGCTGCCATCAATACTTTTGGTGTGAAGTTGGTTTTTCCTTTTTTCCCCCTCTATTTCCTTGAACAGGTTTTCATCGAAGCCTGAATCATCTGCTGCCATCAAGAGATAGTCATCCCTAATGCCTTGATCAAGAAACTTTGCCCTAAAAACAGAACTTCAGTAAAATTCAGTCGATCTATCTTTTGCCCTTGAATATTCTCTGCTTATCACATCAGCTTTTTTTTTTTTTTTTGGTTCCTTCTTAATGCTTTTTTCTTTGGTAGTGCTGAAGCTGAAGTCTGTTGGATATGGAGAAAGCGGCAGCTTGACACCATCTTGAATGAGTTTTTTTATTTTCTTCCTACTTTACTGGGAGACTGTAAACCATATCCTTGTAAGGTCATCTAGGTTATTTGCTAAGGTAGAGTGCATTTTACCCCCTAGATGCTACTTTAAAGTTACAGAAAATGTTAAATAACGGGAAGTCTTTTGGCAGAAAAATCACTCTATAATGCAATTGGCTTTTATAATTTGATCTCTTCTCTTGTCTCAGTTTACTTGTAAGGAGGAGAGTGAGTATTGTGAGATTACAGGAAAAATAGCTCTTTTTTATTGTTGGGACAAAAATCTGATGGCACCCTTTGAAGTTTTTAATTGAGACCTTCTTCCATTATTTTTCTCTATGTTCTAGCATATGTTGCGCATTAGAAGTAGCAGTTTGACCCAAATGATATTGCATCTCGGTAGGTTAGGAACTTAGGAGTACTGTAAGGCTCTTGGAAAGCGGAACTATATAGGAGATCCCACATGAAACTCTTAATATACTGCCAGCTTGCTTTATTTCCATTTATAATTCTAAATCTAGTAAAAAAGGTATTAGATTTTATTAAGATGTCTCTCTCAAATGTCTACTTGCAGTAATTTTCTGTTGATTACTTAATGAAATTTTGATTTTGTTTGCTATATGTTTCGGCGAAGCCAGAACCAATATGGGAAAACAAGGGCCGTGCCGCCATTGTGGTGCTAGAGGTAACAAAATGCTTCTCTCATTGGTTGGAAGTAGACCAAGCCATATATTCAATCATAATCACTTTGCAGGGTTAATTATCTCACTCGCTCATGAATTGACAAATTGATGTGGGAAATTGCCATTTATTTTCCTTCTATCACAAGTCAATCATAGTAATGACTATATTCTGGCTATTTCTTGACTGGAGACATTAACCATCCAGTGTTAAAAGTTGACTTGCCTCTTGGCTAGGGGTAAAGGTTGAAAAGTTGATGGTAACTTTGAGAGTTGTACATTAAGGTGATGGATTATATAAAATTATAAGCACTAAACTGCTGGGAAGCAGAAATTATAATATGGTTCAATAGGACCCATCTGATTCAAAGTATGACGTCATTTGAATGGTCACTACACCACTTGCCAATGTTGATTGACTTTATTTATTTGAGTTTTATCTTTGAACTTGGGCAGAAACTCCTCTTTGGAGACATGGTCCAGCAGAGAAACCGGTTTTATGCAATGCCTGTGGATCGAGGTGGAGGCTAAAGGGAACACTTGATGATTATACTCCCAAGCGCTACCGTTCAGTTGTTAGGAAACGAAGATTCCCAAATGCCAGAGATGTCCATGAAGAGGAGTGGATCGTGAATACCGGAGAGGTCACATTAGGTGATCTCAACTTTAATGAATCATTAGCTTCCAATAACACTGTTGCGGAAAGCGAAAATCCAGGTCATGCAGATCTATTTTATAAAAGCGATGAGTTATGATCATTGCGTTATAAGATTTGATCTCCACCTATGCATTTTCTTGTTCTTATTCTTATTCTTATTCTTATTCTTATTATTATTATTATTAGATTTTTTGGATATCTTCTCCTTCTTTTTGTAATTTTAGCCTTGGGACATTAGTTTTTTTGACAGATTTGATTGTATTTATTGCATGGAGTGACGATCTCGTTGTGTTCCATCGCTAGGTTTAGATAAAGAGCTGACTGAAGTACATCTTTGGTAGAAAATATTTAGATGCATGCATGGAGTGCATGACATGCACTTTAGTTTGTTACGTAACGTAAGAAAACTACTTTTCTGATGGTTGCTTGTATCTTTATGGGGCACCAGCTCATGCTGTTGAAGGTACAGCCAATTTCGCTGGAGAATTCTTTTTCAAATTGGCTTATGGTTAAGTGTATTGCTTCCGTTTATTTCAACTAATTGGCATTTGCTTTGAATTGTTCAAATGCATTAGCTGATAAAATTCCGACAACTACTTGACTGGTCGTGGTCACTGACCTCAACAGGTACCGAAGAGAGATGCTATGCTGACTGTTGCTAATGATTTGTGGGTGCTCTCTTGTTCCTAATAATTGTGATAGTAATTAATGATTCTGTAAAGTCAATGACGCATTAAGTAAAGTCAACATTGCTGAACAAGGTAGTATATTGCCTATGATTGAGGAATTGATGGCCATATATGACAGTAGTGCGTTATCCATGACCGATCACCATGATTATTCATACTAGTCCAGATATATAGGAAAAACGAAGGTACAAAATATGATAGGCTGATGGCCCTACATGTGTGACGGACAGTCAGCCTTTTAGTGAAAGTACAGCAACCTTCCAAAAAACTTCCTATTAAGATTTGCTTTGTATTGTTTCCTTAAAAATTCTGCTTCTTGAAACCTATAGATGATTGCCTGTATCTTTTACCAGCTGGAATAGAGACAGGCACTGAATTCTCAAAAAGGGCAGTGGAAGATCCGATCAGATATATAGACCTACGCTGTATTGTAGTATGAACAGAAATCTAAGATTCAGTATGTATATTATCTCAAGGCAAAACATTAAGCTTGTATTAATTTGGAAGTTACGAATTAAGGAGGGAAGTGCATTATCTATTCATGAACATATGATTGTGTAGATTTGCTATGGTAAGAGCTCTTTAAATGATGGAAAGACAGTGGAATATTTTAGATATGTATCTCCGTGGTTAGAATAGAAATAAAGCCGGTTTTATGGGCGAAGTATCGGATGGTCAAGTATTAACATGTGCTTCGACCCAAAAAACAAAGTATTAACATGTGCACTCAATCAGGATGTTAGATGATAGTGCTTTGGTAAATATTTGAGCATTCAAGAAAGATGCAATCTGTTAGGGTGGTTTAGATATGTGAAATAACAGTTTAGATGCTCTCATATGAAAGGACAACTATATGATGGAACAATTTAAAAGTGGCATGGAAAGTCTAAGAAAACATTGGAGGAAAATGTTAAAAGACCCTGATTATTTAGCTTTCCTTGATTATGTGGTATTACACCAAGTATAATGTCGCAAAAGGATCTGTATACAGGACTAATCTTGGTGAAAAAAAGGATTGGTCAGTGTCCGTTTGGAAACCTGTATTTGCCCATTAATTTTCTGAAGATAATTATCGTAAAGTGGACATACATCACAGACTTTGGCATGTTCAAATTTTAAGGGTCATGGCTTGTATTAGTATTGCTTTTCTTTCTGCTAGTAATTGAATGAAAAGAAATTCCATGAAAGTGTTGAGCCTTTGACCCTCTCTTGTCTTTAGTGGTGGCAATCGCCATTTTCTGTGTTTCTAGATCTCTGTTTCGCATGAATGATGACATATGTGCATAAACAATGAAAAGAGAATAAATGATTGGCCACATATTATCGTCATATGATTTTAGTTTCAAAGGAATGATGGAAAATGTTCATGAAAAATGAAAAGAGAATAAATGATTGCCGTATCTCACGTGATATGATTATGGTGATATGTCACACCATGAGCAAGAGAAATCTAGTCCTCACCTGGGGAGATAAGGGGTTTTATGATCAATAGTTTGAGGTCCGCTAGTGTACTAGTTCATTTTTGGCCATGCAAATTCAGTTGTTATAATAGGTATATTATCTTGTTGTGCGTGACTTCCCTTCTCCCATAAGGTTTTCCCATCCCTTTTCCAAACTATGGTATTTCTGTCTTTATAATATGACACAACCTGCCTTGGAAATATATAGAAGGGACATGCTTGGACAGCAGTTTCACACAATACTTAAAAGGCTCAAAAGCAATTCTTTCGTTTGATAATCTTTGTATTGTTAAGTTTTAAAACTTGTGATGCTGATTGACTTGGAACCAACATACTCCGACCTGTTAGAAAATCTGAGGTTGTATTTTGTATGTAAGCACTCACTACCCACTATGATACGATTACATATGATGGTGTACATCTCTTGGACGAAGTTGCTTTATGTAGTAATAACATAGGATCATATGGTATTCTTCGTCAAGAGATTTACATTGACTAATGCCACAAAGAAACTTTTTGCTTTGCTAGTTCTGTTTTCAACCTTCTAGTGGGTAGCGAGGACTAGATTTCAGCAGAATGTATCAGAAACTAGCTGTGCAGATCGGGGCAGATCTTTTTAATTTAATGTAGTAGTTAATTTGAGTTGGTAATGTGTGTTAATGAGAAGAAAAATGAAACATATGGACTTGACAAAATTGAGAAAATATCCATGTTTGGATTAGATCTTTCTAAAGTCTGTTGATTGTGAATATGTTTCGAGACTTTTGTAAGTGGCGCTGGTGTAATTATTAAGCAGTTTCAGAAGCATCGGAAATGTGTGAAAGTAGCGTTATGGTACTAAGAATTGTAGTAGACAAATTCCTATTAACTAATGTTGGGGGATTCATAGTTTTTATGTACTTTGTTATTGCCTGACTAACTAGGGGAAAAGATAATACTTGTCCTTCGTAACTGCTTTCTTCTAGACAAAATTATATCTTCATGCTTTCTAACAACAACTCATAAACAAGATTATTGATTTTTTTTATCTTCTTCGATGCCGGTTATTTGCAGATATGCAAGACGACAATCAAGTTCCACCAGTAAAGTATAGCTTTGCACACATCGAAAGTCTCCAAAAGGAACTTTATGAAATGTATATTGATCAACAATATGCTTCCACCGTCGCAGCTTCAGAGCTCATCTTCGATAATCTTAATGGCAGCCTAAAACATGACAATGAGATAGGGTTGGGAGTTGTGATGCTTAACGCACCGATAGTTGCCAAGGAGGAAAAATCTGGATCATCTCCTTTTTTGTGGAAAAAGAATGTTTTAGCCTCACATGCCAAAGCTACAGGAGAAGTCTTCTTAAAGTAAGTGATATGTTCATGGTGTATCGTCCCGGTTAATCCTTTTGAGCACTTTAGAACTTCTGTTAATAAATTTTAAGCGAATTATTGATATTTTCTTACCTGAAATTTAAGATTGTAAAATTTGTGTCTATAATACAATCGTGATTCAGAATGGACGACATAGATAGCAGTCAGGGTATTGCTACTCCACGAGCACCAGCAGATCCAAAGGTTAGATTTGCTTTGTCTATCTGTTTACCTTGAATTTTGAATGCGATTTCTTGATTATAGTATCCCAATGAAATGTGACTGGAAATTCTTTTCCCATGATTGTAAGAGCCATGTTTGCATGAATGAAGAGAAGTCAATTTTGCAAATCGTTGTTAACTTGTTATATTACTGACTTATCTTATGGTTTTCCAGTTGTTTACATTCTAACCTTTCCAATTATCTCTTTGGTTGGAAGTAAAGGGTCACATGACATATATGCATATGCATGATGCGTATATCGCTGGAAACTATTTCTGTGCAAAGTCTAATTCATTGTCCTTCAGTCTCTCCTCGATCTAGGTTTCAGTCTCTCTTCTTTCGGCCTTGCATGAGATAGTGGTTTCTTCTTTCGGCCATGCATGTATATTCGTACTTGTTATATGAGATTGTGATTCTGTTATGCATAAGATCCCTCGTCAAAGGTTCTCTTTTTTCCTATTCTAAAATTTGCTCTTTTATGTCTTTATCTGATCTGTTTATGTGACAGAATCCATATACTGGATACAGAGAAACAGCGGAAAAACATTTACGGAGATACTGAAAAAGCTTTAAACATCTTCTATCCTCTGAAACCCTTTGGCTAGATACTTTAAAACTTAGATTACGTTGATAGACGCAAAATATTGTCAGGGATGCAGGAATTTAGTGATGCTGGACATTGGCTCTTATTACATGATTCCCAGTACATGGTTTGTTCAATACATAGGATGAGCGATTCTCTTTAATATGTTGCTTTATTTGGTATTGGCGTAGGATACACAGTGAAAGTTTTGCCTGAGAAATTCTTGTTGGCTGACTGATGTAAAGAAACTTTGTGCTTTACCTCTGAGCCTTTCTGAGCCTCTGAACCTAGGTCTTGAACCTAGGTTGCCAGAGTGTGGATCACAGTGGAATGATAACGGGAATATTTTTTGTGGTACAACATGGGTATTTTTTTCCAGCTCATATAGTTGAGATAAAATCTAAGTATTTTTGTTTTTCAGGATGGTATTAACTACACTTTATGCATTGCTAAATTTAGAAGACCTTCATTATACTAAAATTATAAATTTGTCGTGGAAATATATCCAGAGAACTAGGATTAGAAATATTTTAATGTGTTGAGAGAAGGTAAAATCGAATTTTATAGTTTGGAATGCGTGGAATGTTTATTTTGGTGTTTCAAATCGGTGGTGAACCATAAAAGGAAATCGGTCCATTGTGCGGATCGCTTGCAAATTAGTGTATTCTAGTCACCTTGCTTTGAACCTATTAATAGGGTTGTGACCTTGGTGATTGCAATGATGAGGTACAAGCTAGGGGCTTATATGGTTTAGTAAGGAGTTTTGTTGTAGATACAGTTAACCCTTTCTAATGCGTGCTAATGAGAAATCAGTATATGGTAGACTCGATGAGTTTGAGTAGGTTGTAAAAGATTGTACCTAGTCAAACTCATGAGGTCCGTCATCTCATATCCCATTGAAAAGAGTACGTGACCTCGATGGTAGTATCACAACTACTAAACTTGTTGGACCAGCATCATAAAAGAAAATGGCTTTTATTTCCAGTTTGATTGATTGGTGTTCGATGGATTTTCATCTTTGTATTTCTGTAATTGCCTTTTATAGATGCTTTAATGTCCTGATATCCACTTATTCCAGTTTACATCTCTGGAGAGGTATAAGTCTGTTGCTGAAGTATCTCAAGTCCGTTCATCTTTTGCGCCCGGAGGAGATTTGTCGCAATATGTCCGTATGTCAGCTGGTATAGTCTTTTGTCAATTTCTGTTGGAAACTAATGTATATTAGATGAAGACATATGCATGAACCTTACATCTACTTCCATGTTACCATTCTTAAATGGTTATTGCTTTCCCAAAGCAAAATTACTGAGGTTGCTAAACTGACTGCTCGAACCTGATTCATACAGATAAAAGTGCTGAATGATGTGGATTGAATTTCATCGGTTTTAAGTGTTACCTTTCCTTTACAGTTGCAGGATGTTGTTTTTGGATAATGTGCGTAAAGGATCTGTTTTTGTTATCCAACATCTGATATAAGTCTCATGGTTATTTATATGGGATACTGTCTACTGTAATTTAGTTTGATCACATCATCAGAGCCAAGCAAAAGTGACTATAGATGATCCCTCTTACAGGACTTTGGTTAGTGTGGAGGGAGAGGGACAACAGGGGATACGAGGATCAAATATTCTTTGTGGAGCTTGATATCGTAGTAACCATTTCCGGTAGATGATCTTTGTATAGGGGTTGGTCCCTTGAATGAGATTTTGTTATTATAGATGAAAAAAGGTTTATTGAGTGTGATAGAAGCTATATTTTATTTAGGAGGCTTGAAATTTGGCTTAACACTGGACAAAGAGAAGAAAATGAGATAGAAGCTATCACTGTAAGGTAATCGAAATACCAAATTGCATATAAATGGCTAACTGCTTCTTGGACGGGTCTAGGATTTATCTTACTCCATGGCCTGAATTGAAATATTGATTACAGATTTTCTTCTATTTTTTTTTATTTTATTTTTTTGGCCATAACTGACATGTTAACATCTCGCTTGTAGTTCCCTGCTAATACAAGAAGTTAAAACCATCTTTAGGGTAGACAAGAAGTTTTAACTTTATCATGTGTTTCCCAGGCGGCGTGCTGAAGACCAAGAATAAGGAATCAATTGGCAAACCAGCACCTGGCTCTTCCTCAATCGATGGTGATGTCGGCTGCGCTGGAATTGGGAAAGAGTCCATGCCATTGAAGGAGAAATTGACTTGCGTATGCTGCTGCAGCTCATCCAGGCCGTTTAACTGATGATAGTTCTCTGGAATTAGTGCCCTTTACAATTGAACCTTTTGGGTTTGTTAGCTGGCCCAGCTTATGTTTCTCCCATCAAGTTACAACTTGAAAACCAGTTCTTATGTCGTGGGTAGCGTCTTGTTGAATGCATGATGGCACATGGCTCTCTTTCTTTACCCCCCTCCCTTTTCCAGCTTTATAATGTAAGTTGCTGGATGTGACTTTTGAAGATTAAAGACACCATCATCGGTGGGTCCTTCTACTGGCAACTTTTCTTTGACATCTGTAATTTTCTCATTAATAATAATTTACCTGTTATATATCATATATCGTAACTTTTATTTGCATGATGTAAATTTTCTTTTGTCGTCGTAAGGTATGCGGGACTTATGATTCGTAACATTCCACTAAAACATAGTATTTGTTAATTGTAAATATCTTATTCCATTACCAGTGAATTACCTTGTGGATTTGGTGTAGGTAATTATCCTTACTAATAATACTTCATCTATAAAATATACTTTTGTAAGTTTTTCTTAGAGAGCGTAATTATATCTTTAGTGGTCGTAAGTTTTCTAGGTTATATGGTTCATAATATTTCATAGAAATGGTAATCTATCTAAGTTAATGGTAAATTTATTTTGTACTGTTAAGAAAATATCTAAAGGATTGTAACTTTCCTTTACACTTTGTAAAGTTTTCCGATCTATCGGTCAGTAAATTTCCTCATCCATTTTAACTTTTTTCAATTAATCGTAAGTTTGAATCATCTTTGCGTTCGTAATTTTTCATTAACACGTCAATAAGTAAAGATAAAAAGATCGGTTTTGTGCAAAACAGATCTGACGGACCGCGCTTTTCCCTGTTCATCGTATGATCCAAATTGAATGTGGAACCGGCCCCGTAAAACCACTTATGGGCTTGTTTTGTTCAGTTCAGCAAAATTGCCATAACTCGAGTGCTGGAACAGCTTTTCATGTTGAGAATGTTGTTTGCGTGCGTGTGCCATTTCCTGTCTCATTTGGTATTTTGTCTTTGGTTGTTCCATCTATATACCCCGCCGTGTTTGGTACTACTAAGGCAAGCAACATATCCTCCTGCTTCAACCGCGTCCCGCAACGACGACTGCATTGTCGATGTCGCTGATCAAACAAATCGCTCGCTTATTACACAAGTGAAATTCTCAAAGGATGGGACTCGCATTAGCTTCTCAGCTCACGCGCGCTACCCTCCGGCGTTGGCGCGTGTCCGAAGCCGACACTTCACCGACAGGCGACAGCGAGTTCCGCTTTACTTCCTCGCTCGATCCCGCTCCCACCCTCACCCACCCTTCGTATTATTCGCGGATCTACCCCCAAATCCTCCCGATCTGTCGCGTCGTTTCCCATGGATTTCGCCATTCCGAGCCTCGTCATCCTCTGCTCATTGCTCTTCTTGCTTCTTCCGTTGCGGAGCGCGGATGCCTCGATCCATGTCTACGACCGACAAGCCTTCAAAGAAGTCGGCAACTCTTACCTTCTCTCCGGCGGCAGCGAAGGCATCGCCGCTTCTCTCTCCGCCGCCGCCGCCTCCGACGCGGCCTCCTCCTCCGTGCGCGATGGCCGCTCCTTCATCAGGTATCTTCCGCCTTTGGTTCTGCGTGCTCCCGTGGTCTCTCTCGCGGTTGTTAGGCTCCGCTTTGGCGGTTGGACTTTGTGATTGTCTTGCACGTTGAGGTCCAAAGAGTTGTCGTTTTGAGCTAGATCTGATGTCGCATTGTCTGGGAAGTGGCTGTAAATTGCTGTTCGACCTGTCGCAGCAATCCTCTCCAAATGAGCTAGAGGCTGCTACATTAGAGCTGCCTCTTCGATTGTGCCGGTTTCTTTTCCGGAATATCTATGCGTAATCGTGGGCTTGCACTGACTGCTTCTGCATAAGCATTGTTATGCTGTCTGTTTCGATTGAATAAAGATGTTTTCGGTAATAAAAGATGCAAAAGAGAGAATGGCAGTCCTGTGGTGAAGATATTTTCCAATTAAACTGTAAAACCAAGTGTATCAGTGAATATTTCAAGTTAAAAGTGGTGTATCAGTCAATTTCTGGACTCTGCTAATATGTTAAATCGGAGTCTACTACTACTACTGCCCCCCACCCTTACCCAATAGTATGTTTCCGGTAGAAGCAGACGCCAATATTTCTTTTGGTGAATCTCTTACTTCATCCGGAGCAACTAAAAAATCCTTCCCTCCTAAATCTGATCGATTAGTTAATTAAGGGGTGATAGACGTCGTTAATGTTCTAAGGAATGATCGGTAGATGTAACTTTTCCAAATTTCATGCTCTGAGTATCTTGAGGTATGTTATTACTACGAATGAATCTCCCATTAATAGACGAGATGATTCTGTTCCCACTGTAAAATTACGACAGGTTTAGGAATATCACTTTCTGGAGAAGTGAGGATGCTGTTGGTGAGAACTCAGAAGATGAGCAGACTACTGGAATTGTTCAAGTCGTCATTTTTGAGGCAGCAGATCGTAACAATATTGGTGGTTCTGCATATGGTGGACAGAGATCTATATGTTGCACCCCTGATCTTGCTAAGTTGGAAGGGTGCAAGCAGGGTGAAATTATTAGGATACCTTCTGCTACAGATGCCAAATGGCCTATTGTCCTAACGGTTCAGTTCAAAGGGAGCTCACTATCTGCAATTATGCCTGATAAGGAAGTCCAGATCAGCGAGACGGGAATGTATAATTTATTCTTCATAGCATGTGATCCTAAACTTAAGGACCTTGTGATGAGTGGGACAACCTTATGGAAAAACCCTGATGGTTATTTACCTGGTAGGATGGCCCCCTATTTGAAGTTTTACGTGTTTTTGTCGGTTGCCTATGCACTGCTCAGTCTCATTTGGTTCTCCCAATACGCGAGGTTCTGGAATGATGTGTTGCAACTTCAGCATTGTATTGCCAGCGTTATCATTCTTGGATTGTTCCAGATGATTTTTTGGTACTTCGACTATGCAAATTTCAACAATACAGGGATGAGGCCAGTCACACTCACAACTTGGGTCGTGACAATTGGAGCTCTAAAAACAACGATTTCACGCCTTCTTATTCTTTGTGTTTCAATGGGGTATGGTGTTGTGCGTCCTACGCTCGGTGGTCTTACCTCGAAGGTGCTGCTTCTTGGTATAACTTATTTTTTGGCATCTGAATTGCTGGATATCACCGAGTATGTGGGTACTATTAATGACATTTCTGGAAGAGCAAGAGTGTTTCTAGTCCTACCTGATGCTTTTCTGGACTCATTCTTAATCTTATGGATATTCAATTCTCTTTCGAGAACATTAGAGCAGTTGCAGGTATCAGTTTTAAAGTTTTTCTATTTGATATTATGTTCCTCATTACTGTTGCATCTGTCGTGCTTCTAAGTTGCTACAAGGTAATTAGATTTCTTTTTGTACCAGGCCAAGAGGAGTTCTGTCAAGTTGGATATATATAGGAAGTTTTCCAATGCTTTGGCAGTGGTGGTGTTTGCTTCGGTTGCATGGATAGGGTATGAGGTATGTGTCCACATGTAGCTATGGATTTGGATATTTATTATTGAGATATACCTCCTAGGGGGAAGTCAATGATAGTCGCAAGAAATTGGATTGCAGGAGATAATTTGTCTTCAATATTCTTGATACCATTTGATGGTACCTTATAACCTCATAATTTCTGTGCAACCTTAACCTTACATTTTGTATGGAATATCATTCTAATTTCAATGTCAATCTCATTTTAAATTCTGTCAAAAGTAGTTTGTGCCTGTAGTAAATTCATACATCTTCTCTGAGATTCGTAGGTGAGCGTTTGTAACTTTCTCAAACCTGGTCAAAGTTCATAAATAAAAATCCTGAGAAATATTTCGTTGGCATAATGAAAATCAGTTTATAGTTGTTTAGATGAAGTATTAGGTCTGGGGCTGATACGAACAATTGGTGACACTTCTAATTTTGTTCGTCTTTTCTCTTTTATTTTTCTGTACTAAGTTTCTTGTTTCTGTTTTTTCGCTTGTTGCAAGAATAGGATTTGGAAGAGGAGAAAATGGGTTGGGCTGCATAGCTTCTCGGATACACATAATACTGATCTTAGTTTTTACATGTGCTTTGTAATAATAACAAGGCTGCTGTGATTGAAAAATCTTCTGATACAGAGAGCAGCAAGCTTATTTACCTGACAGAATTAATTCACCTTAGTCTTTCAATCTTCTGAGACAATAGCCTTGGGTCTATGCTCAGACATCATTGTGGATATGATTGGCATAATGTCTATGAAAAGCAATCCCACAATCTTAGGATGAAGCATTATTTTTGGCAATTTAAATATTTCTAAGGCTCTAAATCCACTATTCCTACTCTAATGCTAGATTTATGAATGCAATGCCTTCCTTTTTCCCCTGATCTACTCTGCAGTTTGAACTTTCATTTCCTTCATGTACTTAAATATTATCTCTTTAAACTTTTCAATTTTAGATCTATGAGATTTTTTGGCTATAGATGATTGTTGATTTCTCTGGCTGACCTTTCTCTATTTTTCCTTTGTCATTGTGCTGCTCTATCAACTACTTCTATTAAACTATCTTCTATAGTTTTACTTCAAAGCAACAGATCCATACAATGAGCGATGGCGAAGTGCTTGGATCATCACTGCTTTCTGGGACATTCTTGCATTTGCACTACTCTGCGTCATCTGCTATCTCTGGGCCCCATCCCAGAGCTCCCAGCGGTATGCTTTCATTTGAGATTTTTCCCGAGGGTTGATTCTTTCATTAGGGACAGGAAGACCCCTTTATATTCTTCATTTGCTAGATATGATGGCTGAGTCGTGAAATTAAATTTGCATCACCATTATGAAGTGAAATATTTGTATATGACTGTGATGATGGATAAACTTTGCAGTTGATTGCAATGTTCAGCATTGAATCTAAAATTACATGTAATAGAAAGTTGGATATAATTATGAAATTGCAATGGGGATATGTTGCACCTACAAGGACCTGCTTCGTTTGGCTTAATCTAAGCAAAAATATATTGACTTTCTACCAAAACTAAAAAAATTATTTCCATCTCTAAACATTATGAGAATTTCTTTAATGACTTTTAAAGTGTGTGTCCAATTTAATTTAGGTGACCTATTAAAAAAAGTTGTAACTCAAGGTGCTTACTTGCTCAGTGCTAAATACAAGTCAAATTTTAAATGGCAAAAATAGAGAGTCACTCAAAACAGGAATAAGTATGGATGTTGTTGCATACCATTAAGTATTATAAAAAGATTAAATATCATTCTTCAAACATGATATGTTCATGTAAACTGCTAGAACCCATTAGTTAGAGTTACAAAAGATATACTATTGAGAAAGAGAACCATGGTCTGTGAACAATGCATTCCACTGGAACACCTCTCTTTTATAATTGGAAGTCAAATACCATGGAGATAGTGCGCGTGCGTATATTTGTATCTCCATATGCGTTTTAGAGTCCTCCTGCTTGCATGAGATTGACTGGTTTTGAATTGGCCAAAGCTTCTGTTGTAGTAGTGCAAATACAACAAGGCCTACTGAAGTCTTTTACGCTGATGAGTGACCAGAGTGATAAACCACTTGCAGGTACGCCTACTCAGACCAAGCTGGAGAGGAATCAGATGATGAAGAAGCTGTGTCGCTTACAAGGGGAAAGACCGAGGGAGATCTCTGCTTAGTAAAGCAGGAGAAAAGAGAGAAGAACGATGAAAGTACCGGTACTTTTGATCCTGAAGATGACTCGGAAGAGGGTAAGAGGAATTGATGGTATGGGACACTGTTGGTGAGGAATCTGATTCTAGCTGCACGAAATTTTCTAGAACACAAGCTCTTGGATATCTGAATTAGGAATCCAGTCAGTGAAGTCGGTGTGCTTCCGCTCCCTTCCGGAGACAGCCGAAGAAAAGAATCTGAGTAGCAAGTGGGCGTGGAAGGAGGGCGTAGCTTGTGCCAACTCAATTGCCGTTCTGGGAAAGTTGGTGTCTTCTGTTTTCCTGGAACGGAGGTTGCAGACACTTGCAATGCAGAAGAGTGTTACTGTGGGTCGCGTGGCGCTGGAAGTTTGTCTGATTTTTCGGGTCATCTTTTTGGCCAAGTGAATTTCATGGTTGTGCCATTGATTCGTCATGTCTATGTGTTAAGGTGCCATATTTTCTTCTTTTTACTAATGTTCTCTTTTTTTTTTGTGGTAACAAGATGGGTCCAAGTCTTGAAATTACAAGTTTACTAGATTGCAACGCTGGAAGTTATAAGAATAGGAAAATTCCAACACTAGGTGAGAATATTATATGAAGATTTATCGATCAAAGTTAGATGTTTTAGGTGTATATATCGAATATAATTGTGACGGGAGAACTTGAAGCAGAGTTGGTGTAAATTTTTCGAATGCGAATTGTCATATTTAATTGGTTAATGAAAATGTAGAAAATGAGCTGTTATTTTTAGTAATTTAAGATAGAACTCAAAAAAAAGTGAAAAAAAAAAATCAAACTCAAATAGCAGGGCATTAACCACCGGGATTAGGGGTAGGGACATTTAATTTTAGATGTGGGTTTCGACTTCCACACTCCGTAAAGAAGTGAGACAAAAGTCTGAAAATAAGTTTAAAGTTAGAGTAGGACAGACAAAAGAAAAATGCATTAATCACAATTATCTTTTCAAATCGCACATTCAATAGCATTTAGAAAGTTTACAGGTATTATTACTCGTAGCGGAAAAAAATGATTAAGACTTAAGAGATGATAAGAGTTTAAAAAAGAAAATAAAAGAAGACAAAAGAAGTAACCCACAATTCAAACTTTAAACAATCTACTTACGAATTAGATTGATTATCATATTTTACTTTACATTTAATCATAGATTATCTTCAAATTAATCTACAATATCTAAGAACATTTTTGAAGATATTTCCGTCTAATATGCATTTCTAATTTCAAATTCAATAAGAGAAAAATATTTGAAGATGAATTACTCGAATATTATCGTTGAATGAGCGCGAATATCACAAAAATAAAACGAAAGTACACAAAATTCTGTCAAGATAAAATAAAAAAAAACTTGCAATTGAAAAAAAAAGGTGGAGCTAAGTTTTTCGTGAGAAGGAAAAAAATAAAGTATAGATATTGTTTGTTCAATTGGTTAGAAGGTCGGCCCTGTTTCTATAATCCTCAAGAACATTCGTGGGGATCATCGATGAGTGATTAAGGGCAAATTGGTCAAACCTAATATAGAATTTGAAAAAGATAGCGGAAGACGGATTTTTTTAACCCGGGGGATATCATTTTCCCTGACAAAAATGCCCCCGTAGTCAGATTTAGGAGAGGGAGTGAGCGAGCCATGGGGAGTAGCAGCAGAGGCGAAGATCACTCGAAGAAGATGGCGGAGCTGAGCAAAACCCTAAAAGAAGGCGAGCGGATCGTCGCCCCCAGCCGGCGCCCCGACGGCACCCTCCGCAAGCCCATCCGCATCCGCGCCGGCTACGTCCCCCAGGAGGAGGTCGCCATCTACCAATCCAAAGGTGCTTTGGTATGCCATCGGTTTGCTTTCGCTTCTCCTCCGCCCCGCCCGCTAATCCGTATTCCGAGAGCTCTCGAATTGCGCGTCCCGTCGTGCTCGCTGACGGTTCGCGTCCGATCGTTTTGTCTGGTCGGGGTCGGCGAGGTTTGATCGAGCGCGAGCGAGCGATGCTGTTTTTGTTTTTCCGTTTGAAGTGTTGCGTGTGAAATCTGGAGAAGTGAGATCGACCGAGGGATCCAACGTTCGTATCGTGCATCGCAGGCGGAGGATCAAACAACAGTACAATCGATTCTGCATACGTCAATCCGATGGATAATCCATAGTTGTTGTGACTATGCTTTTCTCTTCTGTTACTAAAACCAACTCCTACACATTCACGTGACTTGGTCCGCTCTTCGTCCGAAAAATTTCTTACTTCCACTCGTGTCTGACTGGGTGCTTGTCGTCATGGGAATACGTATATTTCATGTTTTAGATTCTGGTGGGTGATTTCCTAAGAGATTGATTGAAAGAACTGACGGTCTTAGTATGCGTTTTGTCTTTGTTGTTGTAGGAATTAGTTTTTTGAACATTCAATTATGAATGCACAGATATAGCATCGAGAAATTAAGGTCTATTGAGTCTGGAAAGAGATAAGGAGTGGGTAAGCTGGGATCTGTCGTTTAAGTATCAAGGAACCGGAGTTACATAGTGTCCGACGATAGAATGTACTAGTTCATTATGCATGAGTTGCATGTTTTACTGAAGCAAATTGAATGTTATAGATCTCTATATTCAGAACTTTTAGGAGGTTTGGACCAATCAAATTATTCTCTACGACTTGAAGAAGAGACACCATAACTGATGATTTTTTCCTTTAGCGGTTGGTTTGAAGTGGATTAGAATAAGGTAGTTTCCTTTATCAGATGATACGGAGGGAGGGCTCGATACTGGCTAATATTTTCTTTTCTTTTCTTTTCTTTTCTTTTGATGACTATTCATGTTGTGACCACTAAGTTGCTGAAAATAAACCTTTTCAGTAATGTCAGTTTAGCTAGGTCAACTGGTTGTTCTTAATAGCTTAGAGTGACATTTTCATTTCTTTTGGTTTCTTTATGAGATGCAGTGGAGGAAGGAGATCGCTTCACAGGAGGGGCCTCCAGGCTATGACCCGGCATTGGATGCAAAGCCTAAAACAAAGTCTGCAAAGAGGAATGAGAGAAAAAAGGAAAAGCGGCTACAGGTATGTCACTAAGGATTAGGCCAGTCTTTATTGCTAATGTACCTCATGTGGATATTCTCACGTTTCTGGAAAGGCTGTATACTTTATAAGCAAGGGGAGATTTTTACCTTTTATTTTCTCTGTTAACTAGGATTCTTCATTTTTTTCCTAAAGGGTGGGTATGTCATGACCGTTCCAACTTAGAACTTTTCTCAAGTACTTTTTCCTTGTTTAATTAATTTTATCGGTTTCAATTTAAATTTGCAGTGTAATCAACAACTGATTACGATGGTATGAAAACACACGACAATGAGCTTCGGGATAAAGCAATGCATTTTAAAATTAGGGTCTGTAACGTCTAAGATAGTTCAGATATTCATAGACCATCAAAAGATGTGAAGTTTTCATGATAAACACCTCTAAGTTTCTGTCGAAATTTCAGTTCCTACAATGTTGGTGGTCTGTATCTCTTTCTACCGACAGAACCATCTAAGGCTACTTTTCTCATCTTCGAGCTATAAATCATTAGGACTTCTTTTTAATCCTTCCATTAGGACAACCTTGAACCTATCCATAAATTTGTATCCATGTAGTTCACCTGCACTGTGAAAGTATATGATCTGGCATCGCCTTTTTTATTCCAATGGAGTATAGCTAGAGAAAGTATTTTAATGCATTTTATTGTTATTAACTGGTAGGAATCTCCGTATTAAACAAAGAAAGCAACTTTTCAAATCATTTTACAGCTCTTCCTCTTTTCATTTTTAAGGATATCCTCCCTAAAAAGAACATTTTAATGAATTCTATTGTTGCTAGGTAGGATGCCTGAGATAAAATTGTTACAAATGGTCGAAAGATTAGTCCTCTTTCTGTGGTCAAATATATCCTCCATGACATCTAGAAGTGAAACTTCACAATAAAAGGCCCTGATTGTCTGAGCTGACAGAATTTTTATAATGAGTCATCAAGGTGGTGTCCGCCACTGCGTGGAAAAGAGCTCATGAAACCATATTAGAGCTAACTTGCCTTATAGTGTTTTTTTCCTTTAAATGACCTCTTATTCCTTTTCATTTTATGTGGAACTTGAAAGCCTTGCCATGCCATGATCTAGTTTTAACTAATCTTACTGCAAATGCTTTCTGAAAATGTGTATGCATAAGCCATTTCATCCTCGGTTTTTTTGTTTCTTGCTTATAATTAAAATCTAGATTTCTTAAACTTTTTGTAGAAAGAACATCCTTTACCAAGATGCCATGCACTATTTATTGTTAGATCCTCATTGGACTTTACAGGGAAATAACAGATCATGTCTATTGAAACCCGGTCCATTTTATTATTGGAGAGGAAAGAAAAGTATTAAAGGATTGTTCTCTTATTTCCCGACTGGAGTGAAATAAGGCCTAACCCACTATTTTTTAATTGCTAGGATATCCTTTCGTGTCCCTTCTTGTTTCTTTGTGACTTCTGGCCTAGACATTGTCCAAATGCTCTGTAAAGTTTAGTCACCTTCTGCAATAAATTGAGGTCGTCTTAAATTCAGTCTCTTTGCTGAACGGCTTAAGGATTTATTACTCTTTTAGTGAATTCATGCTTTAACGAAAGAGTACGAGGTGACGTCTGATTTTATTTTCCGATACAATATGCCCAGTACTTTTGCTGCATTGAGTTCATGCTAATTCTCCTATTATGGCAGGCTGCTCTAGAAAAGGGTAAAAATATAGAAGCAGATGTAGCTAGGGGCATTGATGAAGAGGAAAGACAACCTAATGAAGTCTCTGGTCACGAACAAGAATCTGTTAAAGCACTGGCAACTCAGATGAATGAGCTCGCTGTATCTGCAAATGCTGCTGGAACCGTCTCTATTTCAGATGCACAAGAGGGAACTAATCTCAGCCCAAGTCAAGATCTTGATAAAAGAATTCGAGCGCTTAAGAAGAAGGTAAAACTTTGTTAATAAGATACTTCTCAATCTGCAAGAAGGAAAATCTTGCTAAACTTGATTAATCTGCACCAAATGTCACTTGTTTATTGTTTGGTTTCACATGCATCTTAGCATTCTATTTTCTACGATGGTGTCTAGACTGTTTAATCATGTATTTGTAGGTTTTTATTCTAGCCTAATTGCATTGAGCTATGGCTTAACCTTGCTATGATGGGCTAATTTATAGGACATGACGACCACCCTGAGGTCTTCTGTGCTGTTTAAAAATTTATCTGCCAGTCTCTATTGCATAGGTTTTGATTTCCCTGTTTTGGTATAGAAACTTCAACTCTTCTAGGTATATGTCATATTATTACGGAGGATCATCCATTTGTTTCATCTGTCTAATATCTTCATTTGGGGTAATATTATGTTGTCCCTGTCCAAGTGACCTCAAGATGGTGAAGCCCTTTCACATGTGCCCTGTATTGAATTTATAGAGTATATATGTAGGTTTTGACGACTCATTGGTGTCCACATGTCCTTTGCTGTGAGCATCAGCTTAAGATCTTCCCCCACCTAGCACTCTAGGCATGGAGTTATTGTTTGATCGTGGAGAAAAGAATAGGGGAATGTCTTTTCTCCATTATGCCTTTTCTTCTTTTTCTAGTAGACTGGAAGGGGTCTTCTTTCATTAGAAGAGGACATAAGAGCGATGAAAGACAGATGAATGGATACATCTTGTTTCTGGTTCCGCTGGCAGATGTTTGTAGTGCAATTAACTTCTTAGTTTATTTGCAGTTGGGCACGCCCTTATGCTGTTGATGTTCTTTTTTTTTGTAAAAAGCAATTTTTTGTGGTGCCATGAGAGGAGAAGTAAATTTCATCCTAGCTTTGGTCTTTGGTAAATGTTGATTTTTGGCTTTTGTCAAAGCCCTAACGAAGGTGCTCAAGTTTCTCTTGAATTTTCTTTCCTTGAAAGGACCTGTTGTAACCTTTGTTTTTGGGGGTATTTTTTTTTTTTTTTGACGGGGTGGGGGGGGGGGGTGGGTGGAAGCCAATTTGTTTTAATTAGAAATGATAGATAGAGTTGATCACAGCGTGTATGTTATCCTTTAGGACAAGTGCTCTCATTCTCATTACAAGGTTTATGTTGCTTCACTTTTCGACAGTTTTACCTTCTAATTGGCAGATTGAAAATGATTTTTCCCCGAGGCACATGTGCCTTATGCTAGAGTAGCAAGAAGCAAAGATGAGGGAACTACCTTATTACTATTGAGCCTATGGACTCCGAAGTAGATCCTTCTGTTTTTTTTATTTTTTGTGCAGATTCGATTAGCAGAAGCTCAAAATCAGAAAACCCCACAGAAAGATTTGAAGCCCGAGCAATTGGAGAAATTGACAAAGGTAGAAGCTTGGCGGCAGGAGCTAAAGCTTCTCGAGGATAAGAAGACTGAATTGGTGACGTCATGAAATTATTCTTGCATTTGGCATGAGAGAACTGTGCAGTTAACATTGTCCAAGTAAAGCTGGGGGGGTGGGGAGAGACTCCCCATGATGAAGAGCAGGTGCACTTCAGTATCATCTCAGTTGGTAGGGGAAGGATGATGCTGGGCCTCTCCAATTCCGATGTCCAATTTGGTTGTCTCGTGTATTTTTTTTTTTTTCCTTTTTCGCACTTTGGTCCTTGAATTTATTGTTAATTTAGATGTTTAAGTTATGCCCCTGACGAGAGGGCGTAGGATGAATAAGCACTGCGACATAGCGCATTCAGACTATTGTTTTAGATTGCCCCTAGTTTCCCACTAGTTATGTCGGGATACTATCAAAAGGGAAGTGGGAAAGGCCACTAACGAGGAAGAGAACAGACTTTAGGCCTTGCAGGGCCATTCAAGATTGGGCCATTACTGGGCTGAACCTGTATGCTTAATGAGGGGGCCCCTGCCCGTTAGAGCTCAATGAATTTTTATATTCGGCCATTGTTGGCGCAGGGACAGAGCCATTGCGGCCCATTAATCCGCACAACCATTGCCTAGTAGCCAATAGGCCACTTTTAGGGCTCGAGGGGCCGCGTCAAAGGCAATCAAATCTTGGTCTAATTGGGCCAGCGGGTCTTATTCCGGCCTGGACCATGGGCCTCCAACCGTTTAGGTTAAATGACCAGCCGATGGCAACTTTTGGGCTTCCGGGCCCATTTTAGGCCCAAAAGAGATGGGCCTATCTCACTAAGGCCCATTACTATTGGCCCCAGTCAAGTAAATAACATGTAAGGCCTATGGGCTTCAGGAATCGCCCCTACTTAAATCTTTTGGGCCCAATTAAGGCCCAAAATGACATGGAACGGGCCTTATGGATCCAACGTGGGCCTCAATAATGGGCCTTAGCCTTTTGAGTGAGCCATACAATGGGCCTGGCCCATGGGCTTTGGAAGTCGGCCCAAACATGGGACAATGTGGGTACCAATAATGGGCTTTCACAATGAACCCGGGCCCAATTTAGTTGGCCCATTTTGGTATTCGTAGGCCCAATTAAGTCCCTAAAAGGGCCTTGCCAGAAAAGGCCCACTGCTTATTGGCCCATTTAAGGCCCAAAATTACCCGACATGGACCTTTTGGGTCCAAGGTGGGCCTCAATAGTTGGCGTAGCTTATGAAGCTAACCTTAGCAGTGGGCCTGGCCCAATGAATATAGCCCATGGGCTCTTGAAGTCGGCCCAAACGTGGAACTATATGGGCATTAATATTGGGCTTCCACAATGAGCATGGGCCCAATTCACCTGGCCCATTTTGAGATTCGTAGGCCCAATTAACTCCCTAAATATCCAAAGGGCCTTTCCCATAAAGGCCCACTACTGATGGGCCCATATAAGGCCCAAAATAACGAGGCCGAGGCCTAATGCGACTAGGCCGACTTATGATATTGTTGGCCCAAAAAAATCCTTAAATATCGATGTGCCATAGCCCATTAAGAAGGACTCTGCGCACGGACCCAATTAATGCCCAGAACGTTCGGATTACCGCCTCTTTGGCGGGCCTAAAGTATGAGCCAACAATTAGGCCTCCGTGGGCTCATCAACAGAGCATAATTCAGCCATTACAGTAAAAGGCCTATTGACCACTTATAAGCTTCGTGGGCCGAAACAAAGCCCAAAACACGGAAACCAGGCTAAACTGCTGCCTAAAATGGGCCCCATATGTGGACTTTCCCGGACTGACATAGGTTCTAACTATCGAGCCCAGACTAGGACCTTGTTGACCCACTAAGGTCACTTCTACTTCGCCCGCCGTACCTTTGGTGTTTCGTGGGGCCTTTACTGGGCCTGGCATATCGTCCTCCGTTGTATCAGCGCACGGGACTAATAGGCGGATCGATAATTGCATCCGCCTATTGCAAAATCAGTGGACCCCAGTTAAGGCCCATTGCACTCTAATAAGCCTTTAATGGACCACTCATGGGTTAACAAAGTTAGAATATGAAAAGGCTAAAGATATAGCGAGGACACCCCCGGGCAATACTCAACTACAGACAAAACCTTTTTAGCACAAAAAAACTACGGACAAAACCTTCACGGAATTACATTAACCTTAAATATATATGAATTGGAGTCCCGGTCGGCCGCCAAAAGCAAAACAAAAACAAAACTGCATGTCAAGCAAATCCTCTAGGAAGATTCAACATCGGAACCATCCTCTCCTCCTGCATAGAGTTCAAAATCCTCAAGACTCCATCTGCATATCAAATGAAGTCGGAAGGTAGCCATCTTGATCCCCAACAGACGCTGCAAACGAGAAAAAACACAAAATACAGCATTTCCTGGTCAAGATATCGTACCAACCATTCAGATAGACGAAAGAGGAAAATGTAGAATCCCAAGCTAAATCATGTAACGCTTTCTCATCTTCTTGGCCATTGAAGTTTTTAAAACTTCCCACCTCATTTCATTTCAGTGAAATCAAAAGCTTAATTTGTTTTTTGCCCAAAGAGTTTGACTGGTTTGTCACTCATACACAGGAAGGTAATAATATCCTAATCTAAATGGGAAAAATACACCTGAAAATAATAAACAAATTTCTACAGTGACTGCATACCTAGATAATCTACATCATGCATTCCATCTAATTTTGACAGCTTTTACCATCATCCCGACCCCAAAGTACACATAGAAGATTCCTTTCGTTTTCAGTTGAACGTGTCAATGTGTTACTTCTATGATTTCATAATGATGCCACAAAGGGAAAAAATCGCAACCAAGAATATACAGTAAACAAAGAACAAATGCATCTCAGGGTAGGTAGTCTGCAAAGAGAATTATCCAGTACGCGAAAAACTGTAAAGAATAATTGAGAGGTTACCAGTATCCGAGCTGACTCAGGTGACAGCGGCTTTCCTTCTTCACAAACAACGAAGTCTGAAACAAGCTCCACCACACCTGCGTTAGAGAGCATGTTAGGTGAGTACGCTCCCCCCATTATTTTCGCATATAGACATTGTTTAACAATAGTACAAGTGTGCAAGCGGTAGATGGACAATAGTAAGGACAAACACCTTTGTTCAACCGGACAGGCATCCCTTGCTTGCGCAGGAAGGGCTCCATCTCATGGGTGAACTCTACCAGAGGACCCTCCTTAAGCTCCAACTACAATGAGACCAAAGAATAAGCCAATGACCATCAATTATACAGTAAAAGTGTCGCAAAATATTAGACAGCACAACCTAAAACTTCAGAAAATATTCCAATGGCCATACTAAGCCAAAAACTTGCGGTGGTACTAGAATGTCCTTAAATAAATCATGTCAAAACCAAATTGCTAGTAATATAACCAGCATATCCTCCAACTTATAGAGCCATATTAGGGTAAAAATTTGCTGCTAAAGAACCAAGCATTAAGAGCTCAGATGCATTGTTTAAAGCATCAAATGGGAATTCACCAAGATCAATCGCACACATTAGCAGTTCACCAAAATCAATTTTCACTTAGATAAAAAATAAGGTCAATACAATTGGCTTGGTAGGGCTTTCATTATGCAATAAGCAATTGACCAAGACCTAGTGCACCCATCAAGCCATTTCACTTCCAAACCTAGTTTCTACAAAAAGCAGCAAAAGACACGAAGAAATTTCACTTCACCTTCTCTGCTGCATTGCTTCCTGTCCTCGCAAAATCATATTCTTCAAATTCATTAAATAATCTGCAAAAGATGCTTAAAGATTACGAACAACACACACGTTGAGACTTGGGAGAGAAGAAGAATTCCCAAAAGGAGGGAGTAGGAACCACTAATAGACCAATTAACTTCCAATGTCCCCAGTCATTATAACTAACAATTAAAAGGCACAAATAAATACGAATATTGAGCTCTGTCATGCTAAGACTTAAAGGACTTTAAATACAATCTTTGGAATCCATCGAAAATTGAAATACTTGTTATTCGCATCATTAACGCCTTGTGTTGTCATCAAAACTTGCTCTAATCAAAATTAAGGATCCTGAATGTGAATGAACAATAAGAAACCAGAATGACCGTGTCATCCCATTCCTGAGTTTTGGATGCAGATTAAGAAAAACCAAATGATTATTGTGCAACGCTTTTGGAATGATATTTTCTCTATTTGATGTTCCAACTTTGGGAAATCACGACTACATAGTCAAAATCACAACTATATTGTGAAAAATATAAACTTACACGCTCTTTTGCCCATGTGACAATTAAATATAATAAGACCAACACAAACATATAAAACTTATATCATAACGAGCATAAAGAATTCGCATTAATTTATAAATTCACAGTAATTTTGTAGGGAAAATTCTCCACAAAAACTTTAATTCAAGCAATGGAGATTAGACCTATCAACTTCAGAAAAATATCAAACAGAAAAGCACAATAGGTCCTGAAAATCTAGTAAAGTATTTATGATATTTGTATAGGTCCTTTTCCCCACTTCCAAAGCAATGAAGAAAATATATAAAAGCTTCGACACATTCTACCATCGGGTAAAATGATGATTGCAACACGAAAAATATGAGAGAGAGAAAGAGAACTACCGGTTGCGACATAATTGCCTTTTGAGAATACATTCAATGGAACATTCGGCGCCTATTTTACTATTATTATCTATCAGTCGAGCGGATTGATACCCACCCTTTGACACGGCAATGAAAACCCTCTAATCCCCAATTTCAGTTCCCCTTGAAACATTAATAGTTATGAACGCCCTACAATAAAGGAGACACACTTTACACTTTGATTCCCAATCCATACTCTCAATAGCTATTATCCAAACATGCCCTTACACCCAAGGAAAGCAATTTAAATCAAAATTCTTCAGGGTTTGAAGGGGCGGTAGGGGAAGAGAAAGAGGAGGGTCCATTTTTTGTTCCAATTTTCAAAGGTTTGACCAAACGGAGGGAAACTATTCAGACGCGCATGCATGCATGATATGTACTCAAATTTCCTTCAGTGGATGGAGCATTGCCTTAAATGATGCTCTCCTAGGATAGAAGGTTCTGTGGCAATACAAATGAAAACTTACCTCAAAACCTCTTCTCTCGGCAAATTAGTGAGAAGAAGCCCAGTATTTCCACGCAAGACCTGAGAAAGGCATTAAACAAAACGTAAATATTGTGAATTATAATTACAAATTAACTGTGAGATCACCAGGCAGCTATCAATTTACCTTGGAGACTTTGCGGATGCCTGGTCTTAACTCATCTCCAACTGATCTACCCAAAGCAACTTGCATCACTTTGTTCGACCCAAGAAAAAATCTGAGAAAAGCATAACAACCAATAAATCTCTTATAGGTTGAGGCGTATTTGTATCAAGTAGTAACTTGAGGCTCTCTGATCAAAAGTAGAAAATGGATGAAGGCTAAAGCTTAGATGGAACACTCGGAAAAAATGCTCAAAGTGTTCCTCAAATCTGTATTGTCTATGTGTATGTGGAACAGCATGAGACATCAGTAGCAACCAACCTGCATAAACAATACAACCTTAAACTCCTGGCTCCACCCCCACCCATAAAAAGAACTTATCAGACTTATCCTCCTTGAAAACCTTGATCACATCCCAAAGCCAATTCACATATCATCAACTACCAAGCTACCACTCACCCTCATTAACCACTTTAAAACAATGAACAAATGGTGGCACCACCAAATGGCAAGCTACCAGATAATTTTTTTTGGGGTCTAAACAAGCTACCAGAAATTACAGGCCAAGGATCAACGACTTTTGCTGTCAAACTTCATTTACTGTCCAAAAAATTTGAAGTCCAGTATGGGTTACTTCTCTAAAAAACCATAAAAAGAAAAACTTTCTTAACCCCTTTCTACTAAGTGATAGTGGATCATAACCAAGTCCAAAGATGGTGATCGGTTAGCACTCTTATTTAAAATGAATATTACAACCAGTCGAAGACTCATAAAGTAACCTGCTTGAAGATTTGAGTTGCTCCCTGAACTCTTTGAACTTCAGATTTCTCATGTTCTCAAATGAAAAGACATAAATGGAGCTGTAGTGCTCCACAGCTTCCCTGATAGCATTTGCAAGCGATTCCTTTTGTTCCTTTCCCTTCTTCTTTGTCTTTGACAGTGTAACTGCAATTATACCAAAAAACAGTGAATCCTCACCTTCTTCATGTATTATATGGGTGTTATGCAGCGGGTAAGTCAATTTTTTTTGTTTTGACCTAACACATTGAATATGAGCAAGAAAACCGCCGTCGAAACATCTCTCTATCTCCACACCAGATGTCTACGTCCCAATTCAAGGTACCCAAATTGACCGAAACCCTAATCACCAGAAAAAATGCAAAATCGGAAATAAAGATACCTGCTCTGTTCCGTTTAGACTTTGGCATCCTGTCGCGCCGCCGGTAGCCCCGCTTGTTGCCTCAATACAACTGTTCGCTCGCTGGAATTGTGTTATCTCCAAAACCTCTAAACCAACTTCACTTCCTGCTTTATTTCTGGCATTCGGCGAGAAGGCAAAACAATAAGCGCCGCATGACAGCCCATCAAAACGAGAGGAACTTAACAAGACAACATAAAATCCGTAAAATCAGGCTTGAAACTCCAGCGACCGAGCAACGACCATCTCGACTTCCAAAAATAGACGCAACAAAACGAAGAAAACCTAGAAAAACTTTCCACCACCGGTGCGGACAGCACAGAAGCGACGAACTACCGAAATCGAAGCGAGGAAAACGAAAAGGCAAAGATCAGTCGTTCGCGGAGCAAAACGAAATCCCCACGCATGAACTCCAATCGAAGGATTCACCAACTGATTAACTTCGAATTGATAACGATACAGAGGAAGAATCAAAGGCAGAAGAACACGACAGTAGGCGAAATACGAGGACATTCGAGGCCCTTCCATGGTCGAAGAGAGAGGGTTTCTAGGAAGAGAGAATACCTGCTTCGATGCAGTTCGAGAGTGCGAGCGTTCGCGTGCGCAGGGGAGAGCGAGGCGGAGGGCGGTGGCTGTGAGTTGGAAGATGTAAAGAAGAGGTCGAGGTTTTTAGGGCTTAGAGGAAAATGTTCGGGTGCGGGCGGGTGCAAACTGTGATTGTGGTCGTGGGTGCGAACCCAAAGGGAAAATCCGAACTAGCAGGATGATGTCAAAGCAGCTTTAGTGACAATAATATTACTTTTTAAGAAATCAAATAAGTGTGCACTGTGCAGTGCGCATTCGTAGGTTCGGGATAATAATACCAAGAGTCCCTAAATTTTAGCTAAATATGCAATTTCAATCATAAATTTTTAATTTATTTAATATGATTTGTGAACTTTTGGTAAACATTCAATGTAATTCCTATAAAAATATCAAATATTATTATTCCATTAATTTAAATTCATGGGCAATATTGAATATTTTCATATAGTGTATATATTAAATTGAACATATATAAACAAATTTATGAGCCCATTTAAACAAATCAAAAGTTCATGAATGATATTATACATTAAGCTAAAGTTTAGTGACCACACTAAATAAATTAAAAATACGAGGACGACATTACACAATTGGGTCAAAGTTCAAAGACTACTTATGTCATTTTCCTTATATAGTCTATAAATTAAAGCAGTTATGAGTCACCACTAAGATTAATTAGCTTTTGGTTAAAGGAAACCACTAATCGTAAAAGGTTTCATCGGAGCAGCTCTCACTTACAATTATTTAGCTAAACCATTATCAATGTCTGTAAACGATTACGAGTATGGTAAATCAAAGAAAAGCCCACGACCAAAAAAATTTAAAAAGAAAGTCGACGATTAAAGATTAGCAATTTAAATTATGAAAAAGAAGAAAAGCAAGGGCATTTGGTCTAGTGGTATGATTCTCGCTTTGGGTGCGAGAGGTCCCGAGTTCAATTCTCGGAATGCCCCTCAATCTGTCCGCTTCCTTTTCTATTTTTGTTTTTGCTCCTTTTGTTGTACAACAGGAACACAGACCGTGAACTGCCTCGACGCAAAACCTCGTCATCTCATTAAGTTCAATATCCTAACTTTTCCAAGAGAGGAAGCTTTTAGCCCGATGGCAAGGTGTTTATCTGTCCTTCGGGAAAAGGAGATCAGAAGCCCCTGTTGTAACCACCCCAACGCCAAAGCCTGCTTACCAAAGCGATTCCTTCATGCAGTTTTGACCGAACCACGCTGCATTTAGCTGGATCATCGAGAATCTTTGACGAACAGGTTTCGGCGAGTCTAATTTTAGAAGATGATGGGTAATTCTAGACTTGAAATTATTCAAAAGCCTCCAGAAACACTATAAATGAGCTTAGCCATGAGAAGCAACAAAACTCAGAAACACCCGCTCAGATGCAACCGGCAAAACGCACTAGCGGGGTACAGGATCAAGGTTGAGAGAGCGCGAGATTTATTACATTTCGGTAAGAGAGAGACAGAGGAAGAGAGAGAGTATGAAATAAACAAATTCAAATGCAGGAAGGGATGTCCGTCACTGTCCCTGAATCATCGCAGAAGAGGCTGCCTGTCGATGTCCATCAGGGAAATAAAAAAAATAACACTGCTTTGCTTTCCTCCCAATCCGCAATCGGGAACAAATTTGAATGACATGTACACATGACTGTGAATAAAGGTTTTCAATACAACAGCTGACAAATTGCAAAAGGATATCAAAGAAAATACATGTGTACATCCGGCAATCTTCAGCATATGTCACATGACTACAGGAATGAAGGCCATTCTTCTTTCCTGATGTCCATTCGCAGCCAATCTGTGAACAGATCATGAAATGCAAAAGAAATGCATGCATCTTGCGAAAGGCAAGTCAACTTCCCTTTTCAGACAAATCGTTCGAGTGTTCTGTTATTTTCCCATCCTAGTGACTAGGACTAAACATATATCAAATGTTCTCAAGATCTCCCTTCTTGAGGAAACAAGTCATCTATCTTGATTTCCATTGCCTTCTCTGCGCCTCCTCCTCCTACTGGACCGTCCCAATAGCACTCTGCCATGGCGACGAAGGCGGCTCACTAGCGACATGCTAGCATCATGGGCATTATCGTCATTACTGTCATCTCCATTCTCTTGATCAGAAACATCAGAGCCACCAACAGGGGTGGTGGTGTGCCGGCCTCCAAGAGCACTCCTGTCAGATGCTCGCTGCAAGGCCCTCTCTTGGTGCCTTAATCTTCTTCTCAGATCAACATTCCCAGACTGGCCAAATGCATGCAGAAGCATAAACACATTAAATAGGTTACTGTCGAAGCCCGTTTCCAAACCACCGTTCCTCTCTGGGCGATCTGCACCAAGGCTGCTCTCATCTACATCTAATCCATAATGGTTTCCCTCTATCACATAGTCCCCAAATACCATGGCCCCTGGCATTGTCGCCCTTATAGTACTGATCACATCATCCCTTTCACGCTCCTGTTCGAGCCGCCTCCATCTCTGTTCTAGTGTTGGGTCCACATCACGAGGCCGTGCAGAGGGGTGTTCTGTCTTCACATGCTTTCTTAGCTCCTTGTAAGTTCCGAGAAATGTGCAGTTATCCTGCATGCAGTTCCTCTTTTTTGCATTTAAGTATTCTCGTGCAGGTTCCACAACAGTCCAACCTTTCACCTGGCCCCTACAAAGAGGGCACGCAAGCTCCATCACTTCACTCTTCTCATTGGGCAGATTTAACTCAGGTGATATCATCGTGTTGTCAGCTGAGTTCTGCAAGGGCTGAGCATGATCAAGTGAGGAAACTTTGGTATAGGCCTTCTTGTATTGGTCAAGGCAATTTGAGTAGCGGCAGCTAGTACCACACATGTAGGGTCTGCAACCCTTTTCGTAGGAGGAACAGAGAAGAAGAACAGCATTGTGAGGGTACTCCATACAAACAGAGCATATAGCATCTTCCCAGTCCTTATTCAGTGCCTTGTCAGATTTTTTGGCACCCAAGTTCTCCAAGATTCTACGATTACAAGCTGCCAAGCCATATGGAGTCGATCTGTATTGTTGGGAAGCAATCCTACGGCGCCCTCTGCTACCCTTTGCCATTTTCAGACTAAGCCTGATAATCAAGAAAAAAAAAATGGTGAGATGATGAGATCATACTTGCTGAAGTACAATAATGTGAAAACATATATTCCAAACAGGAAAGTCAATGAAGACATGAAAAATCAACAAGTTACACAAGCATCAATGAGACAAACTAAAAATCGAACACTTCCCGTCTGACAAACACAACGTATTAATCAGGTAAAGAAAGTAATCAATAAGACGATTGCTAAATTAAACTTTCTCCAATGTTGCTCCACAAATTTTCCAGAGCACACATCATCATATACTCAGCCACGAGAATGCCCTGGACTATTATTTAGAGGTTAATAGAACCATGAAGTATTAACATGAAATGTCCACCTTTTCACTGTCCCTTGTCATTCCCACAGCTAACTAACAATTCACGTACATATGCACCGCAGGAGAAGATCCTCTGTTCTCAGCAGAAAACTTGACACGGTTTAATCGTGCATCCTTCAACACAAACCTCCAACTGATCGTGAAGGTCAATGTTCACTTACCAACACTTCACAAAACCTCGCGATAACTATAGACTAGTTCAACAGCATGCCTTCTATTCCAAAATCAGCACAACCAACATCAATATCCTGTGCATGTTCGAGAAGCTTTTAGACCATGGGCTTCACCATGGTGATCACTTTAACATCTATCAAGACATAATTTAAAGGAACCTCACCAAAAGGCCCTAATATTCGTACATTGTGCAGCAACTGATCTAATAGGGAAGGACATCCTAGTAGGGCTCAGCTATGTAGCTGCCATAACCTTTACATACGTCCCCTAAGATTGAAATGTGAGAGTTCTGCCAAGACCACTTCAGCATTCATCATTAATAGGCCCAGTGAACATCAATAATGACAAAAGTGACGAATGTCAGTTAAGGAAAACTGCATACTATACAAAATTTATTTATGTACTTATCCACCTATAGAAGCTGCATTATGGAGGATGAGTAAAAGATTTTGTAATAAAGGCAATTTAAAGTGAAAAGGAAAGAACTAAGTGCTGCCCTTAGAACCTCCAGCAACTCTTTCAACCACTTCAGGCAAAAATATGCACGAGCCGTCGTTAAGGCAGAATCTTCGCTTCCGAATAAAAAGAATTATTACAGTAGCTATGGTGATCAAGGTCACGCACGCTTTGAAAAATGTGATCTGTTGGATGTGATAGAAAAAAAGCAGCCATCCCTGGATTCGTCATTATCTGTAAATAAATAGTGCCGAGTTGGTGATCGGATTGGCACCCCCAAAGGGAAGGCAGGAATAACTAAATTACAGTTCACGACACACCCTAAATTTAACCTAGCGTTAGACATAAGCTTCTTAAGCATTAGAGTTGGCAAATGAAAGAAATAGAACTCTGGGTTATGCATAACAAAAAAGAAATCTACATGTGCTCCGCAACTGGCGAAAAATTGGGATGAGAAGGACAAGGAAGAGCAGGAGGTTGGGACGACCAAGAAATGTCTTCCAAACACCAGTAATGATATCGAATGATCCAGTCTGGACAGAGTAGCTAGAATTATACGAAAATACCACAGTACCCTGTGTGTGCAAACTGTCTGACATGTAACCTACACATTCGATAGTTCGGAGGAGAGCAAGTCTAAAACAGACGGAGTGACCATGATCAGAACACCAAACTAGATTAGCCATGAAACATCGGAGATATCGCGGGATAAATTACCGGTAGCATGTGCTATCGGTCCCATAAAGGGTAAGTGGGGATGGCATTATCAAGGTCAATTGATGATTCTCGAGAACAAGAAGATATACCAATTTAAGCATTGAGTTGATCTCGAGAGAAGGTAGTAACTTGAGAAAAACATGGATGGAGACTCTAAGACAAATCATAACAGCCGTTATATATCGGATAGCATAACAGCAGAAAAGATCTCAACTGTCCCATAAAAGAGGATGAAGGTAAGCTGAATTATTGACGACCAACCAATGTTTCACAAGGTTGTTATCCACATACCTGACAAAGAATGTCGCGGTTCAACAAATCACTTAAAAATTTCAGTTTGCCAATGCCAACAGCAAATGAATCGAGGATACAAAGTTTAGGGAGAAGGAATCCACATTTCGACTCACTAAATAAATAAATATATATATATTCATATATGAATTCATAAAAAGATCACAACACACATTCTTAAATCCTCGCCAATCTCGACGCCACCACGGTGGATGATTTCTACTAAAGCATCCAACACCCTCTTCGGATAGCCCGAAATGCACAAAATCGCGCGCACGGTGCCACGCCTCGACTACTAACGGAAACCCATCTTAAAATGCCAAAAGAAGAACGCTTTTTTACCCAATTCAAAGCAACAACAAGGAAGATTCGAAAAGTGGGTCTCACCTGCCGCTTGCCTCGAGCAAATCCAAATCCAGAGAGAGCAATTAGTGCGCGAGGGCCGAAACGGGTCGCCTTATCCGATCAAATAAATGAAGAACCCGCAACAAAAAAGAAGAGGGCAAGGTCAGGAAATGTATAGATGTCAGGGGGAAAACGAAGTAACATGATCTATCAAAAATCACGCGCAATGACAACCGATTAATTAAATAAAATACGGGGAAGAAACAGCTAGGTGCGAATTGAGGTACACGATGCCCCTCCCCCCGCACACAGGGATCTCGCAGGCACGAATTAGATATAGCAAAACCAATTGGGCAAATCCACAAGTTAGGAATCTCAACTGAACCGTCCCTTGCAATTCAAACGATCTCAAATGCACTCATCCACTATTTTATAGCCTCCGAAAAAAAAAAACAAAAAGACTCAAATCATCCAAGAAGGAAGAACTGCGTAATCCTGAAGCTATCCTACGCCCGCTGACGAAAGAGCTCGATTCACGGACGGGGAAAAAAGAAAATCTGATTCCGCCTCGAAACTGCCGGCGCAATTTGACGCCGGCGAGCGAGCGAGCGAGCGAGCGAGCGAATCATCAGCGACGGATAACGAGAGGGGCGGAGACGTTACCGGAGAATCGCCGCCGGGGAATGAGGAGCTCGGAGGGAATCGAGGGCGCGAGAGGGAGGGGGGCTCGAGGAGGAGCGGAGGGAGGTTAGGGCTTGCGTTTGAGCGCGAAATCGGAATTGGACGAACGAAGCTCGGGCGGGTTGATGGGACCGAGGCCGAGCGAGTGTTACGAGCGGGCGGCGCAGGAACCAGAACGCACTCGCTCTCGCTCTTTAATCGTCTCTCGCCCGCCGGCGTTAAGTCCTCGTACCCTGCGCGCGCGTGTATAAGTTATCGTAGACGGAGGAGAGGATTGTGAGAGAAGCACTTCGATCTCATTCGCTGAGGTTTGATGGCCTTTATGGCCCTTTTTTATTCTTTTTATTTTTTTTATTTTTTTACTTTTTATATATGTGTACGTATTTTGAATAAAACGAAAAAATGGGGAGGAAACTTGTGAGATGTGGTCATGATGTGGCTATCCGGTATGCTCGTGGGTTCTTCCCGCTCGGATGTATGGCCAATCAGCGGCCGTTCAGCGATCCATCGTCCGGAGATGTGTTGACCCCCCACGGAATCGGCGCTCTCGTGGTCATCATGAGGGTCATTTCTACGCTAAAGCAAAGCCAGGCTGTTGTTCTCCATTAGCTCGTGTTCTAGATGATTTGTCCAAATTTCATTTTGAGTCCGAAAACGATTCGCCTGTGTAGTCCGTCGCCATATCGGCTGTATTGATTTCATGGATGAATCTTGATAATATCTAAAATTACTCTTCTCTTTGCTCGCCGTTGATGGCATAGCACACGAGTCTCGATCATTTAGTCTTCTTTGTTTGCACGTGACTTGTCAATAAATGAGTTGTGTATAGACGATATCGCATGCGTGGCGTGTGCTTTTAAAAAAAATGCAAAAATCGCAAAAAAAACCCTAAACTATGCCTACTATAACATATTTACCTTAAACTTTTTTGTTTGTGACACCAACAATCTTAAATGTGTACTTATGTTACATGTTTACCCTATATCGAAGTATTGTCAATGAAAACCGTTAAAATTCTACCTATATGGATGCCAAAAAGCAGACGGTGTTAACATGATACCAGTGTGGCTTGAGTAAAATAAAAAACAACATTGTTTTGGTTGAAAAATTATTTTGGCTGAAAAATTATTTAACAAAACATCGATAGGGAGTAAATGTGTCATTTAGGTATAAGTTTGTGGTTTTTTATGTCGCAATAAAAAGTTAAGGGTAAATTTGTTATGATGGGCATAGTTTTGAGTTTTTTATGTCATAAAAAAAAGTTCAAGGTAAGTATGACACAGTAGGCATAGTTTTGGAGTTTTTGTGGCTTTTTATCTTTGTAAAAGATTATGTCGTACATAAAGTGGAAGATATTGTCTTTTATTAAAAAAAACATAGGTGGCAAAGATAGTAAAGAAAGTAAATTCGTATATGTTAAATTTGTAGATTGAGAAATTCTTCAAGTTATTTTATGCGACTCTAAGGATGTGTTTAATGAATAATAGCGATAATTGTTCTTGATAAGTATACGTAGACATGTCGTGCACGTATAAGTGCGTGTGGAAAGCCATAATAGGGATGTGTTAGTACATTAGACACCTAAGAACCATGCCAATCCAAGGAGAAACGCTGGAGCATGTTATGACATGATTCGGTCATAAAAAACATGTCATGAAATAGCACGATCCAACAATTGATACCAAGTACTCCTAGCAATCACTAGTGAATGTCGATTTACTCATATCTATTCTACCTGACCGGATGTCTAAACTCAATGGAGAGGGTTGATATCCATAAACCCTTTTGTTTCTTAACAAAACGGGCTCTATTATATTTTGAGTCCATGGCGAAATTTGGCGCAATTCTCTCTATTTTATTTCACGTTTCATAGTTCTTACACAATTTTCAAAGATGGAGAACAATAACTCACAAAAAAAAAAAAACAAGCAAGGAAGGAAGAAAATCCATTTAAATAGCGAAACGAACTCAAATCATAATATTTTGATTTTTTTAATTCATTTTGCCTGTTCGGAGCAAATCTATTTTCTGCTAAAGGATGCAAATTCTAGGGAAGGCCTTCGCGTATTCCGTTTTCCCAGATGCCGCCGTCGGACAACGTGACCGGTGCAATTGGCCAGGATTCGCCGGAACGGAAAAGTTATGGGGACCACACCACGCCACGCGCTCCGCCCGGAAAGCAACCGTCAGTCCAAGGAGGGACGGAACGTGCCCACGTGATCCGTTGGAGGAAGCAGGACACTGACACTGCATCGACGCGCCCGGGACGAAGGTGATCGCCACGCTCTCTCTCTTTTCGGCTGGGAAACAACCAAACCGGACCGGTCCAGGTCCAACCCGGCCCTCCTTTTTAAACGGTCTCGGCCCAATATCAATACCCAAAACGAGCTTTTCTCGGATCCTTCTCAATGCCTTTTGTGTTGCCAGCCCAAGAAAACCTGCCGTTTTTAAGCCCGATGAAAATCAGTTTTTGAGATTTAAAATGTAAGGAAAGGAACGCCAGTGTTATGTCCACCTTGACTAGTTGACCAAGTCAATAAGAATTCATTTAATTCGCGAAAAATGGATAATTTAATTTTTTTTTTGTTAAAAATAGTTACAACGAATGAACGATAAACATTTTTAGGAAAATATTATTAAAATCATTATGCGAAACAAACATAGCCTTACAATTTGATCTATGAGATTCATTTGCACATGAATAAATGAAAACCCATCTCAATCAACCATGTCCTAATAACATTTTAGGAGGAGAACAATATATGTCCACTTCACGAGAGAATGCCAATCTAAAGAAAAGAATATCACGATTGAATAAAAATTAAATCTCGACATGTTTGCAACAATCGAGATTTACACGAAATAACAACAATTTACTTTTTAACTCCAATTTCCTTTTACTTCAATTTCGCTCGATATTCTATCAAGTCGAAGTAAATTGTCGATCATGGCATGTTACATCACGTTAGGAAATTTTTCCGGCGTCGAATTAGGAAACTTTTGCTGTGCATGCCAGGTGGGCTCAATCTTGGACATAGAGAGAATTCGTGGAGGGAGGGGCCTTTTTGTTTATGTCCCTGCTAAGCAAAGTCGTTTCTCAGTCCTCTCACTCCCCCCCACTCTTTCTTTCTCTCTCTCTCTCTCTCTCTCTCTCTAAAGCCGAGCGAGGCAGAAAAGAGGAAAAAAAAAGCAGAGGAAAAAGACAGACGAGGGAGGAGAGGAGTGGAGGCAGGAGAGAGAGAGAGAGAGAATTCGTGCCCGGAGAAAGCAAAGAATGACAACTCGGGCCAACGGCGACCACCGCGCACGCCACGCGCCGCCCTCCCAAGAACGCCACCAGTACTACTACGCCTCCTCCTCCTCCTCCTCCTCGGCTTCGCTCAAGGGCTGCTGCTGCTGCCTCTTCCTGCTCTTCTCCTTCCTCGCCCTCCTCGTCCTCGCCGTCGTCCTCGTCATCGTCCTCGCCGTCAAGCCCAAGAAGCCCCAGTTCGACCTCCAGCAGGTCGGCGTCCAGTACATGGGCATCTCCGCCTCCGACCCCGCCACGGCCGCCGCGGCAGCTGCCGCCTCGGCCGGCGCCGGCTCCAGCCCGACGAGCGCGTCGCTGTCCCTGACCATCAGGATGCTCTTCCTGGCGGTGAATCCGAACAAGGTCGGGATCAGGTACGGCGAGTCGAGGTTCACGGTGATGTACAAGGGGATTCCGCTGGGGAAGGCCTCCGTGCCGGGGTTCTTCCAGGAGGCGCACAGCGAGCGGCAGGTGGTGGCCACCATCGCCGTCGATCGCTTCAATCTGTTGCAGGCGGACGCGGCGGACTTGATAAGGGACGCTTCGCTGAACGACCGGGTGGAGCTCCGGGTGCTTGGGGATGTCGGGGCCAAGATCCGGGTCCTGAACATCGACTCTCCTGGCGTTCAGGTCAGTTCAGAATTCCCGTTAGCTCTTCTTGTAGCTCAGTTCGCGATTACGTACACATTAATCAGTGCACCCGACTTGTGTGATTAGCTTAGTCTAGGCATATGGTCCCCTGAATTTTCTTGATATTACGGTCGTGGCGTTGATTTAGGTGGGTTAGTGTTTGGGAGGGGAACGGCGGAGGGCCGCCGTTGGAGGTGGTGGAGGGGCGGTTGGGGCATGATGTTTATGTTGATTGGGGGCCCGCACTAACATAGCCTCGCTCTTCGGGGGTCGGTGGTGCCGTCGTAATAATGGGGCGGGGTTCATATGTTGTCCGGTAACTGCGCAGGTCGATGGTTACGGTCTTGATGACGAAGTGTTAGGGACTAAGCTAGGCTCAGGCAAAGTCAGTGATTTTGTTCTTTCTTTTTCTTTTATTCAAACTATTTTCTTTTAAAAGTTTGACAAAATTTACCGCTACCTCGATACACGCCCTTTGATGACATCGAGTCTTTGTCTGGAAGGAATATGCTATATTTTTCTCAGTTTTTTTTTTAGACCCGGCCGACGCCCGCTCGTCTTCCTGGATATCTGCTTTTAATCTGGGTACAAGTTACAACCTTTAGGTGATGCAGGATTGCTTCCGAAAGTAAAACTAGCTCCTTTCTCGTTCACATTCCTGTTCACCTTCCAGAACACGACAAGACGCCGAGCACGTCGTACTCTCTACACGGTTGCATCCTTAGGTTTTGGAATCACGCCCTGCGAATATAGTGCCCTAATGTCTTGGCTCTGTTACAGAGAATGTGATGTAGGAAATAGCCAATTTTTGTGTTTTGGATACATCTCGCTTGTGTAAACTGCTGTTGAAGTTAGGACATCGTGTGCGCTGCTAAGGGGAACAGCTGTCTTGGTATCAACCACAACTTTACTTAGTTCTTGATGCTTGTGAATTTGGGTGACCCACAAATTGAAATATTGTCTTGAAATTCCTCCATAATTCCTGAATTCCGTCATCAACACTCAGCACTATAACCCTCTGGGACTCGAACCAACGAATGGTTTTTATTCGGGCCTAAGCAACCAAGAAACTTGGCTCCACTCTACTCTCAGTTCTCTTGATTGACTAACGAGGACTAGAGGGTGGGAGTGCGGCCAAATCGTTTGACAAATTGTCTTCGCCATTATTAATAGAATTGACGCTGATCGTGCAAGGAAGAGTCGAGAGGAGAGAGCTGGGTGTAGTGTACAGTGTCGGCCATGTGATCTCGTCCCTTCATGGGTCCCATCCATGCTCCTCGGGCGCATGGCAACTAACTTGTAAAAATCGGGCACGAAGGTATCATTGCGCTAGAGGAATCAAAACCTCTTTCCTTTTGTTGTAATTTCCTGGTTGAAGTGAATGCTCGTGGGCCCCAGCACCTCACTTTCCCAATCATGCCTGACATGTATCGATTTCTTCGAAGGGGGGGTCATGTTATTTTTGTCAACTGCACCTCCCCAAGTTGGAGACTATCGCCTCACTTTCGGTTCTTGACTTGGCAGTAGTATTCCCACGCGCCAGTCTCGAACCATTGCGCACTTGTGTTTTGCACTCTGTATTTATGATGTGGGTTTGTGTCTGATTATCTGTTTTAGTGGGAACTGATTCGAGTGTGTGTGGGTGGTGAATGATGGTGGAGTGGGCAGGTATCAGTGAATTGTGCAGTAGTGATCAGTCCAAGCAAGCAGTCCCTCACGTACAAGCAGTGTGGATTCGATGGATTGCGCGTGTAAAGATTCGAGATCAACAACACTCCCAGTCCCATCCTCCTCCCCCTTTTCTCTTCTTTTTATTTTATTTTATTAACTTTTGCCTCTCCTCAAATCAATTGGAGATGGAGAGACAGATAAAGGTATAAGGGGGGAGGGGAAAAAGTCGAAAGGAAAAGGAGGTGGGAACACAGCAGGAAGCTGCCCAATCCGCCCAATCCCACATGGCGGAGTATGTCAAAAGCAAAGGGGTTGAGGATGCTGGGAGAAAATTCCGGAGCTGTAATTGAAGACTATACAATTCTTTCCCTAAAAGTTTTTTTTTTTCAATTTATTAACTCTTTCTTTCTTTCTTTCTTTGCAATTCTTTTAGTTTTCCTTTCTTTTTTGTTTTTTGGTTTCACAACACCGGTTCCTTCGCTTGGACGGAACATACATATGACCGCACTGTAAAGTGGAGGCTGAGCTGAAGATTTGCTACTCCAATTTCAGATGCTTCTTTGACTCTCTCTCTCTCTCTCTCTCTCTCTCTGATGAAGAAGTTCATCATATGGCCCATGTATTTAGAAATTAGAACCTAACGAGCAAGGTGTGCTGTTCCCTTCAGTTTTGATTAACGGGTAGTTTGGCCACAAAGAGATTAATTAACGAATCCCAGAGATAAGCGACGCTTTGTATGTAGATTCGTGCTTGATCTTGCATCTACAAATCTAGGCGGACCGCGAAATTATCCCACTACAAGACATGATTGGAAGCACGTAGAAATAAACGATAATAACCTCTTATGATCCTATCTTATGATCTAGCCATACCAGACTAGGTGCATTACGTGCTTGTGCATTAATTTACAAAAATTAGCCTACCAGTATTAGGTTTTTCCGCTTTTCTGAGTAACAAGATTAGGCCCCTTTTTTTAAAATAAAGGACGACCATCTCGTTCATTAGATTTGTCTAAGGAAAAAGTATGATATCTGCGACTGTATGACCATTTTATTCACGTTACATGTACGCAACTTTTCGCGTATCATCAAATGTAAATAATTTCTTATTCGGGGCGATTTATCTGAATTTCGACTGTCTTTCTAGCGAGCTTTTTACGGGGGCTTGACTTAGAAAGGCTTTCTGGAATGACCCCTTTTGAAAAGAAAAAAGGAGGACCCCAAAGAAAAGCTTCACAATATACATCGGTCAATGCTTTGCCCAGATAAACACGATGGCAGTTGAGGCCTCAAAAAGCCCACTCTCAAGAGCCTTCATTTGGGCCTGAAACTAGAGGCCCATTTATCGGACCGGGTCGATCCATACCCCGCAATAAAGCGGTCCGATCCAAACCCGCCGTGATTCGGATCATCCGAAATCGAAACCTTGCAAGCTACCACCTTCTCCCTCTCCCCCACTCGAGCACGCTTACAAACAATCGGTGGAACACAGAGGAAAACAAGGGCAACGAAAGCAATGGATTTTGGTGACCTGAAGGAGGCTTTGGCCTCCCAGTCCTACGCCCAAATCGCTGATATCTGTGATCATCTGATGCTTCAGGTAGTTCTGATTGCTCTTCTCGAAGTTCTTCTGTGCGTGTCCGTTTGTGTTTCAGGCTTGATTCGTGTGCATAGAATGTTGGGTTTTGTTGTCGTCGACCTGAGTTAGCAGAACGTGCGCACGCACGCAGGTAGCGGCAGATGGCGCAGCTTTCCAGGAAGAATGGCCCTACGCTATTCACCTTCTCGGCCACATTTATGCTGATGATATGTAAGCTTTCTTGTCCTCGTTTGACTGGGTTCTGGTTATGATTGGTGGCAGAATACCTACGGAAATGTCGTGTCTTTGGACTTCTGTCGGTCAGAGAAACTGAGGGGGTGGATGAGTTGGAAGGATAATTCCTGATTGAAAGAGATACTGTTCGACTGATTTTACCAAAAAGATGGGGATTTATGATCTAGTTGTTTTTGTTGATGCACCATCGGTTATCCTGCAGAAGTCTTCTGACTTTTCCTAGCTATAACTGTTAAGAATTGGCTGGAGTGGTATGAATTGATCTATAATCCTGGGGATCCGAGTCTCTCCTTGATCAGATTTTTGAACTTATTTTGGGTTGCGTTATTGCTGGCTATGCTTGCGATACCAGAACTCTTGCTTAGTGGGAGATTTAGGATTGTGGACTTGATCTTTGTTCTGTTTTTTGTTGTGCTATATTGTGTCGTCCTACGATGTTAGATGTCGGCCCTCACTTGAGCTTTGGTTAGCAGTAGCAGTGCTCGGTTCCTCTGGAAATCAATACCTTCTTCCATCAAAGAGAACCAACCAGAAGTAGGTGCTGCCTGGAAAATCGGTCAGCACCTGTGGACTCGGGACTATGCAGCTGTGCATGAGGCTATTCGTGGGTTTGATTGGAGTCAGGAAGTTAGAGGTCTTGTAGCTTCATTTGCAGGCAAGTTAGCTCTTTCAATATGTATTCTTGGGCATGAGCATGTGTGTCGTGATTAATAATCGATGCACGGCAATATTCTTGGTTTCTTAAATGGAATATATGTAAGAAACAATTTTTTATGGTCACGTTGGAAGACCTTTAAGCAACATCAATCAATTTAATGCTTTGTCTGGTTCCAGTACATGCTTTTCAAAAGCCATAAATTGATTTGCTTATCTGAGTTTTTTGTGCTTCCTCTGGTATAATTTTATCAGAAGTCGAGCAATGTTCAATCGAGTGTTTGTTTCATAAAGTTTCTAAGGAGTTTATATTTCCCTTGGCTTGTGCTGGGATGGGAATTGGTTAGTTGTCTTTGCTAGCGTCTCTCTGGCTTCATAGTTGAGCCTTTATATAGTTGTGCTTTTATTGGTAGCAAATCTGAGCAATGAAGAGTTAGATGGAAGACTGATTATGTGATGATGTGCATTCTGCTTGCCGTGTGCATACCCTCTTAGGTTCTTATCGATGTGCATTCTTCATTCTTGTTGAAGCTAAATGGCAATTGCTTGTGTGGCTCGATGTTAAGTTCAATGATGACAATTCTGTTGAGTCAGATGACGTTAGATATGCGAATTTTAGTTACAAATAGGCATGTCCCTATGTTGTCGATACCATTACTTTGAGTTGATATTTAAGATGGTTTTCCTGTCTAACTTCTAGCATCATTCTATCGTTGATTGTGTGCTTCTTAGATATTTTTGAATTCTTTTTCCTTCTTCTTTTTCATGCGTGTTTGGTTGTAGGAAGTGATGCTGCTTGCACATCCCCTGTGAAGGATGTTTTGGATGATAAGGTATCATAAACTAATGAATTAAGTGCAGAGACATTTTTAATAGTTTAGGTTTGGAAAGATTAAACTAGACTGGAAGAGAAGTAGTTTATTAACTCATGGGACACTATACTTATTTTACTAGATGCGAGAAACGGGAAAAACAAAGAGAGGCAAGAACCTAAAAGTGTGGAGTCATTATGAGTGGAATGACATGACTTTTGACTCTTATGCTCTCCACTAAGTTCTTGACTTGCTTCAGTTATAACGCATTCTTAAGTTTTCAACTTTAGTTCCATTAAGTCGCCTCTTTTTTGATGATTTATTGACATTAGCATGGTTGCATTTTCATGACATTCCGATTGTTGTAGCAGAGCAATACACCAAGAGGATGTTCCGGCTGCTGTCATCTGCCTATTCAACAATAAGCCTCCAAGATGCAGCCCTATTTCTGGGAATGAGCGAGGATGATGCAGCAAACTGTAAGCTTCTACACTCGTTGAAAAGTGAATAGGAATAAGTTTGTGAAATTAATGCAAACATTCTTGAGGCTCTTTCGTTGTACATTACGTCGACTAGTCCATTGATATAAGACATGGGCTTGGGTCTTGTGGAGGGAGCTAAAAAATCAGATGCCCTTTGATTTAGATAGAGTATGGCTAATTAGACTATATTGCTTTCCTTCTGTCTTAAACCTATTGGTGCAATTGCCCGTCCATTCATTTTTCTCTTGCCTCATTACTGCCTTTTTCATTTGCTCATTAGTTGAGTTTCTGTTGATACTTGCAGATGTGCTCCAGCAAGGTTGGGATGTCGACCCCGCTTCTCGAATGCTTACAGTGAGGCAGCAGCAGGCGGTGACCGATCAAAAGCTGGATCCTAGTAAACTGCAGCGGCTGACTGAATATGTATTTCAACTTGAGCATTAGCCAGATCTCTTTTAAGAATGGTGTTTGGTTTCGGATGGTAAATAGACTTGTGTAGAGAATTGACTCATCAAGAGAAGAGACATGAAGGACACTACTTCTCCCAGATCCCTTAAATGCAATCACCGATATAATCCTTATGTCTCACTAAAGTTATCCATATGGACTATTGACTTTTGTGTTAAAGTGGCTTCTAGGCGCATGTGGTCAGCTAAAAGACTAACTCATGTGTGATTGAATGAAGGGTACGTTTCTGTGAGCTACAAATTCCACTGTCTAGGCCTTTCGTTTTTCTGGTAGCAGGGAAATTTTCAGAGTGTAAAGGGATGTCGCAGCCTAATCTTACAACCTTTTGTCCCCTGGCACAAGAGTAATGAGTAGTTTCTTGTAGCCTGGGAAATATCCAGTACTTTCCTGTTCCGTCAAATGTATGTTTCTCGATATATCTGGCGCTTTCTGATATAAGAGAACACAAGACAGAAATGAAAATAGACTCACCACAGTAGAAGAACAATTACCCACGAGACAACGAACGACTATAACTCAAATATGACATAAATGAAACACAATTGGGCATCAACTTTTGTACAAAATAGATTGTAATGCGAAAATAAACGGTAAATCAACTTGTCAAACTAACTCCGTTCGTTTGGCGGAAAATATTCTCCTTTTGGAAAATATTTTCCCGGAAGTCATTTTCCTGGAAAATGTTTTCCCGGAATATAATTTTCCGGTGTTCGGCGACCAATATGAAAAAGTTTCGGAAAATATTTTTTGCGGCGACGGCGGCGGCGGCGTGGGCGACCTGCGGGCGCGGCGGCGACCGGCGCGGCGGCCGCGCCGGGCGGCGGGCGGGCGGGCGGCGACCGACGGCGGCCGGCGGCCAACGGCGGTGACCGGCGATCAACTTCCTCTCCCGCGGAAAACATTTTCCCTCCCATGGGCAATTTTGCCTTCAATTTGGGGGAAAATGATTTCCTCAAAACAATGAAGGATTTGGGGGTGGGGAAGGAAAATGTTTTCCCACGAAAAACATTTTCCGCCCCCGAACACCGGAAAACGCGGAAAATGTTTTCCGGAAAAATATTTTTCCGCAAACGAACACAGCCTAAAGATGCAATCTTTTTTCGGTGAAAAGATGCCCCCAAAACAATGCCATGGAAAATAATTGTTGTACCACAAGACTTGCAACCATGGAAAGTCCAAAAAGGAAAAAGCAAGAACCATAACACTTGCAAAGGGTTTCGTCGCAAGGGGTTGACCCTCTCGGACATTCGCCATCAATGCATTCGATCGACGAAGCGGACTTCAGTTTCAGCGACACTGTGCGTGAGGTTTTCTTTTCCTCTTGAAAACATCGTGTTTGGAAGTTTTGGTCCAAGCGCAAGCAATGAAGAGATTCAACTTCGACGAGGCAAAAGATGTAAGTTATGCACGCCATATAAGAGAAATCGAATTTAATCTCCATTCCAAGAGAGATGGGAAAAGCAGATCGACCAAGTCAAATGCTGGAACTTCACGCCAACCGCATGATGTTATGTACAAAAACCACAGAATCATATGACCCTACAATTATGTCCGAGATGGAGTTCCATATACAATTCAATTACATCTCATCTTCTTGGCATGGACAGCATCGATGATAGGCTTGGTCGACCTGTAGATATGCCGGATCGACCGGTACCTCTTGTTCCGCCGCATCAGATCATCCTCAGTCTCTCTGAACAATAACGCTGCCTCTCGAAAGGCCGAAGAGGCTTCGGTTCCGTCCTCCTCCTCCTCCTTCTCCCTCTTCGCACTGCCGTCGCTCTCATCCGAGTTTCCACTGAGTTGCACGAGTTGCCGAGCCACATCGAGCTCCGTCTCTGAGAAAGCGGCCTTCTTCTTCCCCTCCTGGGTTCTTCCTTCTTTACCACAAGACGTTGATTGTTTCGCCATCGAAGCCTTTACTTGTTCATGATATGTAAGAAGAAGATGATACGGATGTTGGCTGTATATATTTATAGAACGAGGTTAGAGAGCACAGGAAGCAACATGGAACGGATGGAGAGAAGCGTGTCTGAGATCTTGCCGACTCTGCATATGATTATTATTCTTTCGATATGCCGTTGACGTGCGTTTCAAATTAGGAAACTTTTTGCACCGCGTTTGAGAAGGAGATGGAGTTTAGCTATTGGACCCAACATTTGGGCCCATTAATTAATGGACCTAACCCACTTGGCCATTTCAATCTATCTGCACTTGCCCTGGAGAGATGGTGCAACAGTGAGAAAAAAAAAAGCATCACATTGCAAGTTGAATGATACATTTCTCCATCCCGAATAGTCCATATTCAAGCTATACTGCTACTAGTAATCTCCCATCTAGTAATGGATCGAGTCCCAAAAGAAAGAATTGCCTACACAACTTATAATAGTTACATATGATAACAAAAACCCCAAGATTGCAGTCAAGAAGATGTACAATGTGTTGGATGGAACATCGGACAGAGTGTACTGTGTTTTCCGACTTGATGAACCTTTGCTTTTTCTTCCCTTCATCCTCCTCAATTATTGGGCAGCTCCCGGGCGACACCGTCTTTTACCATGGATGATGCTCGATTTGGAATGTCATCAGCATCAGCCGCTACATGATGACTGTTGTTTTCCATATCATTACTGCTGTTAATGGAACGGGAGGTGGTGATAACAATCTGAATGGAAGAGTTGGTCTCTGTAATGCTTTTGGAGGGCACTATCACTAGTTGGTCCATCCTTCTCATCTCTTTGCGCTTTCCCCATAGCACCACATATAGCCCACACACTATCAGTCCTGCTCCCAGTAAGCTGCCACATGAACCAATGCTTCAACCAATTAGTCTCACTAACAATGAAGTGTTATTCGTTTTCACGTATTATATGCTTATATGTGCCAATCACCAATCTCGAATACAGATGCATATGTGACGTGTCACATATATGCAGAAATTTCCGAATAGAATAGGTAAGGTAAGGGGGGACCCCATACCTTCCAAGGTGAAGCTTCTCATCCAATAGGAACGAGCCGGCTAAGGCCACAAGGACCAGCATCAGAGGGGTAAAGACCGAAGCGAACAAGGGTCCTCTCTTGTGCACGCACCAACCTAGCAGACTCACACATACTCCTGAAGCAACAAGTCCCTGCAACAGTTGTTATAGCTTTCAGTGACGTATTCCGAATGAACCTGAGTTCCCCGGCTAGCAGTTAATTGTTGGTGCGGATTTGAATGATTGCATACCGTGTAAGCCACAGTTAGGAGCCTGATGTTCCAGCCCAACTTCCACTCAGACCAATCTCTCTCTGTGCACAGAGCAAAACCCACTGCTTGAATCGACCCGAAGAGGGAAATCAATGCTGTGCTTGAGTAATGGCATGGGTACCTCTCGGCCATCTTTGTCTGTTGCATGGCAAGTCATCTATTAGACATTATCATCTGAACTAGCTGGAGCCATTACCAACATGAGTGGTTTCAGTTTACTAGTGATGTAATGATGAAAAAAAATAACAGTCTATGTTCATGCTATGTGAGTGAATCTTATATATACTTTCTAGTCTTATAGCCCAATAAGTGTCCCAGACAGTATCTGTGAAGATTGATTTTTGGGTACCAAAGCTCACCCATCTCTAATCTATTGCAACATTAACCTTGAACTGACTCCATACTGGTCTCCAAAAAAAAAAAGTTCGACAGATTTTCATCCTGAGAGCCCTTAAATTTTCATTGTTAAGCTACAACCTATAACAATATGTGTAGCTTTTAGTGCAGAAAGAGCCTTCATGCAGTTCCTCTGGTGAGTTAAATTACAGGTGCAAGTCCATTTAGGAAATCTGACCGATTTCTTGTACCAAAGTTTGAAGCAGGACATTATTGGTCGGAATAGCACCTGAAGTATCAACCACAAAGAGTAGCATACGCAACTGCCGACGGCCAACATAGAGCCCAGCACATGACTCCCATGTCCGGCAGGGTTCAAGAAGGCCGGAGGGAGGCTGGCCGGTTGCGGTTGGTGACCGTGGTGATGCAAGAGATCGACATGGGTCGACCACATCCGGATCTCAAATCCTTTGTAGAGAGTGAGGACCATTGCTCCACCAATTCCCATCAATGTCCCCAACACTTTGGCCTTCCCTTCAATCCTTCCTATTACCACCCTTTCCAACCTAAATAACGCCCAACCAAGAGAAAAATTTTCACATAGACAAGATGAAATTAGTGTAAAGCGAAGAAAATGCAGAAACTATACATACAAAGCACAATGGACCGATATAGTGGGAAGAGAGTTCAGAACATAATTACCCAAAGGAAACGGCCATGATATATGTGATAGCAGGTGCGAGGTTGAGCATGGCCGCAGCATAAGTTGCTGAGGTGAGTGCTAAGCTTTCCAAGTATAAGTTCTGTACCAGTGATCCCCTGAAACCGATTGAGCCTTTCTATATCAATGAGTCATGAAACTAGACTCTCAAGTACAAGTTTTGATAATAGGTACACGATTAAAAATAATCAAGCGGACGAAAGAATTGTGAAATTTCTGTATATCTCGATATATATATTAATAAATAATGCATCAGCCTATTTATAAGCTCCATACGTAAAAACATATCTCGGTTCACAGACTATGATGCAAAATCTGCCACTTGGTTGTATAAGGTATTAATTTGGTCTCTGTTCTAGCTAGCAGGGTGAAGTATTCATGTCGCAGTCGCTGAAAGGACAAGTACCACTTGTCATTCCATAGCCTATTCTGAAAGCACACACGTCTCTCGGCAACATTACTTGGTTGAAATTGAAGCACCCCCTTAATAATCATTGTCTATCAGAGGTAAAAAAAAAGACCATGGATTTCCATTATCTTCAATGAATGATTTCAGACTAAAAGCTATTGGTTCGCGCTGTCGAGATGCACTATAATTCCAAATGCAAAATCTGTGTACCAACAAGAATCTAGGATCCAACGCACTAGCCGAATTTAAACTTAATTAATTTTCTAAAAGAACGATAAAGATAAGCCAATCAAGGGACCAAGAAAATGAGCCATTCGGTGATCATATCTTTGCTGTTGTCTCCGAAAAAGTAGCAAAACCCCAAGAAGAAGAAGGAGGATGTGTTATGTGCTGTGTAAGAATATGGCGGCGTGGATATAGCACGACTTACCCAAACAAACCACAGCAAAATGCTTGGAAAAGCACCATCCCTGTTAACTTAGGCCTCTTCTTCCTGCCACGAAAGAGAGAGAAAATAATTATTCATAGAACCGTCTGTGAAATCTTGATACATACATATCCTCTGTTTAAAGCGCAGGGGAAATAACCAAGAAGACGTTCTTAATTGGTAAAGGGTGAGAGAAACAAGATGGTCATTAATGGGCAGTCCTCGTTTGCCATACCATGCGTGGGCATGCAGAGAAACTTTTAAGGTATCGAGGAAAACAGGTGTTGACAAAGAGGAGCGATTGCATTTGCCGTTTGCTAGACACCTTTCGAAGAAGAGGGCGAGAGGGGAGATGAAGGCGGTGGCGAAGAGAAGGCGGTAGGCGACGACGAGCCTCAAGTTCATGCCGTCGTTGGCGGCCAGCTTGTAGAGCACGTTCACTCCAGCGAACGATGCCTGTATCACCACCATCAGTATCGCTGGCTTCGCTCCATCTATCCACTTCTTGATGGCTCTCCCCTCCATCCTCGTGTTCCCCTCGCTCTTCTTTAAATGAGGCTGGATCGTTCTTGGTCTCCCTTCGAGTGCGGAGAGAGGTGGATAAAACGGGGGTTTATAAATAAGCATCGGGAGTGAAAGCGGGGTGGTGAAAGAAATTAAGAGAACGTGACAAATGGAAACACTTCCTCTCTCTAACTAGTCACTGAGTGATGCAACAGGTGTTGTTGCCTTCCATCTTTCATGGAGATATCAAAAAGAGGGTAATGCAATGAATGGGGATCGAATAGCGAGGGTAATGCAATGAATGGGGATCGAATAGCGGGCACCGTAAATGTCACCGGAGATCAGGAGAACACAACGCAAAAAAATTCTTATATGTATCCGGAGCATGCGAGCACATTTCATCTCGATCATTGAATGGTATCGAATCTCATGTAGAGCCGATATGATTTGATGATTGAGACAGAGTTAACTCATCTCTCGTTAATTCTCTCACTCATGACAATGCACGTGTGAGGTCAGAGAAGGTCCTCGTGGGTCTCCTAGAGGACACTTGCCATGAATGCAATTGCAAAATGCAATTTCATTTTGCATTCAAATGTGGGGTGTCCCTAATCTTGATCGAGACCAAGTGAGTTAATTATGGAGTGGGTGGTGCTTTTTTTTGAATTAGTTTTATAACTAAGGAATCCCGGTATTCCTAAAATTGTGATACATTATCATGAATTAAACAAATCCAAATAATTAAGCTCTTTCTCTATAGAGGAAACACTTGTATAAACCCGATTCATTAGGGATGCATCCTAACCATAATGGACAAAGTTTGGTCGGATACAAGAAATTTTTCACATTTGGCGACATGGAAAAATGTGCCACTATATATGCAATCCCTAAACCATATGGGGATATGCATCTTATCGCTAGTAAGTTGATCCGTGAGATTATACATACGCGAAATAACCTGTTTTTATTACTCTAAGTGTTTTCTTTCTTCAATATTATTTTGGCGATCAAAAGACAATGTTTGATGTATTGCTTTAGTAGTGAGGTCAAACAATTGAGGTAATTCCCAACTCACCAAGTCACGATGGGTTTTCATATGATCTAGATGTAATGATCATTTCTTTTTCACAGGACTATTTGGATAATAAATGGCAGGGTTTCTTTCTTTTCTCTCCGTGTCGGCAAATCCCTTCATCTCTCAAAAACTCTTTCCTCCTTTGAAGCTCTCCTATAGGCTCTCAACTTTAATTTCCAAAGCTGAGAGCTTACTTAATTTTTGGTTTTCTTTTTCTTTGTTTTGATTGTCTTTTCCTTTGTCTCCCGATCTATTTTGGGTGTGTCTGTGTGTGAATAAATTTTTGCAGTTGATCTTGGGTGAATGCGGAGACCAGTTCGGTCATTCATCCAATCGACAGTCATTGAGGAGGATATTCATAACGTGGCTTCACAACCTCTCATGATTTAGATTTTGGTCTACATGGGAGTTTTACTCTCCCAAATTAGATCTAGAATAGAGATCTAGGAGTTCCTATAGGTAGTTGATATGTGTTCTTTCTATTGGAGTTGGCGAATACTTCGGGGACCCTTGTTTCTCATACCAGGCATGCCCACGTGAGCTTAGGGAAATCGAAGTATGAATCGACGACATGTGACCCCTACGCACGGAATGTCGAGGGTCCCGCTGCCCCGTTTGTTATGGGATCAAAGGGATTTGGATAGGATTGGGCTTTGGGCCCATTTTAAGTCATATATATATTGTACTTGTATGAGAGATCATTGTAACGAGTGGTTGTGGTTGGAAAATCTAAAATATTATTATGGAATCCCTTTACAAGACGTAGTTTTATTCTGGGATGAACCTGGGTAAACTCGTGTGTCAATTTTTCTATTATTTGTGTGATTGTTCTGATTCTGTTTCGAATATAACCCATCACTTTCAACATATTGAAGTTGGTGTCTTTGCTATGGTGATCAGGATGGTGAACCTAGATGTGAAATGGAGTGAGAGATCTCGATGTGTGTTCATTACTGAATATGATAATCGGCCGCCGAACGTTTATTGTAGCATATCTGTTTTTGGGGGAAGAGAGTGTGCTTCCAGACTGTGTTTTGCTATTTTCCTTCTGGGGTTATGCACCTCTCGAGTATTATTATGGCAAATGAATGGAATCTTTCTTTCGAGAAAAATAATAACAAATGGCACCTTTCATTACACATACTAAGAAACGTATCTGCGGGGGACATTGAGCAGCAAAAGCAAGACCTACTTAAAGCGAGGGATTCAAAAGGGTGATGTCTGTGGATACCTGCTCCTTTGATGACCCTGCACGATCCATCAATTGCAACCTTTTGCATAGAATTCTACAGGTTCATTGATTTTTCCCTATAATGAAAGGGTGCATATCTTGCTTTTGTCGACAGAAATAAGGAGGAAATTTCCAAAGTGGAATTTCACGAGGCACTCTTTTGCTGAAAAAGTAAGAGGTTTTTGACAATAATACTGAGGTATGAATAGAAACGTGTGCTTTCTAGCAAAAAAATGCTTTCTAGCAAAAAAAAAAACAAAAAAAGAATAGAAACGTGTGCTGCACGAGATCTCGAGTGCAATTACAACCTTAACTGGTCTAGTGCCTATGGAAAAGCGTGAAATTACAACGTTCGGCCACGGGAGACTTGAATAATTTCCACGAGGATATAACACGTGTGGCATTACATGATGCCTGTGCGGTGGCACGCAGTGATTAATAAAGCGACTAATAACCATTCTGTTTCCCTATTTTTTTATTTTTCAAAATAGATTTGAAATAAAAATTCATTTGGTAATGAGAAATAAAAACTTTTCTCATCACTTGTCTTCATTACTAGTCGGTCGCCCACCCGTCGCCCGTCATCGCCGCTGATCGCCTCCTGCTGCCATCGCTCGTCGGCGGTCGCCTCTCGCCGCCGTCCATTGCCGTTCGCTGCTGCCCGCTGTCCGCCGTCCTTTGCCGCAACTCGACATCGATCGCCTCCCACCGTCGGTCGCCTCTTGCTGCTGTCCGCCGCTGCCTGCCATCTACCGTCCTCTGCCACCGCTCAACGTCGGTAGCCTACCATCGTTGGCCGCCTCTTGCCGTCGTTTGCCACTGCCTGCCATTTGCTATCCTCCGCTGCCGCCCGACGCCGGTTGCCTCCCACCGTCGGCTGCCACCATCTGCCGTCCTCCTCCGCCGGCCAATGCCGGTCACCTCCCATCGTTGGTTGCCTCTTGTTGCCGTCCGCTGCTGCTTGCCGTCCGCCGTCTTTCGTTATTGCCCGACGCCGGTTGCCTCCCACAGTCAGCCACCATCGTCCGCCGCCGCCCGTCGATCGCCGCCGCCGCCAGTCGGCCGCCTCCTGCCGTCCTCCGTCGCGACTCGACAGCAGTTGCCTCCCAGCGGCGGCTGCCTCCTGCCTCCCGCCTCCCCGTTGCCATCCTCTGCCATCGGCTGTTGCTCGCCTGCTGCTCGGGAAAAAGAAATTTTATGTCGTTATCAGACGAATTTCTATTTCAGAAACAGAAATTTTGTATTGTTATCAAATGCATATTTTGATTCAGAAACTCGTCTATGGAATATAAATAGAAAAATCTATTTCTGGCCATAAATTAATATTTGGAACAGAATGATTATTGTTCGCGCTCCAAGACACTATCCTCGATCACCAAGATGTTACAAATCTTGACTTCTTGGTCCTTGTCACTACGCTTCATACGATCTTACCAAGTACGTGAAATTTATGAGGCTAGCCTTTATATCAGCGTGTCATAGCTGTATTTACAACCCGTGTTAATACATATAGTAGCATTAATAACTAACAAGGACGTATGGATGCGACGTGTCGATGCAAAGGTCTCACAAATCAAAGTTGACTCAGCTTTCAAAATCAAGTCCACTATGAGTTGGACGCTCGAGAAACGTGAAGTGTCCAAACTTGAGAGAGCTCCGAACAAATGTGAACCGAGACAATGTCAAGATAATCACCAATTTTGTAATTCCGCGGAGCATGTGGGTATTCGAAATAATAGGAGACAGAGTACAAACCTTAGGTCTCAATGCTCTCGGAGCTCGTGTTGTGTCATACTACTCGGTTTTGTCTCTATATTTTGTGTGTTTGCCTCGTGCGGTACGAATTAGTCCGACCGAGTGTTGCCAACTCTGGTGACCCTCATACCTCAATAGTTTCTCTTGTAAGCAGACGTCACATGTGATTAATATTAATGATACAATAACGTTAAACATAAATTAACTAAAGTTCCTAAACACAAAGGATGATTTCGACCTCCTTGCATCACTTGAATGCTTGCTTTTTCGCTTTCCTCCTCTTTCTTCATATAGTTTCTAACATTTGATTTATTGTTCTAATTTAAGCTCTATTTATTTCGTGAAAAATATTTTTCGAAAAAAACATTTTCCTCATTTTCTGGTATTTGGATCACTTAGAAAAATGGATAAATGAAAAGTGTTTTTCTAGTCAACAGAAAAAGTTTTCCTATCAAAGCTTAGATTTTGGAAAATGATTTCCAATTTGAAATCATGTTCCAAAACAAGATTAGGTTTTAGGGCATAGACTAGAACTTTGTTCTTTCTTGGGCTCTTGGTAGTAAGGCAGGGTCCCAGGTGCCCTGGCCCGAGACCATCTAGGCCGTGCCTGAGACCTTGGCTGCTATGCCTGGGTCCATCAAGGCCTGGCACAATGATATCGAAGCTGGGCTCAAGTCCTCGGGGCCCATCGAGGCTAGGTCCCGGTGCCCATGCCTCGATCCTCGACTTCTGAGCCCGGGTCCATCGAGGCCAGGCCCTAGACTCCTGTGCCTGTGCCCGGGTCCGCTGTGCTCGCACCCCGGTCCATCGATGCTAGGCCTGGACTCGGGAGTCGAGGACCAAGGCTTAGTCTCGATGGACTTGGACATAGGCGCCAAGGTCCCAAGCCCAACTTTGATGGACCTGAGTTCGGTCCGGGAACAAGGGATCGGATCCCAAGTGTTGGGTTCGGGGCCCAACCTCGATTGACTAGGGCCAGGTGCTAGGGACTTGGGTGCAACCTCCATAGACTCGAGCTGGGCGCCAGGGAGCCATGCACGGGCATCGAGTTCTCGGGCTCGGTTTTGATGGACCCAATACCAATGCCCGTGCTTGTGCCCGGATGTCAGGGATTTAGGCTTGAGACTCCGGTTCTTGTGCTGGGTCTCTTGACTATCCATGCACATGTTACTAACGTTCGAATCATGTATGTCTATTTAGAAAAATCAAATGAGATTTTTCTTACCAAACGATAGAAAATATTTTTCGATTCATTTTCAGGTTTTAACTAAACATCAAAAATTATTATTATTTTCCTGAAAAATGATTTCTCGGAAAATATTTTTCACAAATGTCATGTTTTCCGCGAAACAATCGAAGCCGTCTTTTGTTTTAATTTACAAATGAGTAAATTGAGATGAGTCAAATACATCGATTTTTGAATTGGGACTTGGGTTAATCTGGTTTGGATGAAAAGGTTGGTTTAGAATTGGACATATTGTGTATTTCTCAAGCAATAAAATAATGCCCTTTTGCAGGTGTAGGACAAATTGATTCTTACTTCTTTAAACGGGTCCCATACCTGCCCGAGAAAAAATTGCTAGCATTCATAGCAAAGGCAGCGGCTGCGCCTATTATAGCAAAAGCCAAAAGGCGAGAGCACTAACAACTTTTCTTGAAGCGCATCAATCTGAAAAAAGTTGGGGAAAAGTGTATTAGAATTCTTAAAACTTGTCATGGAAGTGTAATTGAGTCCTAAAACTTTCAAACAGTGCAATTGAGTCCTAAAATTTGTTATGAAAATGCAATCGAGTCCTAAAACTTTCAAATAATGTAATAAACGAAAGGACTTGATTGGATCAATTCGACAAGTTTTAGAATTTGATTGCACTTTTTGAAAGTTTTAGGACTCAATTGTACGTTCGTGACAAGTTTTATGACTTAATTGCACTTTCATGATAAGTTTTAGGACTTCCAATACATTTATCCCAAAAAGTTTTGTATATTACTTGACCAATAGAGTCAATTAAAGTATAAACCAAACTCTTGAACTACTTGCCAAAAACACCACCGTATTCCAAAATAGCACGATTTAAATGACATATTTCGCCTAATTGGACGTGCATACCATATCTTTTTACAGTAACATGATTGCCATAACCGGCTCCATGGAGTTCTCCACTATAGAACTTAAGCGATATACCTATTAATTTGTTCAACGCTATACTCTGATCTGTCCTTCAAACTAGAAGGTTGCCTTCCCAAAGTGTTACAAAAAACAGAAGTAAGCATTCGATATTCCCTGTCGTCCTTCTTGATAATCCCTCATTTGTCATATTTTTAGGTCATAGAAATCTAATTTCCCAATCACTTTTAAATGAGTTTTTGATAAACTTTGAATTTTGGTAGCCCAGCACCAATTTTTCTGTATATTTCTTCCTGGAAGTATTCCTGATCTCATTGATTAGGATTGGTCAAAAGATTCATGTTTAGGCAATTCATACCATCCACACTTAATGATTTGACATAAAATTTTTAGTTCTTTTCTATTTCGGCAGTAGGATATTGTTCCGTAGGAAGAAACGGGTGTTTCCCCGGCTCTACCATTTGTTCCACTTAATCCCTTTTTCAATCGGCTAAGAGTTGTGAAACCTTTCTTCTGTTACATGCATTCGATTTTCATTTCATTCGAGAAAAGTCTGTGTTTTCCAGTGAAAATTTCGATGTACGTATCTATTCTGGCTGCGCAAGTTAGACAATTGTATCATCTAGAGAGTAAAAGAGGCCATGAAATTTTAATAGCTTGGTCGAACAATGTGGACAAAGAGTGGACAAAGAGTGGAACAAAACCATGCGCAGCTAAAGGAATACGAATGGGACTTTTATTCTGGGGAAAACAATAAAACACTTAAATTATTTTTGTAACGATGGACACGCCCTCTAACATGGAAAGAAGAAAACATTGATTTGATACACCAGAGAGAATGGATTTTGGCTCACAAACTTGATGATTCATCTCTTGATTAGAGAGACTCCTTACAAATTGCTGCATAAATTTGGGGTGCACTCAAGTATATTAATCCTCATTCATTAGAAGCCCTTCTCAACTCAATTTGACTCATAATCTGTTTGACCTAGGCTTCCCTTCACTTGCTGTTTAATTCTACTCTTTCTTGGCCTCCTCAGCCTTTACTTCTTTCGTCTCCTCTTCCTTCTTGGGTTCGCCTGCGACGGCAGCCTCTCCCTCGCTCTTCTCCTCTTTCTTTTCTCCATCCTGAAGAAGGGGGGAATATTGAAACATGAAAAACTTTAGTGCCCACATGACTTATCGGTGCTTAATGGCTATACATTGCACCTCTTCAAAGGCGATGACAAAATTCGACGTGAGTATATCTTAATATATCGCCTTCATGGTTTGTTATATCGAATACTATGTGTTTGCGAGTTCTTGCGCATGTCAATCGGGTCGTGTGATCGTACCTTATCGAGCAATGTTCCTAGAGAGGGAGCATCCTTATCATCTTCGGCCTTCTTCTCAGTCTCGGTGTCGGCCTTTACTTCTTCCTTGGTCTCCTCAACCTCCGTCTTCACCTCCTCCGTCTTCTGCTCCTCAGCAGGGGCGGGGGCGGCGACCGACTCCTCCGTCGCGGGCTCCGGGGGGACTCCGCCGGCCTCGGCCTTCTTGAACTTGATGGGCACGCTAGCACATCCACCCATGTTCCCTCTTCTTCAGTTGATATAGGAAGAAGAATGCGATTTTGTTATTAATGTCTCTCTCCCGAGTCAATAGGGAGAGAGAGATATGTGGAAAGAAGAAGAGAGGGAGAGAGGGTTAATCGCAAGGCTATCAATGTTGCTTGAGGGACGCAAGGGCCGAGAGATTGTCTTCCTTTATATAACACCACGACATTCCAAATTCGGTGGTTCTTGATCCGAATTCATTGCTTGGCTCGGAAGAATTTCAGGAGGACAACGTTGGCACCAGTTAATGTTACCCAAAAAAAGGCAATCAGTGTAGGAATCGCACATGTGTATGATCGCCAATTCACAGCTGTATCTTAAATTTAGCATCCAATGTCAGACTTAATTTCACTCCGTTTCCATAATTAGGTTGACAGAGCATATGTGCACGATCGTAGTTCTGGATGTTCTGATAATGGTCTCGGACCAACCGAATGTGAACTACTCCCGGCACTATTAATAATTTAACCAGAAGACCCTTTCTATTTCGAAGTTTGATCTGGTCCTCATTGAATACGTTCTTCCCAATTTCTGACATATTGTATGAACTCATCGGGATATCATATGACATTTTGTGGTTGCTGATGAACATTGTTACCTTTATCTTATGTGGCTGTTCCATCCCATTGCCATCCAGTGTCAAACAAGAATGAATAAGGAAGTTGCCATGTACATCGCCCAAGAAAATTGCAAGTATCGAAAATTGCCAAAATCATTGGAGTGAACATCTATGCCTTTTGGTAACCTTGTCAAACAAGAAAATGAATGTTATCAGATCATGAGTAGTGTCCTGAGGCAAAAAAGATAGCTGAAACAGCCCAAAAACTTCATCTGCAGTATCGTCACCCACTCCTACATCGCTCCGAAACATCAATCGGAGAACATCTTATAAAACCTGCTAGTCAAACATTGATACATAAGTTCGGAAAAATGACACCATGAGATGCCATAATGACCAGGTACAGGTACTGCTATCTTATTGGAAATTTGCATCGGGAAATATGATAAGAATTCGCTGTCGTTGGCAAGAAAACCAGCTAAGAAAACTCAGCATCAATGGCAAACTTTAGAACTTAGTTTGACGAAAATGCGCATTGATGCAACATTGGAAGCCACTTTATTTCGCCTTGTACAAGGTTCAATGCCAATAATGGACACTGATCGACTGCCGACTCTTCGGCCTCTACTATTGTAAAACACCTAGCCACCTAGAACATGCCTAGAAAAACAAGGAAAAAGAATCGAACTGAAGAACTCAATACGACTCCATCTATTTTAGTACTCTTAACTAGTTGCCATTATCAATCTCAGCTTCTAAGACCTACTAAGAACTTGACATATTGCGACATGCAAGCTGGCAATCCAAAATCTATATTCTGCAATTCCCAAAAACTTGTAAAAGCAAACTGAACTGAACTAATGGTGTAAACAAAAACCAACTGAAAGGTGGTTGATCCATCCACAATCTCTTCAACTGACTCAGAAACATTTTCTGTGAACAATTGACGGGCCCGACTCATCGTATTCGCCTTTTGTTATCCACATCTGCAAGCAAAATTCAAATTTAAGCAATACAGATGATGAATCAAGAGACCTACTTTCAGACGAATCAAAAAAGAAAAACAATTCACTAGTGAAGTGAAACAGAACATTTGCTTTACGATTTACCTGCTGGAACGTGCTAAGGGACGCTAAAATCGAACCTCCAATCCAGACGCTGTACTTTCTCTCAGGAGGCGCAACAACCTTTATTTTCATGCTGCTGGGTGCGAGGGTGGTGATCTCCTTGCTCATTCGATCAGCAATTCCAGGAAACATTGTTGACCCTCCACTAAGCACAATGTTACCATAAAGATCCTTCCTTATATCAACGTCGCACTTCATGATCGAATTGTAAGTGGTTTCGTGAATTCCGGGGGCTTCCATTCCAACCAGAGATGGCTGGAACAGCACTTCTGGACATCGGAACCTCTCGGATCCGATTGTGATGACTTGCCCATCGGGCAACTCGTAACTCTTCTCAAGGGCTGAGCTGGTCTGGGCAGTCTCCATCTCCTGATCGAAATCAAGGGCAACATATGCTAGTTTCTCCTTCACATCACGGACAATTTCCCGTTCCGCAGTCGTGGTGAAAGAGTATCCTCTCTCTGTTAGGATCTTCATTAAAGCATCAGTCAGGTCCCGACCGGCGAGGTCCAACCGAAGAATAGCATGTGGAAGCGCATACCCTTCATAAATTGGTACCGTGTGGGTAACACCATCTCCAGAATCTAGGACGATTCCTATTGATGTGCAAAATAACGATTAGGCCGGGGCGGAAGGAAAATACTGTGAAGATTATGCCAAAGGAGTCGCAAAGTACCATTTCGAGTTAAGAATGTAGAATAGAAGGATTTCACTCTGACCATACCTCAGTGGAAGTGAGTAACAATCCAACATAATATCACAAGTACAACATTCACCGTACTCTTTCAGGTCATAGCATTTATCTGTTTACACTTATAAACTGTAAGTCCCAGCATCTATGCTCATTGCACATCTTCCGGTATTACCAAAGACCAGTAAATTATGACAGCTTATACCATTACCTGTGGTACGGCCACTGGCGTAGAGAGATAGCACAGCCTGAATGGCTACATACATCGCGGGCACCTCGAATGTCTCGAACATGATCTGGGTCATCTTCTCCCTATTGGCCTTAGGATTGAGAGGCGCCTCCGTAAGAAGGACTGGGTGATCTTCAGGAGCTACTCGGAGCTCGTTGTAGAAAGTGTGATGCCAAATCTTCTCCATATCATCCCAATTGCTGACTATCCCATGCTCGATCGGGTATTTCAAGGTGAGGATACCTCTCTTCGACTGGGCTTCGTCTCCGACATAAGCATCCTTTTGGCCCATCCCGACCATGACCCCGGTGTGCCGAGGCCGACCGACGATACTCGGAAATACTGCTCTGGGAGCATCATCACCGGCAAAACCAGCCTGCAAAACGCGGGGAGGTCATCGAGGCAAATGAAGTCATCCAAGTTAGCTGAACATGGAGGAAACTTAACCCATCATTTTCTTGATGGTAAGTCGAGGCATGTTGAGTTTGCCCTCCCAAAACAAACAGATAATTCCTGTAACATATTCGGACATCCTATTAGAAGAAAAGGGAGACCAACCTTCACCATTCCCGTGCCATTGTCGCAGACAAGAGGTTGAATGTCCTCGGTGTCAGCCATTAGCTACAATCTGTCAAAAAGAAACGGGCCAAAAGAAGTGAGGGAACAAATACCAGATATAACCAAGAAGCAGCGAGGGGTTAAAGATCAAAGAGGATGGAAGAGAAGAGACCATAACAACACAAAGCAGCAGCAACATACAGAGAAAGATGTGCATGGAACGGTGAATACCTTTGCTACGATATCTGCGACGGCGAGTTGAAGACTTTGAAGATCAGCAAAGCAAGAGATGCATTATGTTGTACTCCTTTTTCTGCGGCTCTTATAAGGAATATCAAGTGCCGAGAACATACCAACTTTAGCTGTTTTTCCTTTTTGGGCGACTGGAAATGGTGGACCGACCCCCGTTTTCCACGTCAGCATGGGGCGGCGTCGATGGTGGGCGGCGTGGGGCGGTGGTGGTGGGCCGTACGGCCATAGCCGCTCATGACCTGGAAAGTTTGCCCCCCGACCGAAAGAAAAATTGCGGAATCTAGAAACTGCATCAAATCGAGGGAACATCGGCGGAGGAATGGAGACCTCGTATTGGGCCGGGCCGGTGCGGCCCATGAAAAAGCCCGCCGTTTCAGGTGGCGCGTCCGGTGTCGGCCTCACATTTGCCTCCCGTGCGCACTGCGCACACGGTGCAATCCAGCGAGCGGTGCGCGGCCGTGGACTCTTGGTAAGACCTAGAAGGGCTCGAAGCTCAAAAACCCGATCTCTGTTTCTCTTCTTCGTGGCTTCAACTGCATCCGAGCTTTGCAGGCTTCAAGGTGATTGATTCTCACTTTCCCATGCTCTGTAAGGATCAGATCCGTCTCTAATTGAACATCGGGTCGCGTTTGATGCGTCGATTTCTTGCTTTGGGATTGTGGGTGGGTTTGATTTTCTTGTGAGTGAGTCAGTCCCATCCCTTTGGTGGGACTTGGTCCGTGTTTGAGTGGTTCGAGAGCTGAATTGTTTGCCCCAAATAATTGGAGATGATGAGGATACAGGAAGCAAGACTGCATCTTGGGTTGCTGATTGACCTCGTGTGGTTTTAGTTTTATTGTCCAGTCCTGGGAAGAGCTGGTTCCCGAATGCATATGCGTGGTAGAAGTTGCAGCTTGGTTTTAATTTTCATACACCATGATACCTGAAGCACATTCTTATCTAATTGAACATTGGGTGGCATTTGATGTGTCAAGTTCTTTGCTTTGGGATTGTGGGTGTTTGATTTCTCGTGAGTGAGTCCCATCCCTTTGGTGGGACTTTGTCCGTGTTTGAGGGGTTTACTTACTGTCAGTTCCTGAGCAAACTGACTAATTAATTGGAGATGATGAGGATACAGGAAGCAAGACGGCATCTTGGGTTGCTGATTGACCTCGTGTGGTTTTAGTTTTATTATCCAGTCCTGGGAAGAGCTGGTTCCCGAATGCCTATGCGCGGTAGAAGTTGCAGCTTGGTTTTAGTTTTCATACACCATGATACCTAAAGCACATTCTTATATTGTATGAGTGCTCAATCTCATTTGCTCTAGTGGCACTTGTGCGATTCTTGTTAGCTTTTGTTTGTCATTTACAAGATTATTAAGTGGTTGTTACTTGTTTTTATGAAACTTGACCTGGTGCTAAGATGGCTTGCTTGTCATTGTGAATTGTGCAGGCAACTGTGCAAGCTCCTTCCGGCTGAGTCGTTCAACCATTCATCTTTTACATGTGAGTCTTGGATTTTAGCCCATACTTGTGAGTGTTTATATGAGTTTGAGCACGCGTGCACTCACTAATGCGTGCACAAAGGATTGGTGGGACACTTACTATTTCATGTTGTATGCCCTTAGTGTGAGTTCCTATCATGTTCTATTTAAATGTGAAAATTGAAACTCTCATTTGTGGTTGGACTCGGAGTCAATTGGTTAAAGACAAATCTTGGACATTTCTGTCCTGATTGTTGGCAGTTTCTACCCTCATTACTTTACTTTTTCTGTGTTAGAACCTGCATGTATCCATATTTGATAAGCAAATGTCTGTCGTAAACATCTTGTTTGGGTTTCTTGGACGTAGCAATTTTAGTTTTACCGGGGCTCAATAAAGAAACATTATTAGTGGGATTTCATACTCGTAGAACAGAGGATAGTTTTGTATCTCAGTAAGGACTAAGGAAGTGCCTAATGGAACCAGCTTTCTAATGTAGGAACAGCCGCATAATAATGTTTAAATAAAACATGCGATGAAGTGGGTTATTACTGCCCAAGGTTTGTTAATACCGAGGTTGATGATCTCTTAGAACTTATGGAGATTGGCTTGGAAGAAGAGGCGATGGAGAGATGCAAGTTAAATTTAAATAAGTTTCTATGGTCCAGTAAATGTCTTCCATAAGTTCAACTTTCCTTGTTATAATGGTGCTAGTGTCATGGTTCCGAGGGTTCCCATGAACAAAGGATGATCTCAGAAGATCGGCCTAGTCTTCTTGGATGTCCTGAACCCTCTAGAATATTCCTAGGGACGGGCTATTGTCAAGTGTTGTATCCATCGAACACTTGTCAAGTGTTGGATGGATACAAATGAGGGGGAGGGCACCCCTATTTATACAAGAGTCTCTCTCATTACAACCGTAGATTTCCTCTAGATCTAACGGTGGAGATTGCATCCTATCAACTACCGGTATTTATGACAAGAATTCTCTATAACATGGTACATTTACTGTATCGCCCGTCGTTAGGAATATTCTAGAGGATTCAGGAAACCTTAGGAGACTTGGCGATCATCTTGGATCGTACATGATCCTTTGTTCATGGGAACCCTTGGAACCGTAACACTAGGTTGTGGCTTGCATTCAGTCAACATGAATGTTGATGGAATTAAATTAGGTCTTTAAGTCTAGTGGTGGTAGGAAGTTGGATTTTTGGGTTGTCAATCTGCAGACATATGGTGGACAATCCCAGCGGATTCTGATTTTTACCTATGGGCAACATTCTGTGCTCTTGTTGACTCTATAACACCATTTTGAAAAAAAAAGATCTACACTATAACGTGGATGTGTCGCTCAATGGGGAAGAAACATTGTGATATCGTTTGGCTCTTCAAAAGTTCTCTTAATATGATGGAAGCGAATTCATCTTCTGTTGTTTAATCGCATCCGTGATGCTGTCTACATTTTCTGTTATTGTTAAGTTGATTTTTTATTTTCCGATATGACTTTTATGTTATAATTTATCTTATGAATCTGAAAAGGCATTTTGAGTTCCTTAAAGAGAACAGGCTTTGTAGGACTCTCGACAAATTTATCTATTTATTTTATACAAGTTCTTTCAGAATCTTTCTGACATGTTCCATCTTCTAGCAAGTGAGTATATTATACCATGCCTTTCTATCAATTGTATTCTCCTAAAAAGCTGTGTTATATCTAGGGCGGATGAGGAACCTGTTGATCCGAAGAAGTATCTTGAAGAGTTGTGCAAGCCAAAGTGCGTGAAACCTTTGCTTGAATATAAGGTATGCTAAAGCAGCCTCCTTTACTTATTATACAAAGCAGTTTTGAGGATGGTGATGGTGATTAATGCTTTGTTTAAACAGTGTACTACTTTTGAAGAACTCTTTAGATTTGCAGGTGTTACTGTATTATCACGTACTAATACTACATGTCGATCTTTTACTGTTGTTAAAAGAGTAGGCATTCTGTGGCGCAAACTGAAGCAGGATGTTAGCATAGGTGAAAGTAAGCTTTACTTATTTGGGATATAACAATATTGTTATTCTCAACCTCAGAATCTCAAGTTTTTGGGTTTTCTGAGCTTAGAGCCTCTTTTCCAATGATGACAAACGTTTCATTGTGTGGCCTCCTAGACCTCTCAGGAAAATGAGGTGGCTTTTGTTTTTCTATGGGTTCAGGCATGTGTCAAGAGAATCGAGGGCGACGAAAGTGGGCACAAGCACTGCACGGGACAATACTTTGATTATTGGCACTGCATTGACAAATGCGTGAGTACTCCCTTCCTCAAGTAAATGATGCCCCTGTGGATTACAGTTCTTCCTCTGCTGAAAAATATTCTGGTGCATTGCAGGTGGCTACGAAATTGTTTGAAAAGCTAAAGTAACGAAGAGAGGCAATTTATCAGTTGAACTTCTTTTGTGATTTGTTCAAGCGGGATGAATGCATCCCGTCCTCCGATTTTGTACCAGGAACTGGAAAAGACGCTTGATATGCGCTGTTGTTTCAGAAACAGTAGCGATAACGAGTGGTTCAGATTATGAATAAAGATGAAAACGTTGTGGGGTTTTTGCTTATTTTGCTTAACTCGATAAGCACATGTGCTTGGTCACTAAATCATCATCTCATGTGCATTGAATTGGAAATTCCAAGTTCTAATCGATGTTTAATGTGCTTTGGAAATGTAAGGCAAGTGATACCTTCACTTTTCAATGTCGCGATTTGGCAAGTAATGCTTAATGAGTTGCCAGGCGGCGAAGCTGCAAATGTAATTGAGACGGAATATGTATGAGGGCATAAGTTCGGGTTGTATGTGATGTGCTACGTAATTGGGTGTTAAGTAAAGGGAGATGCTGCTGGTCACTTGAAATTGAAAGAGAAGAAAACGAGGCAAAATCAGCACATCGTTTTTGCCCCTGTAGCAGAGTTATGCCCCCAAGGTGCTATTGAATGAAATCCTTGAGGTGTGAACGCTACAGGATTCCAATTCCCACGCCATCACCTTCCGACATGTTTCCGATTACTCATCACCTGGCGACAGCATCTGCATCTGGTTTTCGACTTTTCCCACTTTTCATTGTCATCATGGCGTGCGGAGTGGGGGTGGGCGTGTGTCAACCACACTCCTTCACACCCGACGTGTCATGCCTTCTTCTTTTCTCTTGTTCTCTTTGTACGCAAAGACAAATACGTAGACGGAGACCAGATCGATTGTCTTGGTCATGTTTTAATTTCTTTAATTACACTCGAAAGTTACTTGAGATAACACAGGCAACTGCTCTTGAGGGTGGCCCCCAAGGGATGCGCAACTTTGATGATTCGAATCCAAGCCTTAAGCAAGAAAGACGAACATGCTTATTACTTGAACAAACCCTTCAGATTGAGTATAAATGTACTTTACTCGTCTTGAATGCATACAACACAAAATCTTGGCAAAGCCGAAAATCTCGAATGATAGTCAAAATCCATATAAATAGTGTTAAAAATAGATGCTCGCTAGTTAGACGTGCGCAAGACACACATTTAACACATTCAACGAAATGTAATTTTTGAGCTTATATTGCATATATAGAGAAATGAATAGCCTGAATTATATGAAAACCTAAAATTATCATACAGCTTTCATATCTGGAAAAGTTTACCAATTCCGCAAGGTCCCCAAAACCTAAAGAGTTTAGATGTCATATACCACACGCCCATCATTTGACGTTATTACCTGAAAATAATACACGACAAGAACTTATGCACATGTCTTCTTCATGATACATTCCTCTTTTTCTTTTGGCCCAACTTCACAATACATTCTCGAGCCAGTTCAGTTTAGTACTTTTGTATGTTGCAATACTTTTGATTTGAGTTTAGCAGATGAGTACACGAATCGAATCTTACAGGAAGTAAGCATCACGAACTTCTTGAATATTATTGGCCAAAAAAGATTAAACAAAAGATCTTCAAACCTAAGAGATGGATTGCGTCCTTCTCAAGGAAGGAGAGATGTTGCCTTTACGAGGGTTGCAAGGGAAGGCACCGTGGTGTTTGGTGTAGGCTTGAACGCGACTCTCTTTAACGAGGCTTAACTGTATAATTATTGCTATCAAACATTTTGTCCAGCAGGATTCACATAGGTTGCACCTGTAACTCTGCCTTTTATATGCATGTAGGTCATGTATGTAGTGTATATAGTTAAAAATACCGCGATCATCATTCATATTAAAGCTAGTATCAGCGACTGCGCACACAGATATACGTGGAGATCTTCCCACTCAGAAGACATGTAGATATATCTTTCAAGATTCTTTAAATCGCTAAATAGCAATGAAAGATGTTGTCAATTAATATGCTGCGAATGCAAAACTTGCTTGGCAATCTCACTAAAATGTCATTGTTGTCATATATGACCGAAGGCGTGCGATGTAGTGGTACGCGGCGATTATGCATTATTCTTGTAACCTTGAGCGTTTCTTAGGCATAATGTGCATCAAGCTCAGTAGCTATTTTTCAATCTTTTAAAGGAAAAGACCTACTGTGACATTTGTAGTTCCTACTCGGACAAGAAGACCTAAAGTCGACTGAACTCATGCATGATATGCTTGCGCATCATCAACACCGGAAATCCGTTACACACTGGGCATTCAATTAAACCAAATTGTAGAGAGAGAGAGAGAAAAGAGCAAGGCAACAATACTATTATTATAAATAACATCTTGAAGCGAGGTTGTACATGTAAGGTTCGTCTGATTACAGCCAAAGGCGTAGCTGTCTCTTCCGTGGAGAGTCGGGATTTGTGGGCCTCGGCCCCCAAAAGGAATAGTCAACGAACTTAGCTAATCGATGACATGAAATTATGTCATGAACCGTCGAAATTGTTCGGACAATGCACATCTGAGACGGTCTGTATTCCCTGGTGTCCACTTTCGAGGATTATCATTAATAAATAATGGGGTTTCGTGCGGAGGCCATGCGCCAATGGGATTTGGCATTAGTTTAAGTGATCAAACCAAAGGTGATGCCCATGGCCAACCATCTTCCAAACAGCACCCTAGAAGCCGACTTCACCACCGGCGCATTCCCCAGCACTGCGTTCAGCCAGCCAAACCTGACTAATGCCAAGCTTACCGCCAATATCACCACTGCCAGTCTCAGCTGGTACTCCTTTATGAACGCCGCTGCTAGGAGCGGGACAAGCGACCCCACCGTGAAGGCAAGTGCCGATGCCCCCGCCGCCTGCCATGGGCTCGGAAGCTTCTCCTTCCTAGTGTCCATTTCTTTGGCTCCTAGGGCTTCATTCCTGTCCTCTCTCTTGATCTAGGCCATCTCGATGTCGTACTGTGAGTACACAGATACGAGCTCTCCGATGGCCATGCTGCAGGCCCTGGCGATCAGCCCCGCCACCCTGGTTATCACCATAGTCTTGGGGTCCTTGCGAACAGCACCAACACCCATCATGAGCGACGCTGTTGAAAGCAGGCCATCATTTGCGCCCAGCACGGCGGCACGGAGCCACTGAGCTCGCTTTGAAAAGTCGACGACCTCAACCTCTTGCTCGAGGGCTTGTTTGGTTTGTTTCTGCTGGGAAACTATTCTGGTGCATTGCAGGTGGCTACGAAATTGTTTGAAAAGCTAAAGTAACGAAGAGATGCGAACTTCTTTTGTGATTTGTTCAAGCGGGATGAAAGCATCCCATCCTCCGATTTTGTACCAGGAACTGGAAAAGACGCTTGATATGCGCTGTTGTTTCAGAAACAATAGCGATAAGGAGTAGAGCAGATTATTGATAAAGATGAAAGCGCTTGGGTTTTGCTTATTTTGGTTCTCGAGAAGCGCATGGGCTTGGTCGCTAAATCATCATCTCATATGCATTGAATTGGAAATTCTCCGTGCGTAATACAAGTTCTAATCGAATGTGCTTTGGAAACGTAAGGCAAGCGATATCTTCACCTCTCGATGTTGCGATTTGGCAAGTCATGCTTAACAAGTTGCCTGGCGGCGAAGATGTATATGTTACTGAGACAGAATATGTTTGAGGGATTTGAGTTCCGGTCATATGTGATGTGTCATGTAATTGGGTGCTATGTTTGAGGCAATAGGGGTGAGCGGTTCCTGGTTCGATCCGATCGAACCCAAGAATCGGGAACCGGACCGGGAGGACTGGTTCTCAGTTTCTAGAACCGGGGACCGGACCAGCTAGTCTTAAGACCGTGGACTGGACCGATGGTCCGATTCCAATTGGACCAATCACTTATTGGTAAAGGCAAGAAGGAATTAGGGATATTAGATTAGGCTTTATATTTTTTTCAAAATTTTTAAAAAGTAAATAAATATATATAAAAAAATTAGAAAAATATATATATTTATCGGTCCAGTCCGGTCGGTCTGGTCCAGTCCGATTTCCACCCTAGAACTGGGAACTGAACTGCCCGAAAATCGGTTCCACTTTTAGGAACCGAGAATTGGATCAATATTCCCGAGAACTAGACCAAGCCGGTTGGTCCAATCCGGTCCGATCCAATTTCAGTTTGGACGATCCATCGTGCTCACCCCAATAGCCAAGACCCGCACAACGTTTTTGCCCCTGGAGCAAAGTTACTCCCCAAGATGCTATTGAACGCAATCCTTGAGGTGTGAACGATACAGATTCGGGTTCCCATGCCATCAATTTCCGACATGTCTCTGATTACTCATCACGTGGCGACAGCATCTGCATCTGCTTTTCGACTTTTCCCACTTTTCATTGTCCCTATGGCGTGCGGAGTGGGGTGGGCGTGTGTCCTCCACACTCCTCCATATCTGACGTGTCATGCCTTTTTCTCCTCTCTTGTTCTCCTTCTACACAAGGCTACTTGTTTTCCCCTTTTGCTTTGATATTCTGCGCATTTAAAAAATGAGTTGATGCTCTTTCATTGCTTTCTTTTGAAGAGCTACAAGATTCGAGCGAAACAAGAGAATAACAAGTCAAATCAAAGGGAAAAAGAGAAAGAAGCAGAAGCACCCTGATTAAGTTTCAATCCGTGTTAAGTGCTGTATGTTCCGATTGAGCCCAACGCCTCATTTGGTCCTTGCTAGTATTCCATTTATACCTTGCTTCCTCCATTTTATGTTTAACTCTCTTTTGCCCGCCTTCTGTTGCAACATCCACGCGATTTCATGCCACTTTCCATCTTTTCTTTACCTCAGAATCATTAAAAATTAAGCAAAGTGGTGCAGATGAGGGGCATCCCACATCAAGTTTGATCACTTAAATTAATGCCAAATCCCATTGGCGCATGGCCTCCACACGAAACCCCATACTTTATAAATGATAATCCTCGAAAGTGGACACCGGAGGGATACAGACCGTCTATTTTGACAGTTCATTACATAAATTCATGTCATCGATTAGCTAAGTTCATTGACTTTTCCTCTTGGGGTCGAGGCCCACAAATCCCGACTCTCCACGCAAGAGAAAGGGACACCTTTGGCTGTAATCAGACGAACCTCACATGTACAACCTCGCTTCTAGATATTAATTAGTAATAATATAGTTGCCTTGCTCTTTTCACTCTCTCTATCTGCAATTTGGTTTAATTTAATGCCCGGTGTGTAACGGACTTTCGGTGTTGATGATGCCAAGCATATCATGCATGAGATCAGTCGACTTTAGGTCTTCTTGTCCGAGAAGGAACTACAAATGTCACTGCAGGTCCTTTCCTTTAAAAGATTGAAAAATAGCTACTGAGTTTGATGCCCATGATGCCTAAGAAACGCTCAAGGTTACAACAATAATCCATAATCCTCGTGTACCTCTACATCTACGCTTTCGGTCATATATGACAACAATGACATTTTAGCGAGATGCCCAAGTAAGTCTAGCATTCACGGCATATTAATTGGCAACATCATCTTTCACTGCTATTTAGCGATTTAAAGAATCTTGAAAAATAGATCTACATTCCTTGCGAGTAAGAAGATCTCCATGTATATCCGGATGCACATTTGCTGGTACTAGCTTTAACATGAATGATGATCGCAGTATTTATAACTATACATATTAAATACATGACCTACATGCATATAAAAAGCAGAGTTACAGGTAAACTCTATGCGAATCCTGCTGGACAAAGTGTCTGATAGCAATGATCATACAGTTAAGTCTCATTAAAGATAGCCACGTTCGAGCCTACACCAAACACCACCATGCCTTCCCTTGCAACCTCGTAAAGGTAACATCTCTCCTTCCTTGAGGAGGACGCGATGCATCTCTCCGTTAGCTTTGAAGATCTTTTGTTTAATCTTTTTTGGCCAATAATTTTCAAGAAGTTCGTGATGCTTACTTTCTGTAAGATTCGATTCATGTACTCATCAGCTAAACTCAAATCAAAAGTATTGCAACATGCAAAAGCACTAAACTGAACTGGCTCGAGAATGTATCGTGAGGTTGGGCCAAAAGAAAAAGAGGAATGTATCATGAAGAAGACATGCGCATAATTTCTTGTCCTCGTGTATTATTTTCAGGTCATCACGTCAAATGATGGGCGTGTGGTATATGACATCTAAACTCTATAGTTTTTGGGGATCTTGCGGAATTGGTAAACTTTTCCAGATATGAAAGCTGTATGATGATTTTAGGTTTTCATATAGTTCAGGCTATTCATTTCTCTATATATGCAATATAAGCTCAAAGAATAAATTTCGTGAAACGTGTTAATAAAGTGGCGTGTGTCTTGTGCATGTCTTACTAGCGAGCATCTACCTTTGACACTATTTATATGGAATATGACTACCATTCGGGATAGTCAGTTTTGCTAAGATTTTGTTTTGTATGCACTCAAGGTGAGTAAAGTACTTTATTGCTCAATCTGAAGGGGTTGTTCAAGTGGTGAGCATGTTCGTCTTTCTTGCTCAAGGTTCAGATTAGAATCATCATGGTTGCGCATTCCCTTTGGACCATCCTTAGGAGCGGTTACCTGTGTTGTCACCAGTAATTTTCGAGTGTGTGTGGGATGGGAGACTATTGAGCTCGATGAGAGCTCGTCGGATGCTCTAAGAACTCCGGTTAGTCCATTAATAACAAAAGAAAACAATAATAAATGTTGTTCTGCCATTTCCAAAAAAAGTGTAATGAGATCTTAATAACATTGTAAGAACAATCAGCACCTATTGAGGCACCTATTAGAAGATCTTGCAAATTAGGCAATGTGAACACATCGAATTCCATTATCTGGAATTGTCCAAAAGATAACTCTCATTTTACGTGAAAAGCTTGTCTCTCGATTAATTTGATCACTTAATTAGCTTCTGAAAACGACTTGCATTCCATAAAAAAAAAACGTGAAAGATAAAAGCTAAGATCCAATATTAGACTGTGTTTCTTCACTAGATAGGGTTTTTTTCATTCTACTCAAAAATATAATCCTACTCTGGTGTGAACACATGAGATTCCACCAACTATAGAAAACCATGTCCCATGTTCCACCAGACCCTACTTGTCTATTATTCTATAACACGCATATCTCTCTATAAAAAGCTTCTTTCAGGGAATGTGCCCTCCACACGCCCTCTTATCTTCCTCTCTAGTATTCCTTTAATTTCTGGAGCTTCCTCAAATTGACTCATCTCTCTCCATCCATCCATGGCAATAGCACCATCAAATCAACCACAAGACCGCCAACAATTGCCTCCTCCTCCTCCCCTCGAGCTTGACCTTGAGGAACAAACCAAACAAGCCCTCGAGCAAGAGGTTGAGGTCGTCGACTTCTCAAAGCGAGCTCAATGGCTCCGTGCCGCCGTGCTGGGCGCGAATGATGGCCTGCTTTCAACGGCGTCGCTCATGATGGGTGTCGGTGCTGTCCGGAAGGACCCCAAGACTATGGTGATAACCGGGGTGGCGGGGCTGATTGCCGGGGCCTGTAGCATGGCCATTGGGGAGCTCGTATCCGTGTACTCGCAGTACGACATCGAGGTGGCCCAGATCAAGAGAGAGGATAGGAACGAAGCCCTAGGAGCCGAAGAAATAAACATGAGGAAGGAGAAGCTTCCGAGCCCATGGCAGGCGGCGGGGGCATCGGCACTTGCCTTCGCGGTGGGGGCGCTGGTGCCACTCCTAGCGGCGGCGTTCATAAAGGAGTACCATATGAGACTGGCGGTGGTGATAGTGGCGGTGAGCATGGCGTTGATCGGGTTTGGCTGGCTGAGCGCAGTGCTGGGGAATGCGCCGGTGGTGAAGTCGGCTTCTAGGGTGCTGGTCGGAGGGTGGTTGGCCATGGGCATCACCTTTGGTTTGACCAAGCTGATTGGCTCTGCTGGTGTATAAGAATTATGAATATCGTACATAGTTTTGCCTTGATGGTATCAATAACCAGCAATTCTTATGTCAGTAATTAATTAAGTCGTCTCGATTTCTTTGCCAAAAGAACTTCATCCATTCTAGCTAGGGCACATGATGAGGCATCCACGAGCAGTTTCACTTTTCCATTTCTTTCCTTTGTTTTATCTTTCTGTTGGATTTAGATGTCTCGTATATTTCATTTCTGAGTTGTAAGAGTTCAAGTTCGTTTTGGATCTGCCCATCTTTATCATGCAGTGCTGTTGATATATATGCTAAAGACCGAAGCCTAAGCAATGCTATGTGTGATATTATCCTCAATTTTTTTCTTATTCTCTTCCTCGCTGCCTTTCCCTTTAATTTCTCTCTTATCTTTGCTAATTCCTTTGAGTGTCGAGGATTTTTTTTGTTCTTGGATGCGTTTATGATAAATGAGGTTGGTCTTTACAAAAAAAAGAAAAAGAAAAAAGGGGTCCTGCTTCTTGCCTTTTCACGTCTTATGTTTTGCTATGATATTCCCATATGATCATTCCAAACTCAGAAGAGAATAGCGTATTTCTCTTTTCGGGTCAGAAAACAAATGTGTATTTGGAGCTGCACGTGAACGTAGCTTCTCTTTCTAACGATATAGGTTCATATGACTAAAGTGAAGAATCTTCCCTCGTTTGTCAAAGTCATGTTCTCGACGGTACTATATTTTTAATCTAATCGGACTACAAATTGGGTTGAAAACAAGAGGCCAAGGCTGATGGTGTATGCTACTCTATTTACTGAAAAATCACATTTAACCCCAAACATCATACCTATTAGGGGTGATCGGTCGGTTCCCACCTCGAAACTTGGAACTGGACTGGACAGAATCGATTCTCGATTTGTGTAACCGCGAATCGACATTTAATGTGCTTTGGAAACGTAAAGCAAGTGATATCTTCACTTTTCGATGTCGTGATTTGGCAAGGTAATGCTTAACGAGTTGCTCGATAGCGAAAGCGTAAATTAGGGGTGAACGGTTCGAAGGTAGATAGAATCCAGACTTGGAACTTGGAACCTACCATGTTATAATCGGTCGGTTCCCACCTCGAAACTTGGAACTGGACTGGACAGAATCGATTCTCGATTTGTGTAACCGCGAATCGACATTTAATGTGCTTTGGAAACGTAAAGCAAGTGATATCTTCACTTTTCGATGTCGTGATTTGGCAAGGTAATGCTTAACGAGTTGCTCGATAGCGAAAGCGTAAATTAGGGGTGAACGGTTCGAAGGTAGATAGAATCCAGACTTGGAACTTGGAACCTACCATGTTATAATCGGTTTCCAGTTTTTGAAACCTAGAACCTACTCTGTTTGCCATGGAATCTGTTTTGGAACTTACCCTATTTCCTGTGGTTCAAAAGTCTACCCGAGAACCTGTTTTTCTTTTGTTCCTTTTCTGGTTTCAACTTTTTCAGTAAAATAATATAAGTAGTAATGAAATTAATAATAATCATTATTCGCCAAAAGTAACAATCTCTAAGATGAGCAATTGAAATTACTATCCATAAAAAACAACAATCTAAAATATAGTAATAGTATATTTTTAACACTAGCTAAAAATCGGTTTCAAAACTGGTCTGTCTCCCGAGTGAATCTTCACTTGGAACCGGACTAGTTCCCAAAAAATGGAACTAGTTTTTGGATTGATTTTTCGGGTGATCTGGTCTGGTTTCCTGGTAAATCTGGTCCGGTTTGCACACTCCCAGCATAAATGTTATTGAGATGGAATTGTTTGAGGGATTGGGTCTGAGGTTATATGTGATGTGCTATGTAACTGGGTGCCAAGTAAAGGGTAATGATGATGGTCCCCTCAAAGAGAAGAAAACGAGGCAATATCCGCATATCGTTTTTGCCCCTGGAGCGGAGTTAGGCCCCCAAGATGCTACTGAATGCAATCCTCGAGGCGTGAAAGCTACAGGATTCCGATTCTCACGCCATCACCTTCCGACATGTTTCCGATTACTCCTCACCTGGCAAACAGCACCTGCATCTGGTTTTCGACTTTTCCCACTTTCCATTGTCTCGTCTGAGTTATGCCACCATCATCATGGCATTCGGAGTCGGGGAGGGCGTGTGTGCTCCACACTCCTTCACATCCGAAGTCTCATGCCTTTTTCTTCTCTCACGTTCTCTTTCTACGCAAGACAAATACGAAGACGGGGTCATGTTTTTCTTTCTTTAATTATATTCTAAGAATGACCCCTTGTTTTCCGCTTTGGCTTTGATAGAGAACAAGTAGTCAAATCAAAGGGAAAAAGAGAAAGAAGCAGAAGCACCTTGATTAAGTTTAAATCTGTGTTGAGTACACGCTGTACGTTCTGATTGAATCCAATACCTTATTCTGTCCTTGTTATCAATATTTCATTTGGATCGCACTTTTTTCACTCATATTATAGCTAAAACACTGCCTTTTATAATATTTTGACAATATTAATATTGTGGCTCTCACTTTTTAAGCATTCTTCAATTGCTTCTCTTCTTTCTCTTTTCTGGTAAGGCCACTTTCCTTCTTCTCATTTTTTTTTCTCTGTGTGCTCTCTCTTTCTAAAACATCCCTCTCATGTCAATAATCTGTGTTGAAGCCCAGATTTGTAGAAACTAGGGGTGAGCAACTGTCCAGGGTTGACCCTGGATCGACCTTGGACTGACTCAACTTGGCCGGTCCTGATCCGGTTCCCAGGGGGACTGGGTCGGTCCTTGGTCCTGGGACCTTTGGACCTTGCACTGTACGAGTTGGTTCTCGGTCCTGAGAGTTTAGGGTTGGTCCAACCCGAACCAACCCTATATATAAATATATAAATATATAAATAAAAATATATTTATTTGTTTTCCAAAGAACCTAAGGCCCCTCCTTCCTCTTCTTCTGGCGTTGAAAATAGAAACTCTATTAACTATTGAGCGTCGCCTCTCTTCTTCCCTCGTTTCTCTGTGGCTGTTCGCTAGATCTGCCTCTCCTCGCTCGCCTCACGAACTAACTTGCCTCTCGTGGCCTGCCTCAGTGCCTCACGAATGGCGAACGTAAGTCGCCTCACTTGGCCCTCCTCGGCGTCTCACGAACAAGATATGAAGTTGTTTGTTTTGTTTCCAAGTGTTCAAAAATTGAAGTAATCTTTTGAGAATGAACAAGATATGAAATTGTATAATTTATGGTTTATGTTATGTATTTTGACCATTTTATTTTTTAATTTTATTTCACGTGTTCATATACTACTAAGTGGAGATTTTTGTTGTTGCGTTATCTTATATTTTTATTTGATTTGTACCGGAATCCATAGTTTGGTTACTCAATATTGCATTGTTAATGGATATGTATTTTCAAAGTGTACCGTTTGTCCTTTCAACAAATAAAAAAAATGAAACATAAAAAAATCGGTTGATCCCGAGTTGACCCTGGATCCGGATCGGACCCAGAGGGTCGATCCAATCCTCGGTCCCAAGCTCAATAGGGTCGGTCCTCGGTCCCAAAAATTGGGGATCAACACTGTGTGGATTGGTCCTAGGGTTAGCTATTGGACCGGCCCAATCCGGACCGTGCTCACCCCTAGCAGAAACCTCCTCTTCACCCAACTAATCCTCTTCTATCTCATGTCAAATCTGAATTATCTCATTTCACATCAAACTTTTCGATTGATCAATCACGAAGACAAGAAAAAAACCCATTAAAGATTCAAATCCAAGAGTTGAAGCCCTCGCCCAAAAACTCATCAATCTCATAAGCAATCTCTTGTTCTTCATCTTTGTCTTCTTGGTTCTAATTGTCATTGCCATCGTTGATTCGCCATCCCCTACCAGCCTCCAAATACATGGCTCGAATCTCGCCCCCCCCTCTCTCACTAAGTTGTTAACGCAAACCAAAAATGCAATCGGCGAGGATTTGCCCCTCCTCGCCCTTACGGTCTCTCTTACTTTCGTGCCGATCTTAATTACTAAGTTGCTGCCGTTGGTGATTGAGAGGACTGAAGAGGTGATTGTGAACTCAACTCTTAAGTCCGAGCCCTTATGCGATGAGGTGGCCCTATTGCTCGTCAATTGTTTGAATCCTCGTGTTTTGATAGGTGTAAAGTTCAATGTGGGAGCCAGGGTATCAAACTCCGGTTAACGATTGAAAAACCGATGAGTGCGACGTGGTCTAGACGACAAGTGACAGAGATAGATCACAAAAGAGAGTTTTTTCTTCTTTTTACAAATACCTTCAATGCTTGAAGCATGACCAAATTTAAGAACTTATGGAGAGAAGTAACGAAGGAGGAAAATGGAGAGAAGTAATGAAAGAGGAAAATGGGACCTACGAGAAAAAATAAATAAGAAAACAAACTAGGCACCACAATCAAACAAAAAAAAATCCTTAAAAAAGATGAGACCCACAATGATTAATATTATCAAAACACTATAACAATGAGTGTTTTAGCCATGACGGGAGTAAAAAAAGTGCAGCCCATTCCATTTATACCTTTCTTCCTCCATTTTATGTTCGACTCTCTTTTGCCCGCCTTCTGTGGCACCATCCACGCGATTTCTTGCCACTTTCCATCTTTTCTTTATGTCATAATCATTAAAAATTAAGCAAAGTGGGGTAGATGTGGGGCATCCCACGTAAAGTTTGATCACTTAAACTAATGCCAAATCCTACACGCGCATGGCCTCCACACGACACCCCATTACTTATTAATGATAATCCTCGAAAGTAGTCGCTAGGGAATTTAGACCGTCTCAGATGTGCATTGAGCGAATAATTTCGACGGTTCATTACATAAATTCATGTCATGGATTAGCTAAGTTCATTGACTTTTCCTCTTGGAGGTCGAGGCCCACAAATCCCGCGGACTCTCAACGCAAGAGAAAGCGACACCTTTGGCTGTAATCCGACGATCCTTACATGTGCAACCTCGCTTCAAGATGTTATTTAAAGTAATAGCATAGTTACCTTGCTCTTTTCACTCTCTCTCTGCAATTTGGTTTATTTAATGCCCAGTGTGTAACAGATTTCCGGTGTTGATGATGCGCAAGCATATCATGCATGAGGTCAGTCGACTTTAGGCCTTCTTGTCCGAGAAGGAACTACAAATGTCATTGTAGGTCATTTCCTTTCAAAGCTTGAAAAATAGCTACTGAGTTTGATGCACATGATGCCTAAGAAACGCTCAAGGTTACAAGAATAATGCATAATCCTCATGTACCTCTACATCCCACGCTTTCGGTCATATATGACAATAATGGCATTTTAGAAGGATGCTCGAGCAAGTTTAGCATTTGCTGCATATTAATTGGCAACACATCTTTCACTTCT